AAGTCGACGAATCTCTCAGATCGCCATCCGGGGAGCGGTTTCTGTGCGCGGGGACGAAAAGCTCGATGAGAAGCAGGCTCGGCCCAACCGCTGCCTCGACTCGGTCGAATGCCTCGCAAATACAATTATCTTTCGGAAAGAAGTAGTTTCCCGGCGTACTGTAGTGAGCAACATGCATTCGCCTTTGCAGATGCACAGCATGATCGAAGGCCGTGCGCGAGCAGAAAACAGCCGCAGCAACATCGCTAGCAGCGGGAGCTGCAGCAGTGGCGGGAGCTGCGGCAGCGACGGGAGCTGCTGGAGCAGCGGGAGCTGCGGGAGCGGCGGCAGCCGTGGCCACGGTGGTGGCGCCACCGCCAGTGGCAGCGTCACCGCAAGTGGCAGTGCCACCGCCAGTGGCAGCGCCACCGCCACTGGCAGCGCGACCGCTGAGCCCACGGCAGTGCCGCGGGGCCAGCCCGGTCGACCAGAGCCTCGGCGAGCCAGAATGCAGAGCATGAGGATCTGAGGAAAGGCCATATCAAGTTGTCGGGTTCGAGCCCAGGCATGGCACCGAGATTCACGGATCCTCTGTGCTGCGTGCGGCGTCAGGCTAGTTTCCGACTTGTATGATGTGATGTGTGCAAGACCGCTGGTGAACTTCCGCACCCTCCCAACCACTGGAGGCCCGAGCTCTGATGCAGTGGCATCGGCGAGGCCTTCGCAGGCCATTGGGTCTAATGAGCCAGTGGGAAATCTTATCGTGAAGTACATCTACCCCAAATATCCAAGAGTAGCTGGGTGACGTGTGGCTGCTCCGCAAAAGCTCTATACCTTGAAGGCCAGACGGATGTCACTGCCGAGCTCGCACGAGCGAGGCGGATGCGACGCTGCTTGCAGGCCGTGCAAGCGGAAGTTTTTGAGGGTTGCAGGTCTTGCTTGTCAAGTCTCTGGACAACCAATAAGTAGTGCTCAACTTGGCATTCGCCCCTGAGTGCATGCTGATAGGTATGATAGGTTTTGTCATCCTGACATTCTTGCTCAGTTTCTCCATCGGTGCATATCGTTACTTCCATGTCTTCCCTCTGCATTACACAACTGTTGTCTTCTGGCGTTCCTTTGGTTCCAGTGTCAGCCCAAAAGGCACCTCAGTGAAAGCCAGAGAGCCACCCCTGCAGACCTTCAGCTAGGTCTGGGCTAGTCACGCCGCGGCCAGCTGCACCGATCGTGTCTTGGCCTTTAGACGAAACACCCACATTTAGTTATCACTAGTCATCACTAGGCATCACTGCTCACTAGTCACTCGTTCCCGAAGTCGTTGAGTCTTTGCCGCTTGTCATGCAGATTCACCGGCCTGCGGGCGTTCCTTCTCCTGTTGCAGCGACGCCCGTGCTGGTGACAGTGGCACCCTGGCAAAAGTGGGCGAGTGTCACGTGGCTTCTGTGCATGAGTGCCATGAGTGCCATGAGTGCCATGACCAGAGTTTCAGTTCCACCTCGGCCAAGGCTCGCTCGTCCCCGACATTTCTGGTGCCGTGGCAAGGAGGACACGCACAATTCACTGGTCCAATAGTTGGTCCAGTAGTACGCGCCGTCAATTCGCACAGCCAAGTGCCAATGAGATAGTCTTGAGGCATTCTGTCAAAAATGTTCCGAAATGGGCCCAACTTTCATGGTCATTTCATGGTTGTTTCAATCAATGCGGTGCAGGCTGCCGGCTGCCACAGATGTCAAGCGATAACCCATTATCTTTACTGGACCTTCAACTTGAAGATTAGACTCTGAAAGGTTGGTGCGCCTGGCATGCCTTGTGGTGGCATGCGCTTGTGTACCGTGCACATCCGTGCACATCCGTGCACTTCCGTGCACTTCCGTGCACATTTGTGCACATCCATGCGCATCCCTGCACCCGCTGCACGAGGCTGTGCCATTCGGCCGAACACTTGGAGAATTCAATGGGGCTGGCTAGTGAAATAAACAAGGCAGCGGCTGTAAGTGTACATTTGCCCCAACTCGCTATCCTGGTATCCTCTTAAGTGCAGCAACTCCACTGATCTGAAAGATGCCTGTATAGACAGTGCATAGCAGCCCCCATGACTGCAGTTTCATTGTGCTCACCTCCAGAGAGTCCAACAGGACGTTGAGTGCAGTACTTCTCCATGAACACTCTCTGCGCTCTACCGAATGCTAGCGTCCTGATCCTGTCAGTGTTTTCGGCACGATGGCATGTGAGCTGGGACGCATCTTATGAGACCAGCATCTCGGGAACGTTGCAGAGAACTTTGCCCCAGAAACATCGGGGCAGTAGACGTTGTTTCAGCCAACAGCTGCAGGTTGATCGTAGTGAACGCAGAAGGACCCAGGGTGAGGTGCCATCCATGAAGACGAAGAAGCGTTTTGCTCGCGGTTCACGATGGGCCTGATCAACCTACGTCGATGGTTGATTGCACATAGATGCATCTGTACAGAACACGGGATGTCGCATCTGCAGCGTGGCGCGCTGTACCACTGCGGATGGTGGCGAGCCAGGGGTTTCCAGTCGCATGGCGGAATGGCACTCAGAACCAAAAAACTTGCAGGCAATCCTAGATTGGTGACCATTGAAGCCCAAGCCAAGCCCGTGACAGGAGCTTCAGCATGTCGATCTCGTGTGTGCAAGCTGCCATTTTCACAAAGCAAGCTGTGCCCCAATCCCCCTCCCACCCCCCTCCCCTTTTTAACCCTAGCCAGCAAGTCGAGAACAAGTGAGAAGAGAAGCAGCTATGACATGATGCGGCGCGTGAGCCATAATAAGGTGTGCATGATAGATACTGCGCCGCCCTTCGCATCTGGGTGTCTCAGAGGCCCTTCAGATGCGCAATCTCCCTCTCTCCCTCTCCCTTTCTGCAAATAAGATCTCTTCCGGATCGTTGCAGGATGACCTCAACGTTACAATTAGCATGCGACTCAGAGTTGTGAATCAGTTCAGATGTGGGGCCAGCGTGTCCACAAAGCCCCGCGCTTCGCAGCTTCCAAAGGTCGAGCGCCTGAAAGCTCAGCTGGCCGAATCCCGGGCCGACCTGTGCAGCAAGGCAGCGGAACGTGGTCACGTCATGTGGACTTCCTGTCTGATCTGTAGCCAGGAGCATGCCTTTGAGCAGCTCGCCACCTCCAGGAGCGAGGCCCCACACAGATTGAGTCGGATGTCGGAGAGTTCGGAACAAGCTCACCCGAAGACGAAACCCCGAAGAACTCTGAAACTCCTTCTGAGGCTTCCGAGGCTGCCTTGTCCAAAGAAGGCAAAGAAGGTCGGGCCTCCGAGTGTAATCAGTAGAGGGTAAACATCGTAAGCAAAGCAAGAATCGCAAGAGTGGCAGGCTAGTTATTTGAGTAGCCATTGGAATTGTAATCGTAGTCATCCTGGTAACTTTTGTCGTGATTATTTTCGCAATGCTCGGAATACTACTGAACTGATCGTAGTAGTATGTAGTAGTCCATAGTAAATAGTAGTTATAGTAAATCATCGGATCATAGGAACCATAGCAATCATGGTAGTCATGGCAATCACTGTAACAAGCTGTTTGTGTGTGTGTGTGTGTGTGTGTGTGTGTGTGTGTGTGTGTGTGTGTGTGTGTGTGAGATGTTGGTTAGTATCACCGTTGTTCCTCTTGTTGGTTGCGATTGCAAGTTTTATTAGTCTTTAATTTGTTAATGTGTTTATTGCAGTTCTGAGTATCAATTGGTACTGTCTTTGTCGGAGTACGTGTTCGGACCACAGTAAGAAGAGAGTGAGAAGGAGAAGGTTGGCCTGGCCATCCCAACGCCGCACCCGGTGTTCGACAATCGAGATGATGTGTACATCATGTACCGCACACTCCACGCATAAGGACATCTGATTGTACAGGCTCCCTTTAACTGTTGGTGGGTGTGTAATCTAGACAAATATTTAGAAATATGCTATTAAAATCAACCAGCTTCAACATATACATATGTATGTGGGGTGTGGCAGTGCAGTTTAGTGTCGGTATGATGTGCGCGAGCCTGGGCAACGGGAGGCAACAGTGTGGCGACTCGGGACTGTGACTCCGTCAGCTGTTCCTCCAGGTGTGAGTGAAAAAGTCACTCATCCTTGCGTCCGTAGATTTCGAGATTTCGTAGCACACGGCCGAAATTGTGCTCGAGGTCCAAGTCTGAGCCGTGCCTGCAGGCCGGGCTCATTTTGGCACACCCCGTGCACGGTAGTGCGCTGTGCGTTCCAGTCTCCCCCTCCCCCGAAAACCGAAACCTGAAATTCGAAACCCTTAGACCTACAAGCCGCAGCGCCCAAGGGCAGAAAGGGGCTGCAGCACTTGAGATGGACAGCGAGACACTGACGCGCCTTGAACCTACTGACTGCACTGGAGGCGCAAATCACAGCGCTGCAAGAAGAGGCCAAAGCATTCATTAGCCGCTTTTAGGGTCTCTCAAGTATCATCCCTTGCCCAGAAGTGGATCGAGTGTCGAATTTCTGATGGCTTCTTGGCAGTTGCAGCAGAAGAGCCAAAGCCTGGCAGCCAAGATGGTTGGCTTGGTCACGAGCACGAAGGGGCTTGGAACCTGGAACGTCTCTTCCATGGCCTCGGTCTCTTTGGGAGAATTCTATTCAGTGGCATCAGCTTTGTGAGAACCTGAGGTTGTCGCAGCAGCTGATTCTAGAGCGACAGCAGCGATTGGCTTTCGAAGACGAGGCCAACCCGAGATGCAACTGCTGCGAGGAGTTTAGTGAGTTCAGTGGGAGGTTTCTGACCTCTTCGTTTCGATGCTCGGAGTCCTTCCTTTGTCCAGGTGCGGGTGCTGATGGAAGCGAAGACTTTGCCAGCACAGGCGGCAGAATGCATCGCACGTCATGGGCGCAGCATCCTCCGCAGTGTAATTACAGTGTCTTCACAGTGTCTAAGCATTTGGGCGTTTAGTCATTTAATCACTGGCCTCTTGTTCACTTAGCGTTGGCTCAAGCAGCGGTGATTGAGCTGCTAAGAGCGGGAGCTGTCACCTTGTGGCAAGATGCCGTGGCAGCCCCAGATGGGAGAACCTGAGCAACCTTGACGTGAAGATTGCTGTTGCCTGCTGGTGAGCCCTGCGACAGTGCGCTTCGAGGTCCATGGCCTTGCGACTTCTTTTCGCATGTCTTGCCGTCGCCGACGCTGCGCGCACCCTCAGCTTTTTCTGGACCATGGGCCATCCTATGGGCATCCTCCTACCAGCCCTAGCTCATCTCGTAGCCTGGCATGTAAGTTGCAGGAGTGCATCGAGCTAGACTGACATGCCAGCCTGGTTCAGAACTTGGTGTCTAGTAAGGTTTCCTACAGGTGCAGTAACCTGCAACACAACTCCTTCTTGCATATATGTATTCTTCGATCAAGTGCCTGCTGGCACCTGGAATGTGTGTTGGCCGACGGCCGAGGGATCCGATCATCTCAAGGGTTCCTACCGTTGAGCCGAATGTCTCAGGACAGCGTGTGGGGACTCCGTGGCTCTGCGCCACGGGCTCCCGCGCCAGCGCCTGCACCGGCACCGAGCGACTCTTCCGAGGAGCCCTTTCCCCTATAAAGCCCATCAAGCCCATAAGGCCTATAAAGCCTGTGAACCCTATAACACTCCTTAAGCCGCTTGACACGGAGGATGGCACAGACATTGTGGCTGGCGCACAGAACGCCGCCAAGGCCGCCCAGATCCAGGCGACCTTCGGCCGAGTGCATTGGTGGGTTTGGGTTTCTAAGGGGGAACCCAAAAGGGATCCTGCAGACCTGATGGCTTCAGGCTGAACAAGCCCGGCAGGAGATGGCCCTTGCAGCTTGGAGCAAGTCGAGAAGTGTCGGGGGCTTTTTGTTTTCTTCAGTTCTCTGCTCCGAGGCCAGGAAGATCGCAGCGGAGGAGAAGAAAGCCAAGCAGGCCAAGGGTGGGAGCATGGTGGGAGCATGCTGTGCAGCCGGCCGCCTTTGTGTCCCTTGGAGACAGCTCCAGGCTCAGCAGGAAGCTGCAGATGCCATGCAGAAGGCCGGAGTACAACGACTTCACATGTGGCAACAGAATTTATAGATAAGTAGATGCCCCCCCCCAAAAAAGCATGTATGTATGTATATATATATATATATGTATATATATATATATACACATACATACATCTGTTTTTTTGATATATGTATATATATATACCTGTATATACAATCAAAAATATATATATATATATATTATTATTATTATTATTATTATTATTATTATTATTATTATTATTATTATTATTATTATTATTATTATTTTCTTGTAGACAAGTTGTTTGTTAGCGAGGCCCGGAAGGATGAGGCGGAGGTCAAGCGGCGGGAGTCCGCCGTTGACTCCGAGAAGTCCGGGCCACGGAGCCACGGAGCTGGGGGGCAAAGCGCCAGCACGAGTAGCTTGCCGTGGGCCACGCACACATCTCCGCGCACATGTTGTATAAGCACACATTTACGCATTTTAAGATTCCGAGACCAACAGACGGGAAGTGCTGCCAGTCAAGGCAGCGGGCGGATGCGAAGATGAAGCAGGCCGACAAGCTCGCGCAGACTGAGGCTCCATGTGGAAGTGCAATGTTCGGCATTTCTAGCGCTGATGGCTAGACTGCGAGTTCTACATATATACATATATATATATGTACATGTACATATTTATATGTCAATATCGATGCCAATATGTCTTTCTGCATCTATGTGTAGATGCATACAGGTTTAAAGGTATAGATGTATTTAGATAGGCCTACGGACGTACGTATAGGCACATAGGTGTAAAGGTGTACAGACAGAGGTATAGCTAGATAGATGTATAGGAAGATGAAGAGATGTATAGCATGTACATGTGTTCATATGTATGTGCAAGTACATACATAATGTAAATAGATAAACATACGAATAAACAAATAGATATAAGTATAACAAGTCTAATAAATAGAAAACATAGCAATGAATACATACACATATATACATATGTATATAGGTATAAATTTATAAACAAATAAACAAATCCACAAATAGATAAAGACATAAATTCATGAATAGATAAATAAATAACTAAATAAATAAATAAATAAATATATATATATATATACATATATATATATGTATATATATATATATATAAATCATGTGTCCCTACATGCTTATAGTGTGTGAGTGTGTGTGTGTGTGTTGAACATGACACCCACATGCACACGGGCACGCACGCACGCACGTGCAGGCTTGCTTGCACGCGCGCACACAAATCATCTCGCAATTTCAGCAATTTGAGAATCTGACCCGTCCCCGGACCTTCTGCCGTCTGGACCTGTGCAGGAAGCCAGAGACGAGGCCATCCGGCACGCCAAGGCCATTGCCGACAGCGAGATGGACAAAGTGTGGGGTGCCTGAGCTCCGGGACAGCGAGACGACATGAGTACACTTTGGATGCATCGTCGACTTCGCTGCAGCTATTGCTGAAGGCAGTCCGAAGAAGCCTCATTGCACAAGGACAGCAGTGGCTTGCAATTTGCGGTTTTTGTGTTCCAGATGAGGCCCATCGTTTTGTTCTCAGTCAACGTGTAAAGAAATGACCTACAGGAAGAACAGCGAGTTCAAAGTGAGAAGGTGCAGGCCGACAAGGCTGAAGCCTGAGCCCAGCAACGTTTAGGTGATGGCTGTGCCAGAGGATGGCGGGGTTTTCCCCATGCTGACAAGGATATGAAAGCTGCGAAGCAAAGCATGCAGCAGGTGGCAGCAACCCTATCATTCACGGTACTTGGAGCCATGGTGCATGGCGTGGTCTTGATGCAGCTGTCCATTGTAGGCCGCCCCGACCCCCCCCTAAGCCCGAAACTTTTCCCACTTCGTGCTTGACGCCTGTGTGTTGCGCCCCTCGCCCAGGAGGCGAAAGCCGAAAAAGCCGACTCAGAGTTTGTCCGGCACCGGGCCGTCCAGTGCACGCAAGAGTTGTGCCGCTCCCAAGCCACGCGAGTTGGTTCCACGCGAGTTGCCCACGCTAAGGCGAGTGCCCAGCGAATGCAAGAGCATGCCCACCGCACGAAGGCCTGGGACTTGTGACAGTGTGTCTGGAAAGAGAGTTTAGATGTTTTGGTGAGGGGTTCGGGTTTAGGGCTTGTGGGGCTAGGGCTATGAGCTTCGGTTTCCAGGGTTTCCGTTGAATTGGGTAGGTTTGGAGTTTGAGCCCGAGGGTGTTGAGTGGTGTGTGTCTGTGTCTCCAGCTTGACAGAGTTCCTCAAACCGACCCTGTTCAGGAGTCCGCAGACAAGGAGATGGGAAAAGCGGAGCACCTCATGACCCTGGCAAAGCCCGGGAGCCCAAATGCCAACTCGGAGAGCCACAAAACACCCTCGCATCGAGCCCTTGACCTGATAAGGCGCATGCATCACGAGGAGCTGGAAGCCATGGCCGCTGTTGGGCCCTTGGGGCGAGCCTTCGCAGGGCCTCGCAGCGTGTCGCGGTGCAGTTTTTCAGCGGGTGCTCAGGTGCGGCAGATGGAAGCGCAGGCCAAGCACGACCTGCAAGTGGCGTACAACGAAAAGGATCCCTGCTTCACGGGCTTATACGATGATACTTCAACGGACCATTTTGCACCGCCCGAAAGGACACTGCCACGCAGGAGGCCTCCACTGCAGATCCCTCGGAAGTTAGCGGGGGGAAGTCAGCGGAAGTCGAAGGGCAAGGGATGCTCAACTCCACGCTGTGAAGTGATCTCTTGCCTAAGGTTCACGAGGCAAGCACGAAGGCGCTGTTCACATCTGTTTGCGGAGCTCTTACCCTGCTTAAGCGATCTGGGCTCTTCATTTGCTGCAAGATCCGCGCCCTCGAGAACGAGAAGAGGCGTCAGATCGCCATCGCGAAGCAGGAAGCAGCGAACGCCCAGCTGTCGCCTCACTTCTTGACAGTAGAGGCTCTCTCGGCGGAGAGCCTTTCGCAGCCATCTGCAGCCCAAGGCAAATCGCGGCCAGTGCCGGAGCAGACTGGAGCCCAGCAAATTGGGATCCACGAAGATTTCAGGTTTAATGAGCCTCAAGTGGCCTCAAGAGCACCTCTCCAAACCTGAGATGCCTTGGAGAGCTGGGCTGAGGAGAAGCGTCATGCAGACGCCGAGATAGCCTCTGTTGCAGGCATGGTTCGGGAGGCGCGCCGCAAAATGGAGAGAGTCACGCCCGAAACACAGTACATACAGTTCCACCCGCGGCCGTGCCATTTTCTTCGCTCTCTCTCTCTCTCTCTTTCTCTTTTCCTTTCTGCTTCATTTCTTCACCCACAGGGAAAAGCGGCGGAAGCCAAGGGTGAACGGATGATGCGGGAAGCCAGCCAACAGCAGGCTGAGTTTGTTAGCTGCACCTGTGCCAGAGCCTTGCCCGAGTAATTCTATGGTTGTCCATGTCTTACTCACGATTTCCTTGGCTGCAGGCGAACCTTACAGCAGTGCAGAAGGAGGCCGATCAGGCAGGCTTCTTGGAGGGGCTTCCAGATAAAGAAGGTTGCAGGTGTGTAGGTGGTATGGGAAGACTGCGACTTGCAACCATCCTGACCCCCTCCTCCCCTCGACATGTGCATGCGACGATTCATATCAGCAAACTAGCATTAAGCTCTGAGCACTCCATGCAAGCCCCTCAAGCCCGAACACCCAACAAATCCCCAACAAATCCCAAGCCACGCCTCCTCCATGCACTCGCCCCGAAAAGAGTGAACCCCAACCGCGCAACAGGGGGCCGCGGTTTGCAATCCAGGCTGAAGAGGTTTGAGGGGTTTAGGGGTTGTTCCTTTAGGGGTTTAGGGTTGGTTGGAGGCCAAAGAAGCAGCAGAGACGAGCTTGGCGAAGGCATTGCCCGCGTTTGTCAGTGATGGTTTCGCCTCGAACCTCTTAGGCCCCAATGGATAATGTTCTGGCACCTGCTGTGACTAGGCTCAGAAGGCGGAGCAGACAGCTGAGGAGAAGGAGCAGGAGGAGCAGCAGGCGAGAGAGACGCACACAAACACCCAGCTCTCAAAAACCAGCTCCCAAACCCTTGCAGTCTTCCACCCGTCTCCATAAACAAAAGTCCTTTTTGTATTTTCTCTCCCTCTCCGGGGGAAAAGAGGCCATCGAGGAGGCCAAGGAGGCGAAGGACCGAGCCGGGGCCTCGGAGCGCCGGCGCCAAGCCATATCGAGGCCCCCCCCCTTCTCAAGACGAAGACGAAGCCCCCCCCCCCCCCCATTTTGAGAGTTTTGGGAGGCCCCCCCCAAAAAAAACAAGAAGCAAACCAGAAAAGCATGCCTAAGCCTTCGCTCGAATCACCGAGTGTTGGGGAGAAGCGGCACGTCGTTCTATACAATACCACTCCGTTGCTTCCGTTGCTTCCGTTGCTTCAGTTGCTTCCGTTGCTTCCGTTGCTTCCGTTGCTTCCGTTGCTTCCGTTGCTTCCGTTGCTTCCGTTGCTTCCGTTGCTTCCGTTGCGCCGCCCCTCCAGTCTCAAAGGGTGTTTAGGGTGTTTAGGGGGTTTTGGGGGTTTTGGGGTCTTCAGGGTTTAGGGGTTGAGAGTTGAGGGCTCAGTGTTCAGCGCCGCAGGACGCGACGTATCATCGTCACATGTTGCTTTCAGGTCCGCGCGCATCACGCGGGGGGTGTTCGTGGGCTCTGTGTGACCTTTTGAAGTGCCTGGGAGCCTGTGTTACAAAGGCCAGCAGCGATGCAGAGGCCATGGAAGAGCATCTGGACATCAAGGAAAACCGTGACTGCGGCTGCACTGGTCGATTGAAAGTTGAAAGTCGACCGTGGTTTGTGGTATATCATGGCTCAAGATCCCGCACTTGGAGCCTAAAGGGCGAGCAGGGACGGAGCTCTCAAATAAAACCGTCAGTTTGAGGTGTCCGGCCAGCATCGACAAGCTCGCACACCAACCGCTGTTAGTAGCAGAGTAGCAAAGGTCCAGAAATCGGACAAACATGCAGGAAGGCGACCAGGACATTGCACGGAACCTTGTGCCCTCATCTCAGGTTACCTCAAGTTGGGCCTGTTCTTGGCGACGATTCTTGCTTGGGCGGCATTCATTGCTTTGCACGGAGCCTACACCATCATGATTGAGCCAATTGCGATGTGCCGGAAGCGTGCAGAAAGGCCATGGTGCCAGATCAGGATTTGGTCACGGTACAAACATCAAGAGCTTCACGACCACCATCTCAACATGATTGTTGAGCCCTCAGTTGCGAACGCTGTCCGTGCACTAGCTTCGAAAGCCATTGCAAGAAAAGCCCTTGGGCTCGGCAAACTGGTCAAAGCATACTTGCGCGTCGAGCGAGGGAAGCACATACAAACCAACGACCTAAGCCTACAGAGAGCGGGAAGAAGGGAGAGACGAGAGAGAGCGGCTGAGCTCCTTTTGTGCACAAGAGAGCCGGCAGAGGGGGGGGGAGAGGGGGGCGGGTTTGCTGAGCTCTGAGCTGAAAGGTCCGTCTGAATGGTGACAAGATGGAGTGCCAGAGCCTCAGAACCCTGCGAGACTGATTTCTCTTCCATGCGAGTGACTCTGCATTTGAATTTGTGTTTTTGCGCTTTGAATCGTGGCTTCAGCTGAACTGCACGTGCCGCGCATGTTGCGCATGTGTCTGTTTGCTTCGTGTGCTCCGACTTGGCAATAGTTGGTTTGCGTGTCATAGAAACAGAGAGAGCGGCCATGAGAACCTCTGAGCCGCGAGGATGCCTGCTACGACGACAATAAATTTTGCATCCAGATTGATCGCTTCCAATGCTGTCAACTGTGTTTGAACTAGCAGCCCACATCGACCCCAAACTGGGCAACGCCAGAGACAGAAGTCGCGAGTCATTCCCAAACACCAGTTGGGTGGAGGTCCTAACAAATAAGTGCACGATACGCAGAGCTTGCAAAGACGATTGAAGGTGCCTTCCAAGACTGAGCCTGGTAGCTGCCTGTGTTTGAGCGATCTGGGGCTTTGCAGAGTAGTGAATTTAGCGATGAGTAGTGAGTATTTAGCGATACGGAGCACAACTCGTTGTCGCGAGGTCAGGAGTTGTTGCACGAGACCCTCGAGCGCATGAGACAGCCTGGCGCGCAGCCGCAGGCCCGGCGCTGCGCAAAGCCCTGCGTGCCATTCCTTTGGTGGTCCTAACGTGTTCATATGGCGTCACATGAACTGCATCTTGTTGCAATGGCACTTGGCTTGGTTGCTTGGCACTGAGGAGGCGCACACGCTCAGCCAGCCTTTGCTCGGAGATTGCAATGCAGATCCGGCCCCCCCGACACCCAACAAGGGTGGCTGAGGCAAAGGACAGTCCGTCTGGTGCATGATGACAGTGCCTTGTTTGAGCTTGTTTCAGCGAGCGCAGAAGGTTTCTTGAAGTTGCTGACAGTTCTTTGAAGCTGTTGCGTCTGGAGTGCAGGATTAGTTTTTCATACTGAAGACGATGTAACCCAAAGTAATCTAAGCGCACTGGCAGTTCCATTGTGGCTGCGCAAGGAGTTTGGCCTGAGCAGGTCCAAAGACTCGCTTGACCCGTCACTTTCAACTGGATCAGGGCTGCCTGATCCAGTGTGCATAAGCCATTAGCCTCATTAGCCATAAGCCTTCATACCTCATCATACTGACTCATCATACCTCATACTGACTCATACTTGTCCGCATGATTCACCATGGTTTGAGCTTTCTCTTGCTGCCCATGTCGGACTCCACGCATGGAGTAGATGTGGCACTCAGCTGCCGTCTTCTTGTAGTAACGTTTGCCAAGACCGGCAGTGCCCAAAACTGCTTGGAATGTAGTGTATTTTGAAGGCCAGAAGTTAGGTGCTCCACGCCAAAAGGTATGTTAGGTAATGTGGCACTCGCAGCGCGTCTTCAGTTTTAACGCCTCTTTGAAAGCTCCCAAAGCTCGAGATCAGGTTGTCACACAGGTGCAGTTGGGACATTCCTTCAGCTATCTATGACCATGCATGATGATGCCACACAATGATGTTCTTTGCGTTGTCACTTGTGACCACTGCCCCAGTTGGTGCAAGTAAGTCTGTGTGCCAGTCTGAAATCTCAGACTTGTCTTCTGCAGCGGTTGTGGGTGTCCTATACAGGCCAAAGTAGATGCTTTTCCCCAGCACTCGGCCAAGGCCGACGTAGAGGGCTGTGCCCACTTCCCGAAACTCTTTCTCTCCCTGCAGGTTCTGCTGAGAGCTACAGTGTGGACTCATATAAAGCGCAAGAACTCAACACTCCGGACTCCGGATTGCGAATTCACACAACTGCCACTGCAGTCTGCCGAAAGCTTTCAATTTCGACCCTGCAAGCCTGCGGGAGTAGAGTCTTCGACATCCCACCATTAAGGTTCGAGTTCTTCTTGACGAAGGTGTAGCAAGCGCAGCTATGGGGGGCCATTCGCAGTGGAAGGGAAGATGCCCCAATTCCATGCAGACTGAGTATCGGACACATGAGAGCCGAATTGTAATTGTAAACGCGGCGTACCTCTAGAAAGCTCGTTGAAGGTTCTGAGTTTTCTTAGGGTTGAGCAGGGGTCTTCAAGAGGCCTCAAGAAGGTCCAAACTGGGTGGGCTTGATTGCGGTACATAAGGGGGATGCCAGGGCTTCGGAATTCCAAGGTATCCAAAATTGAGGGTACTGGAGGGGTGTTTCAGGGCCGAGTCGCATACCAAAGAAAGCCTGGAGCCTTAGGTGAACCTTAGGCGAAACATAACTCGGCCAGCATGACTGGGGGCATCTTCTCTGCCCCTCCAGAAATGAACATTTGACTGATCAGCTCTGGTCGAACAGTGTCTTCACGGATTCAGGGCCTGGCGTGACAGAAGCTGATCAGCCTCTTGAGGTCAGTTCCTAAGGAACCCAGGCCCATCTCAAGTGCCCCTTTCAGAGCAGTCGCCTCAACCGTCTTCTTGAAGCTTCCTCGAAAAGTATCCGTGGGCAGGCCCTGCTGGAGAGGTGTCATTTGAGTCTTGTGTTCCACATTTTAAGACAGCGTAGACGCTCGGGTCGAAACGCAAGGCATCAAAGTGTGTTACAGCATGTTGCAGCATGATTACATCCTCGACAGTTTGCCAGAGCTGTGGTCTTCTTCTGGGTATCAATCGCCGTCCCGGCTTCTGCAGGGAGTTCTCACGGGTGGCCCCTCCTCGTCCTTCAGAAAGCCATGGCGAAGCGCACCAAGAAGGTCGGAATCACGGGCAAGTACGGCACGCGCTACGGTGCCTCGCTCCGAAAGATCGTGAAGCGCTACGAGATCCAGCAGCGTGCCAGGTACATGTGCACTTTCTGTGGCAAGGAGAATGTGAAGCGCCTCGCAGGCGGCATTTGGAAGTGCAAGTCCAAGACCTGCCAGCGGACCATTGCCGGCGGCTGCTGGACCCTGTCCACGGGCCCCGCCGCCACCGTGCGCGCGACCATCGCGCGCCTCAAGAAGCAGCAGGGCGGCGGCGTCGAGGAGTGAGCTTGCAGCTATTGCCATTGAAGGGTCGAAGAATCTGCTCGCCATCCAGAAAAGTGTTTGTCCGAGCTATTCTATGTGGTTCAGGCAGGGTTGCCAGACTTGCACTTGCTTGCAGGGCATGGGCTGCCATAGAGCTTAGATGAGCTTAGTGAGCTTGTGGTCCGGTTTGCTGCGTGCCTGGAGCATGTTGGAGTGTGCTGTCCTTGCATCACATGTATGCATGCATGCATGCATGCATAGCTAGCTATATATGTGAGTTTTGGAGGGCGTGCTCAAATACACACAGCTGGGACAGGCAACGTGATGGACAGATGTGGGGACGGGGGCTCGAGCTTCCGAGAAAGTTCTTCCCTCGGTGGTCTCTCCATATTGTGACACTGTAGAGAGGGGGTACGTGTGCAGGAGCGTTGGGAAATGAAACCGCTTTGCGCGTGGTTTTGGGCATTGGCTTTGATCTCTTGGGCCGCGCACGTACAGAACGCAAGATGAAGGTCATTCGTCAGTCTCCAACACGTTCTGCGCTGACATCGACGGAGTTTGAGACAAGATGTTTTTCGACAGAGTGAGAGCATGTGAGCTCTGTTCTACTTTGCTTGCTCCCAGCTTCTCTTTTTGGCCACAGCACGCATACCGCTGAAGGAGCGACCAAGCCTAGAATGCCCACTTGCCTGGCTGTCAGTGTCGTGCTTCTGCAACAACCCTGAACCCTAAACCCTAAGCCCTAAACTCTAAACCCTAAACACCCTAAACCCTAAACTCCATAAACCCGAAGCCCTAAACTCTAAACCCTAACCACCCTAAGCCCTAAACTCTATAAACCCTAAACCCTGCTTCCATCGGCGAACTCGGTTTCCACGTTTCCTTTTCTGGTCAGGAAATACACGAGTTGACCGGCCAACGGGCTTTTGATTGCTCCGGGTGGGTGGGGGGGGTGTTTTGTGGGCGTTCGGAGGATCCCAAGCTTCCTCGGCAATGCGAGATTTGTTTGCTGCTCTCACAGCTGATTGGTGATTGCCATCTCCGCCGCTGGCCGTCCCGGCTTCTGCAGGGAGTTCTCACGGGTGGCCCCTCCTCGTCCTTCAGAAAGCCATGGCGAAGCGCACCAAGAAGGTCGGAATCACGGGCAAGTACGGCACGCGCTACGGTGCCTCGCTCCGAAAGATCGTGAAGCGCTACGAGATCCAGCAGCGTGCCAGGTACATGTGCACTTTCTGCGGCAAGGAGAATGTGAAGCGCCTCGCCGGCGGCATCTGGAAGTGCAAGTCCAAGACCTGCCAGCGGACCATTGCCGGTGGCTGCTGGACCCTGTCCACGGGCCCCGCCGCCACCGTGCGCGCGACCATCGCGCGCCTCAAGAAGCAGCAGGGCGGCGGCGTCGAGGAGTGAGGGCCTGGCTTGCCGACCACAGTCATTGACCAAAGCAAATGCCAGCCACCCAGAGAAAAAGATCGCTTTCGGAGTTCAGTCACGGCCTTAGGAGAGCGCAGTCGGTCTACCAACAGTATAGCTCTTCACTTAAGACTTAAGACGATTGGCACCACAAGGCCCCAAAACAAGACTGATTCCCGGCTTCTGCGGATCGCAGGCTGCAGAAGCAAGACATGCCACCTCGGACTTCCAGCAGTTGAAGCAGGCACCCAGTGCCGGTCTGGCCATTCAACAGAGAGGGGAAATGTGACTTCGCGATCAAGAAGTCGGCGCTTGAACTCGCGCCTAGGCTTTGCTGCAGCGTTGTCCTCTGACTTCAGGAAGTGAAGATCCTGGAAAGCCGCACACAAAGAATCGAAGAGCGGCTGGAGGCGCAAGGATCCTTTGCATCAGGATCTGCTTTGGCCTTCCTTCTCACCCCCACTCGTCGCGAAGGCCTCGCTGAATGCCATCTTCACTCAGCTCGGCCCAGCCTATCCTTCCGCCGCCTCGTCTGCACAGCAGGTGGGCATGACGACACAGTCGTGAGATTTTTTTGTGAGCACTCGGTTTTCGCACAAGAGGTTGTCCCTGTGCGTGGCTCTGCCCACCTGGCACAGAGACCGCTTCTACGCCAGTGGAAGCCTCAGAGCTTGTCTTAGCGAACCCCATGAAGCGAGTCACTTCCGGCGCAAGTTGCCCCAGGCACTTCGGCCCCGAGTGCCTCCCGGCCTTTCGGCATGAGGATCAAGAGGGGGGTGTCTTTAGAGGGCTTTGAAGTCTGGAGAGGGCTCAGAAGTCCTTTCAGGACACCCGGCTGATGCCGTTCCACCCTGGTCACCAGGCAACTTCTGCAGCAGAAAGGGTGGACGTCATGGCAGGTTGAGCTCTGTGCTCTTGATCCCGCTGCGCTGCTGCTGGCCCCAGCTAAGAGCATCCTGAAAGTCACAGTCGCCCAGCATCGTGTGTGGGACTGCTCAGCTGCTCAAAGACCACCTTATCAGTAGAAAGGGAGATGTGATGCGGCCAGAATGTCCTGAGCCATGTTGAAACTTCTCGGGCATGTCTGCCAGCTTCCTGCACAGGCTGGGGAAGAGGGTCAGCAAATTGGAGCGGGGCAGACAGCACGGACATTGGCAAGGATGCCAGCACCGCCTAAGCGAGGCCTCTTCGCCCTTCTCGCGGCCTCTGCCGCGAAGTGCGGCGCTGCGACAGGCCCTGGTCGCTGCGCGGGGTGCTGCCACGCAGGAGCGGAGAGCCGCACTCGGCGGTTTTGGAGCCAACTTTTTTGAGCCTGCTCAGCTTTGCTCGCCTTCGCCAGGCAGTTCTTCCAGTGATCAGCGATGGGGACCTGAAGGACGGGCCGAAGGCTCTTGCCAGTGTTGCAGCTTAGCGCTGCGCCCGTGCTTGAGGAGCTGGCAGTTGGCCCCAAGCCCGTGCTTGTTCATTGTGGAGCAGACTGGAATAAGAGCACCTTGCCTGGAGAGATGGAACAGTGTCGTACAGTGTCCAGAACCGCAATTCAACACTGAGTGCTGTCAGTGCTGTCAGTGCTGTCAGTGCTGTCAGTGCTGTCAGTGCTGTCAGTGCTGTCACTCCAAGGAAGCAGAGAGGTTGCCTCGGCTCTCGCTGACTGGGATTCTTCACAAACATCAGGCTCGGATGCCAACCGATTGTTCTTTGAGATCTGAGGTCTAGATACATGGTTTATGGTCTAAGAGGGCTTAGGTTAGATTAGATTAGGGGGACCACCGAACTAGGACCTTAGGATCGCTTCTGTCTGAGGCTCGCTGGTTTGCCGAAGTCTGGATGTCTTCTCATCGCCGGAGACGGTGCGAACGCGGCACATCAAGGCAGCACGTCTTGTGACGTTCTGCATCGGCACCTTATCAGCTGCAAGTGCTTTTGGTATTTGTGGCTCTGGTGAGTAGGACAGACTTGAAGTATGTACTAGTACCATGCAACGAACGGAAGTGAGCCCTGCACCTCTGCACACTTTACTACATAGAGCGAGCGCTGGCAGGGGCTCCCTACGCTTCTGCTGCTCGCACGGGGTCGGACTGTCGCGCGCGCGGACGGAGCCAACGTCACAGTGGCTAGGTGGAACTATAGGGGTCTTAAGTAGGATGATCGCAGAGCAGACGCGCCTTCAAGGACTTGCAGCGAATCCTAAGCCTGGCCGGTCCCCTCTTGGACAGCACTCCGGAGGCCGCAGCCTCAAAGGGGACCTTTGCATTGACCTCTGTTTTGGCGGGAGTGGAGGGCGCAGCGAGTTGGGTGGGAAGGGTTGTTCTTTAAGGATCTGCGGGCAGGAAAATTGGGTGGGGGGTTGGGGGCACAGGATGGCGCGCGCACGCCGAGCAAAATCCTTAACATCAGAAACTTCCAGGGCTGGCCGCTGTCACCATAGTGTTGTTCGCTAGTGTGGAAACGTTTTGAGCTGGTAAAGCCCCATGCTCCGGGATCCCAGCCAGCCCGAATTTCTAAGATCCCAACGTCCAAGGGCTGCAGGCGTGGTTTTGCAGGGGTATTCAGAACGGGCTTTGCAGGGTGTTCGAGCGAAAACCAACGCTCCAACTCTCGATCCCGGGTTTTGGGATTTGGGGTTTTGGAAGGGAGAATGGGGAGGCTTGGGTCGGCAATCGGAGTATCCACGCCGCTGGCTGTAAAAGCGAGAGCAAGCTCGGGTTCAGGCTTTTTGCGGGTTGAATGTATCAATTATGCATACAGAAGCCCGAAACTAAGGCTACGTCGGACCTATGGGTAGGTCTACCCTAGGCCTACGGGTAGCCTATGTACAGGCCTACGTAGAGGCTATGCGAGGCTACCTATAGGCCTTTCCGTAGGCCTACGAGTGGGCTACTGGTAGGCCTCCCTGTAGGCCTACCAGTAGCCCACTGACAGGCCTACCAGTAGGGCTGTGGATAGCCTACCGGTAGGCCTACCCGTAGGCCTACGGATAGGCTACAGGCAGGCCTATCCGTAGGCCTACGGGTAGGCTACCGGCAGGCCTACCCGTAGGCCTATGGGTAGGCTACCGGCAGGCCTACCCGTAGGCCTATGGGTAGGCTACCGGTAGGCCTACCCGCAGGCCTACGGGTAGGCGACCGGCAGCCCTACCCGCAGGCTTATACGTAGTCGAGGCATAGTAGTAGTGATGATCTCGGGGCTGGGGCTCGGGCACAAAAAGGAGGGCCTAAGAGTCCATGCGTGCGTGATTTCTTTTACGGATGCACATGATGTCTCGGGTTGAGAATTTAGGGAGCAGTTTGAGGAGTGCTTTCGTCGTTTCTCGAGTCCTGGGGCTCGGTCCAGGGCCTCGGGCGTACGCCCTGGACCGAGCCCCAGGACTCGAGAAACGACGAAAGCACCCGTCAAACTGCTCCCTAAATTCTCAGCCCGAGACATCATGTGCATCCGTAAAAGAAATCACGCACGCATGGACTCTTAGGCCCTCCTTTTTGTGCCCGAGCCCCAGCCCCGAGATCATCACTACTACTATGCCTCGACTACGTATAAGCCTGCGGGTAGGGCTGCCGGTCGCCTACCCGTAGGCCTGCGGGTAGGCCTACCGGTAGCCTACCCATAGGCCTACGGGTAGGCCTGCCGGTAGCCTACCCATAGGCCTACGGGTAGGCCTGCCGGTAGCCTACCCGTAGGCCTACGGATAGGCCTGCCGGTAGCCTACCCGTAGGCCTACGGATAGGCCTGCCGGTGGCCTACCCGTAGGCCTACGGATAGGCCTACCGGCAGCCTACCCGCAGGCCTACGGGTAGGCCTACGCGTAGGCTGCCCGTGGCCCTTTGATACGTCTACGGGTAGGCCACACGAGGGCCTACGGATAGGCCTACGCGTAGGCTGCCGCAGACTCTACCGACAGGCCTACGCGTAGCCAGCCGTAGGCCCTACAGCTAGGGCTACGGGTAGCCTATACGTTTGGGCTTCTTTACCCAATTATGGTATGAATCATGAAAACCGAGTGCTTTTGAACAGCAAGGCGTCGATCCCCTAGGAAGTCCAATGCAGTCCTGGTAGCTCTCAGACACAGGGATGTTCATATTTCCGATCCGGTAGTTCTCTAACTCAGGTTTCGCCATTTTCGGACTCCCCACCCTGGGTTTGCTTTGTTGCTCTCTGTTGTCTTGCTTGTCCCCTAGAGCTCCCAGTGCGGGGCTTCCAAATCGCTTTTCAGGAGATTCCGATTCCCAAAGCTTTCTGTACCGTGGCTCTGCCTAAATTGCTCTCAAAACCGCATTACGAAAACACTCACAGGCTCTGAGGCGTCCAAACTGTCCATGTCTCGCAGTGACACCGTAGAGACAACGCTACACTCATGCCTCCGCTACAGCGGGCGCCTCATACAGAGGCGATCTGCGGGTCCTGTGACCCGGCTCAAGATCTAGTCGGGCCACAAAGGCACTAGACCCTAGTGGCGCGACTAGACACACAGAGCACCCAACTGCTCTGTGCCCAAGAAAGGCCCCTCGAAACTACAAGGCGGCTGCATTCACAGACCCCGCACTTGTGCTCCCTTCGGCGGCGCGCCCGACGAAGAACACCCTCCCGATGCAAGGATCACGAACTCGATGAATGGCATCACCTGAGCCAAGGCCCCGTGTGGCTGGAACTGGACTGTCAGCACATACTTGGTGTCCTTCTTGGCCTTCCAGAAGTTGCAAGCGATGACTTCGGGCTCCATGGCCGTCGGTGTGGCCATGAGGGGGAACATCAGCTTGAGCATCTCGTGCTGCTCCGCGAGGGACGGCCGGCGCGCTGCTGCAAGAAGCTTGTCCGTCTGGGCCAGGGCTGCTTGCTCGTCCTGAGAAAGTCGCTGCAACTCGCGCTCTGCCGCAAACTTCACGAGGGCTCCTGCTAGAGTGGTCTTGCGATGCTTGTCCGGATGCGGTTTGCCCTTGCCGGGGCTGCGCCCATCGTAGTAGGCTGCTGCAGCCTGCATGGCTTGGGCCAGTCCGCATCCCTCCAGAGGCAGAAAGAAGCACGGCGTGGCACCTTCGAGCTGGCGCAGACGGTAGTCCAAGTTCTCCATCATGCGGACGAGCTTCTTGTGGTTCGCCGTGGGATCCTCCGTTCTGGGTCTCTTGCTCTGCTCCGTCGGCTGCATGAGCGCGTCCCCCGCGCCGTTGCCGATCCACATGTCGAGCTGGCTGGAGCAAGGCAGTTCCTGAGTTTCCTGGGCCTCGATCCACTGCGCATGGGCGGTCACGAGATGCTCGAAAATGACGCTTGGCAGATGACATATTACAGAAAACAGTCAAACACTTGGGGCATTGATTGGTCTGCACTTCAGGACACACAACCTTCTTATGCTTCGCAACTTCATGCATGTTGAGGGCACGACGGGTGTCAAAAGTTCGGGCACAAATTGCGCACCGGACCCCTTCGCCCTGAACATCTTGTGCCCATCCTAAGTCTGGAGGGGTCGCCGGATCCTGGCGATCGTCTGCTTGCAGAGCATCAGCAGTCATAGCACTGGGCCCCCGCGGCGACTCCACATTTTGGAGCACCCATGAAAATGATGGGTCACATGCCAGAAGCAGTTGCATCCAGCCAGGCTGAAAAGCATGGAACTGAGGCACTGCCGCCGCAAGGTCATCATATTACGAAAACAAGGCCAAACAACGAGAACCTTCGGAGCTTCAGAGGTGAGGAACACATCCCCCTGACTTTGTCACTTCACAATTTGTGCATGCGTCTATGTTGGCCTTTCAAGCTCCCGTTGAGCCGCTCCACATCGGTGCGAGCGGCCTAGGTGCAACTAATGGTATGCAGTCACACACACACACACACCAGGGAGCACTTCCGTCATCAAACCGGTAGCCCTAAGCACCTCAATGATCCAGAGGCACCTTGCCGCTGAAGAGCATCAAAAACAAAAACATGTCGCCTCCGCCTTCGTGCGTGATGCCTGGGCACCAGCTTTCAAAAGAGTCGAAGAAGGTCACATGCTGACATGGCATGGCCAAAATGGGCAGACCTTTGACCAATGAGGCTGTGGAAGCTGTCTGCACTTGCATCTGTTTGAAAGGTTTTTCGGGATGTTTGAAACATGTTTTTGCTTGAGGCAAAATCTGAAGATGTTATTCAGCTGAATGCTTTGTTTCAGTCGAGTTCGAAATCAAGCATCCGCATTCATCTCCAATGCTGAACCAACGTCTGGGTTTTGGCTTTTGGTTGAATGTCATTGTCCTTCGCCAACACCAACAAATGCTTGGTCCAGAAGCTTTGTATCCGTGCACGTTTTCTGTTGGGTGGGCCTGTGGCTAGTGACTCGCCTCAGGACAATCTTACTTGTGAGCAGGCTCTCGAGGCAGCGGAGGACTGGCGTCGAAGCAGGTTAGACGTCTCTCTTGCAGCGTATGCCAAGTTGAGTCGAGCTGCGAATGTGACTTGCAGGAGGCTCTGGCGAGGGCCGACGGCATTGCAGGTGCCAGCGAGAGGAGAAAGACTTGAAAGACGAGGGAGCTCCTTTAGGGCCAATAGCGCTACCCGAGGGTCCGGTGTTCTTGTTCTCCTAGGCATGGCAGGGGCCTTTTTACCCGTAGGTGTAGCGGCACCCCTTGGTCCCCTGGTTCTGTGTCTTTGTTTTTTTTCCTAAATGTCGCGGGACCCTTTTGTTTTCTCCTAGATGTGGCAGGACCCCTTAATCCCGTGGTGCCTTAGTCCGTTCTGCGTGTTTTTTTTTCTCATATTTTCCTTAGGTGTTGCGGGTGTGGCGGACCCCCTCGGTCCCTTGGTCCCTTCGTCCTCTGGTCCTACGGTCCCTGGTCCCCCGGTCCTCTCCAGAGAAAAGATTACTAAAAGAAGTATTTTGGCGTAGTGTCTGAATGTTCGACATGCATTTGGCTGCGCCGCCCCGCTTATTTTAATCTTTCAAAGCCATAGTTGCAAGCACACAGTTTGCGACTAGCCGTGCGATTAAGGAACGTGCCATGAAGAGAAATGGTGAAAAACAAACCGTGCCGTACTCTCTTTGACCCCTGCTTGCAGCAATCCCCCCCCACCCTCCCTGCTTGTTTCAAATCCTTTCAGAACCAATCATGCAAACACAATGTTTCAAACGGGGTTGCGCTCCCCCCACAGCCCCCCCCCCCCCACAGCCCCCCGCAATTTTCAAGCTTGCATGAAGGAACATGTCATGCAAAGAACTTAATGGTTTCAAAACCCATATGAACCTGTCATTGAAAGCACGAACTCTGCAAATGGGCCCCCCTGCGCACAGGCGAACACGGTGCTTCGTATGATGGGCTTTGAATGGACCCCCATTTGCAGAGTTAGTGCTTACAATGGCTGGTTGGGAGGAACTCATATGGGTTTTGAAACTTCTAAGTTCTGTAGCTGTAGCTTGCACGGCTAGAATAAGCGGGGGGGTTGGTTTGAAGGGGGCGCACCCCCCCCCCTCCCGGCTTTGCAAACAAGGTGCTTTGTATGACGAGCTCTGAATGGATTCGAAATACCGGGCGGGGGTCTGCTTATTGTGGCCGTGCAAGCTTGCATTAAGCAACATCTTGCCATGAAGAGAACTTCATGGTTTCAAAACCCATATGAATTCTTTCCAACCCACCAAGTTTGCAATTTGGGGGCGGGGGGGGGGGGGGGCGGGGGCACCTAGGAGAAAAAGAGGGTTCCGCCATACCTCAGGCCCACCACACCTAGGGGGAAAATGCGGGCCCCGCCACACCTCGAAAAACAACACCTCCGCCCCTACCCGAGATAGAAATTCGAGTCGAGCTCCGACTCTCCCCCCATCAAGCCCTTTCTGGTACACCACCCTACAGTGTTTGTTTATCTAAATTTGCAGCTGGCTTCGGAAGTACCTAAGCAGTCAGACTTGTGAAGGGTTTGGACCCTAAAGACGGATGTTGCATGGGCGGTGGGAAGAGAATACAACACCACAAGCCAAAGCCACGATATCATCTTGTGTAGAAGCTGCAATTGACTGCCCATCAATGCCAGATTCTAGTAAATGCAAGCGCCTCGGCCCTTGGCACGCGACGGCAGGCCTTGAGAAGGCGGCCCGCCTTTTCAATCGGGCTTTGCCATCCAGCAACCCAGAAGGCGCAGCAGCAGTGCATCAAGAACCACAAGTTACGCCATGCTACGCTTCATATGTGTGCAGTGCAGCCTTAGGCAATTTCCAAGGCGTGAAACAGCGCTCCGACCACGCCTTTCGGGCTCGACTGGGTCTGGTCCAGACGGCCGTGCAGGCCGCTCTCTGAGAGTGCCTTTGTGAACTCTTTTGAGGATGCTTTTGAGAATGGTTTCGCTGGATCCTGACGAGGCGCTGGAAGCGGAGACGCCGCGCTCAGCACAGGAGCCATCAAGCGAGATCGGCCAGGCTGAGCTAGCAGCGCCACCAGTGGAGCGGGTCGAGGCTTAGCTTCTTAGTGTACCTGCGAGATGATGGGCCATTGGTGGGAGCAAGCTCTGTGCCCCTGTGCAGGCGCTGGCATCTGCGCTGTCGGATCTGCTGGCATACCATGAAGAGGCGAGAGTCGCGTGTGGAGAGCCGCGTGGGGCCGAAGCATATACAGGAAGTTACATAAGAAGAGAGCAAAGCAAAGCTATGCTGAGACTACACGAAACACGGGGGCTTCTCTCAGCACCAACACATGAAAATAGCCCCGCCCCCCATCCTATCCTCCATAAGGAAGAAGAGAGAAGAAGAGACACTCGGTGACGGGAGGCTGGAAGGAAGGAAGGAAGGAAGGAAGGAAGGAAGGAAGGAAGGAAGGAAGGAAGGAAGGAAGGAAGGAAGGAAGGAAGGAAGGAAGGAAGGAAGAGGAAGGAAGGAAGGAAGGAAGGAAGGAAGGAAGGAAGGAAGGAAGGAAGGAAGGAAGGAAGGAAGGAAGGAAGGAAGGAAGGAAGAGAGAGAATGAGAGATAATGAGAGCCAAAAGGAGAGACGAGCAGCCTCAGAAGTTGGAGGGGCAGTCGACCGTTGGCCCGCACGATGGTGGGGGGAAGACGTGTGGTGGTGGTGGAGGACGACAGCCAACCCGAAGATCGACCAGGGGGAAGCCAAAAAGCCAAGGACAACAACAGCCAGAAGAAGCAGAACAGAAACCAGTCGAAGGTGAGGGAGAAGAACCAAGACCATGGAGGGCACCGACACCAGCAAAGGGAGAGCCCATAAGAGGGAAGCCGGGAGAACGACTATACTCTCCTGACTTTCCTGAAGGAGGAAAGAAGAAGGAGGATAAGGAGGAAGGAAGCAGGAAGGAAGAAGGTGAAGAAGAAAGGAGAGTGAGCGACTCAAAGAGAGACTCGGCGAGGAGCTGCCGGGCGCTTCGGAGCTCCCGGCCCCGGACGCGCCGCGGTGCGCGGCGGCGCTGGCCCACGCCGAGCTGCTCGGAGGAATCAGAGGAGAGAGCATCCGAAAATGGAACATCCCTCTGGACATCCCTCTGAGCCATTTAACGAGAGCCTTTAGAGGAAGAAAACCCTAAAAGCCCCCTTTAACCCAACAGAGCTTCTCCCCCCCCCCCCGGTCAGAGTTTTTTCAGTCTCCGATGTTTGCTGTGCACGGCACTCCTTTCAAGACTTGTGACGAGCTGCGCGAACGGGAGCCCGCGAACAGCACTGTAGTCACGCTGAGCCAGCAATCCCTGTATCTTCACGGGATAACACTAATAGTAATACTACGAAGAGGACACAATAACTTCATGTTAAAGGGCGACAAAAGACCGCATGAAACCAAGGTACATGAGCGAAGTGCGCGTGTCTTTGTTGTGCTCTTTCGGCACTTTTTTTTTTGGCGCGCGGCTCGGTGCAACCGCTCGGTTTGCCCACGCAATTGGTCCCAAGGTACGCAAAACATGCGCTGGTGCAGTGTTTCCGCTGTGAGCCTGTCTGTATGTTTTGTTTTCACAAACGACCACCACCTGCAAGTTTTTGCATCCTGTGCACGCCGCTCCTTGAAGCTGTCGCAAACGACCGCCCGCGCCCGCTGCGGGTCTCGTTTGAGCGGCATGCACAGGACACAAAACCCGCACGGGATCGTGTTTTTGACGCATAGCGTTGTTTCTTGATATAATGACGATGTCCGCCCCCCACGAAACCCGCAGAGGGAAGTCGTTTGTGAAAACCAGACACAAAAAACACGCGGCGCTTACAGACCAGGTCACGGCGGAAATACTGTGCCAGCGCATGATCTACGTACCTTGGGACCAATGGCGCGGGCAAACCGGTTGGCGCGTGGCTCTAATGTTTGGTCGTGACTCTTAATCGAGCAAGTGCTCGACAGGTTACTTGTCGATGCATGGGCTCCCGCTCCGGATGCCACCGACGAAGAAGTTTGCATTCTGCGACTCTGGGCCTGCGGCTGGCGTCAGGCAGCCATCAACAAGGCCTGAGCTGGCAGAACAATGCAGAACCGGTCAGCATGTCACTGTATGTCCCGTCAATGTCCCGTCCACACTCTTAGCTTTGCCGTGACATAGTGAAGAGAACCTGCGTGCGATGGCTTCCTTGTTCGCCCTGATGGAAATGCAGGCCCTTGAGTGGTACCAGATGCTTTGGCTATCTTGGTCTTGCGTTCTACATTGGATGTGGCACAGACGATTTGTTGAATCCTGAGATTTTCTGAATGCAAGGATGGAGGCGGGCAGTGACGAGTCCGGCCTCATTGCGTCCTTCATCCTTCCAGAGCGGCTGATCCCGGACCGGCGAGGCTCTGTTCCGCGGCGGCGCGCGGCTCAGCGGCCCACAGAGTACGGCAGAGCAGGGCAGAGTACGGCACGGCATCCTTGTCTCCATGCAATCAGCGTAGAGCCACTGTAGTCACGCATGTCATAGTCCCTGGCCGTGCTGGGAATCCAGGAGCCTCTATTCTCGCATCGAGGGCCTTCCAAGAGACTTCGAGGCCGGGCTGCCCAGGGTGTGTATGAGTGTTTTCTGTAGGTTCCCTTTTCGCCCTCTTCCCCCGCCCTGAACTTCTTTCTCATTTTCCACCCTATCGCATTCACCCTTCCTTCGCATTCGCCCCTTCGCGCTCCGAGGCTCCCGGGCCGACCGCGCCGCGGGCGCTGCTGAGGCGTCTGCTGACCGCGGGCATCGACGAGGAGTTCAGGGAGGACCTGCAGAGGGCTTCCTTGCGCTGCCCGCGGAACACAGTATGCGACGATCTGCTAGAAATATGCGATGCCATATCCAGGGGAAGCCGAGCATGGTGACGAGGGCCCTTGGAGACTTGACTTACCTTCTCGACCGCAAGGAGCACCTTGGCAAAAACACTGAAGCGATGCAACAAGCACAAACGCGTTCCGGGTGTTTTTCTCCAGACTTTTGAATGCCTTATAATTCCAAGTCCACCCGAGGTTTGTGCCGTTCTTCACCAGGACGATCTGGAGGGGTAAAGGCGGTGCTCCGACAACGGGGCGTGGCACGGGCAAGAGGCTGCTTGGCACTGATGTTCGGGGTATCAATGATGACACTTCATCCACATGCAATCTGAGGACCGGTTTCAGCAAGCGCTATTGGATCAAGTACAAGGAAACTTTCTACCCAAACACGAAGCCGAAGCCCTAGTGCGCTGATTCCGAATTGTCGTGGGTTGATGCGCTTGGTTGGTCTTGATTGGCTGTTCTCGTCCAACTCCCAGTTGGCCGCGATGCCCATGAAGCCTTAGGGAGACTTGCAAAAGAGGAGACCTGAAGAGGAGACCTTGAGGGACAAATCTTCTGAAGCCCCCCGACAGAACGAAGATGCCGCAACCCGTGCGACCCACCGGGGTGTGTTGCCACTTTCTTGGCTTTTGGTCCAACCTCGGGATTGGCAGCTGGGCCAAACTGCCCATTCACTCATTCGAAATGCTCAGTGGCATCCAGCAAGTGCAAATCGTTTGTTTCATGCAAGGAAGATGGGGACTCCCCACTGCGACAAGAACGACTGAGGCACGTTAGAATCCTGGGAGGCCGACGCAGTTTGTTTCACCCGGCGCAGCTGACACGCACGTTGGAAGATTGGGGAGTGGAGCCCTGCACTAGACAGTGTTTCGCACCAGTGTTTCGCATCAGTGCAATGTCGCATAGCTAACTGCCTCGTGCATGTGCTGGGATTGTTTGGGGCTGCGCGCTCTTGCATTCTCTCAGGGTTGTTGGCAGCGAAGAAAAGAAGTTCCCTTTGCTCCTCAGAAAGCCATGGCGAAGCGCACCAAGAAGGTCGGAATCACGGGCAAGTACGGCACGCGCTACGGTGCCTCACTCCGAAAGATCGTGAAGCGCTACGAGATCCAGCAGCGTGCCAGGTACATGTGCACTTTCTGCGGCAAGGAGAATGTGAAGCGCCTCGCGGGCGGCATCTGGAAGTGCAAGTCCAAGACCTGCCAGCGGACCATTGCCGGTGGCTGCTGGACCCTGTCCACGGGCCCCGCCGCCACCGTGCGCGCGACCATCGCGCGCCTCAAGAAGCAGCAGGGCGGCGGCGTCGAGGAGTGAGGGCCAAGCTGATGACGCATCAACCTGAGAGAGGAGCATCGCTGCCGTACGAAAATGGGCTTCTGCACCAGCAGGCCATTAGGACAGACTTTGGGAGAGGCACAATGCAACACAGAGCTTCATGTCTAAGAGCTTAGCCGACTTCCAGTTAGCCGCCCCTAGCCCGAACTGCACAGTCCTTTGACTTCTGACTGGAGGCCGCCTTTGAGCCATCTCTGCGCCAACTCAGAGAGGCGAGCAGCCACACTCTTGTGAATCTCTGGGAGTTTGTTTTGCAGATTCGCCATGAGCCAAACTCACCCCGAGTTGAAGGAAGTGGCGGACCTTCGACAGCACTCGGAGGTCATGCAGCAGGATCTGGAGGCGCAGCGTACATTTTCACTGCTGCCGCGTTCCCGACTGCCCGAGTACGCCCGAAGGCGCCAGAGTGCGCCCGGTATTCCAAGTACATTCTCTTTTGCGCCATGAGCAGCGTTGTTTTGCCCGAAGCCATACACGTCCTACACGAGTCGAGAACGTTCTGTGGAACTTTCTTCCCCTGGGCTTTTGTTGTGTCGGCCGGTGTCGACTTACTTAACTTAACGGTTAATTCTACTTTTCCTCGAACGTGAAGGACCAAGGCTTACATGTTCTTGCTGCAGTCTTGCGCGTGGTCATACCCGGTCATACCCGGTCATACCCGGTCATGCCCGGTCATACTCGGTCCTGCCATCCCGTGGTTTTTCGCAGTCGGTGTTTCCCGTCACCGTGTAAGTTTTGATCGGGCAAGATTAGGCTCTTGAACCCCAAAATTGGCTCCCGAGATTCAAAGAAAGTCCCTTATAAGAAGTGGCCGCCCCCCCCCCCCCCCCCGGCCCCAATCACCCCCCCCCCCACAAGGCCGCAAGAGAGAGTCCAGATGCAACTCGCCGATTTTCCGAATTCAGAGCGAAGCCTCAGATGCGAGAGCTCCGCGATCCAAGCTGCGCGCGAGGCCGCCATTGAAGCCGTCGCCTGCCAATTGAGCTCGGTGACAGCCTGGGTACAGCAGGTGACAGCCCTCAGTCTGATTTCATCTGATTTCATCACGGCAAAGTCTTGCAATCGTACCGCCCTTGCGCCAGAATCTCAGCAGTGGGGCCTGGCCGTGTCCTCGGACTTGCATTGCTCGCGAGAGGTCTGCCTATAAACGGTGCGAAGCATGCGTGTTCTTGACTTGATGGACTTTGTGAGACAACTGTTGTTGCCTCCCTTTGACTGCATGGCTTCCAGAGGCCACCGAATGTGCATCCACCTGCAGCAATGCAGGCGATGCAGGCCGGGCTGCATCTCTCTCTCCCTCTCTCTGTGTCTCTCTCTGGGTCTAGCTCCTTCCCAGCAGTCTCTCTCTCTTCCCTGCAAGCGAGAGAAAGAGAAGGGAGAGGGAGCGAGAGGGTTTTCGCAGACACCAATGGTGCATGCAGCGCGCAGGGGTTTCGGCCCTATGCCCCACGAGAGATGATTGGAGGGCAAGAAGAGAAGTAAGAACAAGAAGAGAAGCAGATGAAAGGAAGAAAAGGAAGAGAGTAAGAGTGGAAGAGAGGAAGCGAAGAACAGAGAAGAGAGAAGAGAGATTGGAGGCGTTTGCATGCAGGTGCGCGAGTTATCTGCTTGTTTCGTTTGCTTGTTTTGCTTTCGACAAGGTGTGGTAAAACTTTCTGCGGCGGCGGGTAGGAAGTATGTGGTTTGATGACGGGAAAATATCCTTTCACAGACTTTCGGTGTGTACGAATCCCAACGAGCCCATGCCTTGTGGGCCAAGCGAAGGAAGGCAACGGGGTCTTCCTCAGACTTGCCCAGGACGTCAGCGCTGCTGCAGCTCGATTTCCACAGCTGTCGCCGATTCTTGAGGATGTCGAACGGATGTGATCGGGGTAGGCCTTGCGTGGCATTTCTGTAGCAGGCTGCGCAAGCCAATGAACGTACTTGTGGCCTGGCAATGCATGGCACAGCAGCGTTGGCCCGAAGCGGTCAACATGCATGAAAGCGCATAATGCGCAATAGGTTCATGCGTTTTAGCTTGACCAAGTCAGATAAATACGTTGCAAGTTCAAGCACGGCTTGTTTCAGTTTCTCACTGTTCCAAGGAGTGTTTCTGGCATGGCGCGCAGCATGAGGTAGACACTGCTAGCGACTTTACAGACTTCGCAGCCTGCGTGAGAACCTGCACCTACCCCTATTGAAGCGACATCCCACTTTGAGGAAAACTTGCCGCACAGCCCCCATGGAACCGGTCAGCTTTCGCCACGGCGCGCGTTTTGAGGCATGCAGCATGTGGGCAGTGTGACTGCGTGGCTTCGCTTGCAGCGTTGGGTGTCAGACAGCTGTTTCAGATGGCAGGAGACAGCTTCTGGCTCGGGCCTTTGCCTCTCGGTCGAGGCTGCCCAGCCTACAGGACTTCCTCCGAGAGAGGTGGCGAGTTGGCAGAAATTCGAAGTTCGCGCCCAAATTGAGGTGCTTTTTCGATTCCTTTCGAGGGCTGTACCGACAACACGAGCGGCGCACAAAACGAGCAGGGGAGTTTGAGGTGGCAGAAGTCACTGCCAGTCACGTGTGGTCACCGCAAGATTCCTTGATTGTTTGTCATTGCAGTCTCATATACTTATATGTGTCTACACATATACAATCATATATATATATATATATGTGTGTATAAGAAAATATAAATACCAATGTAAATATGGATATATATATATATGTGCACCTGTACATATATTGCTTGTACGCTCACATCATACATGGTCCCGACATCCCTAGATAGTCCGCGAGTTTAGCCCAGTTAAGGTCCCACGTTTGGGCCCTTGACTTCCTTCATTGTTCCGTGAGGTGCTGGAGTGGGGCCTTGAAGTGTTTGCTCTCCGACGATGGCCGCCGCTTCTCTCGCTCCGCCTCAGACCGCGCCAAGGTGCCCCGGGCTTCGCCAAAGGCGCGAAAGAAGAAGGTTCCACAAGTAGTATCGACTCGACTGGTCTGGTTGGAGGTGAAGAAGGTTGGAAAGGTTGAAGAAGGTTGGAAAGGTTGAGCAAGTTTAAAAAGTCTGGTGGAGGGGGAAAGGACAAGCAAAAAAGACAGAGGCAAGTTCCATTTTCCATGAGAAGGCGCTCTCGAGGTCAGATAGGACTGCCAATCCAGTCTGGACGCCCAACGTCCAAGGAAGCCAAACCCAAACATGTCCCTGGCATCGTCTGGGACAATTCGACTCAAGTGCTTGTGAAACATGGTCTTGCACGTCTGTAAGAGGAAGAGGAAGCCTGAGGGAAAGGGAAGAATGCGAACATCACGAAAGTCCGCGGCCGATTGAACCGACGTAATGGTACAAAAAAAAGCTCATATGATCATATGCATGGGGCAACCGTTGCTGTTCCAACTTGTTCACATGTGCATGGTTGTGGAGTACGCGGTGCATACACATATGGTGGCAAGCAAAACGGAAGAACTGTGAGTTGCAGCTGTCAGAGAGCCCGGAGTCTCAGAGCCCCGAAGATGTGTCGAGAAGAGAGGGGTCGCATGTTGTGAGCCTAGGTGAGTTTGTGAGCTGCACTTCCGAGGTGCACGACTTTTGGCAAATGCCTGTCCTGGGCATTCGCCGTTGGACATGGCCGTTGGTTTTGCTTGCAGAGATACCTCGACCTCATGTGGTGCAAACAAACCAGGACACGCTCCGGTTGCTTTGATCTCGTGGATCACCCTTCATCGCTTGGAAGCGTGGATGTTTGCGAATGGTATGCGAGCGCATTGAAAGCTTGGACTTCTGCTCTCCACGTGTGTTCCCTTCATTTTCCTTCGCATTTATCCAGGCGCTGGCCGCCCTGGCGCGAGCACACCAGTGGACCTGGACCCTTCAGCTGCTGCAGAAGATGCAGACATCAGGACACGCGCGTTCCCAAAGACGGAATGCGAGAGGGAGAGAGCACAGAGAGAAGGAGAGAGAGAGAGAGAGAGAGAGAGAGAGAGAGAGACAGAGGGTGTTACCATTGCAGTGAGGGAAGCCACAACCTGGAAGAGTGGGGCCAAAGAGTATTTCCTGTAACTTCACAATCCCGCAACATCAGCCCGCAGTCGGCTCAGGAAGAACAGAGTGGGGAATCTCACCATACTTGTTGGGTGGGGGGCAGATTTAGTGTGTTGCACTTTGTTCAACGAGCGAGTGAAACCACAATCCTGACTGTTGCGAAAACTTGGGGGCTGCGAAAACCGCGGACCTTCCAATCAGACGGACCCTCGGACTTCGTGCGCCCCTTGGGGCAGCCTTCCCTTCGAAAAAAAGGGGGGGGGGGGCTACGCGTGCAGGGGAGCGAGAGAGAGACGGCCGCCACGGGGGAATCGCGCTGGGTAAGTGTGTGCGCTGCCTTTTCACCAAGGCATTGAACCGAGTGTTCTGGGCGCGCCCGCGCGCGCGGGGGGTCTCTCGGGCCCCTCATGCCCCGTAGAAGAAGAAGAAGAAGAAGAAGAAGAAGAAGAAGAAGAAGAAGAAGAAGAAGAAGAAGAAGAAGAAGAAGAGAGAAAGGGAGAGAGAGGGAAACAGAGAGGGAGATTTCGTCCGCTGCTGCAAGCTTTTACAAAGAAGGGAGCGAGCGAGAGAGAGCAGCGAGCATCACACATCAACTTCCTTGCCAAATCGCCGCAGCCAGCCCCCCTGCAAATCAAAAGGGTGCTCTGCACATCAAGAGACATGCAGGGTAGCGTTAGTCTACTGCAGCGAATGCATTCAAAGCCTCACATGACGCTCAGCGGCTAAGCACTTAAGTACTTGGGCCTTGATTGCTTTCACGGAGATGATGCTCTTGGCATTCGCACTTCCAGCTAGCCTCGCTGCAGTGGGTCAGATCTTGACTGCGTGGGACTGGAGAATCTGGCTGGTGGTCTTCATCGTTGGCTCCGTCGTGCTGCAGCACAAAGGGCCAGTGTCGGCAGAAGAGCAAGCATCCAAGGTGGCCAAGGCGGCAAAGCGTCACCAGGAGGCCGGCGACTTCCAGGTGGCCTACCTTCTGCTGACCCGTGGACTCCGGCTGCTGGGCGTTTTCGACGGCGCTGGCTCCGGCTCCGCTGGCTCTGCTGGCTCCAACGGCTCCAACACGAAGAGCAATGCTGAGACCGCCGCGGAGCTGCGGCGGCGGCGTGCTGAGTTGCTGCTTGCTCGCGGCTTCACAGGGCCTTGCCTGCAAGAGGCCCGTTTCATCACTGGCCCTGCCGCGGGCTTGCTTCGAGCACGTGCTTTGGCAAAGCAGGGCAAATGGCCCGAAGCTCTGGAAGTCATGAAGGAGCCAGGCGTGCAGGAGTACGCCCGTGAGAACTACTCCGACAAGATGCAACCGCTAGTGGAGATTGGTGCCAGGCAAGTGGCTGGGCAGATTGACGTGCCTATTCTCATGCGTGCGGCCATCGCAAACAATCACTATGACATACCGGGTGAAGCAGGACCCTTGAGGTACCAGTCTCCGAAGTTGACCCGGGAGAAGATACCGGGCCGAGGTCAAGGAATGATCGCTACAGCAGACATTGCAGTTGGCGAGCTGTTGATTTGCGAGCGTCCATTGGACCTCATCCGGCCAGGAGACATTGACTGGGCTTATGGAGCAGACTTGGAGGAGGTGCTGACACAGCGTTTGGTCCAGAGGTGCCTCCACGAGGCTCAGCTTTGCGAAGACGTTTGCAAGCTCTTTGATGGCGAGGCCTCGGATGGTCCACACTGGGTGCCCCACCCATGGCAGCAAGAGGACTTTGCTGTGCCGATGCCCAAGGGTGCCGGCACTCCTCTCCTGGAGAGCCGCCTGAGGAGAATCGTCAAGATGAACGCCCATCGCTGGCCTGGCTGCCATCCGCAGACATTGACCCCCATGCCGGGGCTGGGTCTTTGGGTCGTCCCGCCGATGGTAAATCATGCCATAGAGTCCGACAACATGCCGAACACTGCCCACGTTTTCATTGGAGATGCCATGGTGTTTCGAGCCACGGCTCCGATCAAAAAAGGGGATGAAGTGCTTGATCGCTACAGTACCCCACTGGCAGACCGATTCCAATGGACACTGCACACCTTGGCGGCTCACGAGATGTGCGATGCCACATACGAGGCAGCTGCCGTTCGTTGGGAAGAGCCACCGCTGCAGTTGCAGGGCATCAGCTCCGAAATGCCATTGTCCGACTCGCGCAAGCGGCTGCTAGAGAGCTTGCGGCGGATCGAGCGCAAGGAGGTGCAGAGCCACGGCCTGCACACAGTCTCAAGGGAGGAGTACATGGAGCTGAAGGATTGTTACTTCGCAGCTGCAGCTGAGACACGGCAGGAGTTGCAGGATAACAAACTGAAGGAGCTGCCCCTTGCCCCACCTGAGGTGCGTTGCCTCAACCTCTTGTGCCCTTTGAGCTTTCACTTTGACAGCCGCAGCCCCTGCTTGGAGCTCCGTGCCGAGCTGGCGCGGCGTGTTGCCTTGGCAAGGCCGTTCCACTTTGCTGAGGTGAAGATCTGGGCAGAGCTTTTTGATCGCTTCAAGAAGATGGAGGAGGCGAATGCATCCTTCAGCGCTGAGGAGACAACCCTGCGAGAAGAGATCGATCGGGAGCTGGCCCGTTGCGCCGAGTTTTGGCAGGGTGCTACTGGTGCTGCCGCTCCCAGCGGAAGTGGATCAGGCGAAGCACATCAGCTGAAGAACGAGGAGTTCGCTCTATGGGTGAAAGGCTCGGAAGGCTTTCACATATGGTGGTTTTGGGTTCAGTGAGATCCCGTTGGGCAAATTTTTGAGCGGTCCCGCGAGCAGCTAGAGGATGCACGGGCCTCGATGCTGTGGTACAGAAGTTTTCCGCATCAGGGCTGAAGACTACATCCTTCGTGATGGTGAAAAAACACCGAGAGACAGTGCCACGGAAGAGAGCTCTTGGAAGGGAGGTCTGTCTTCGACTCTTCGACTCTTCGACTCTTCGACTCTTCGACTCTTCGACTCTTCGACTCTTCGACTCTTCGACTCTTCGACTCTTCGACTCTTCGACTCTTCGACCATGCCCACATCTACACCTACCTTTAATGGGGTTTCGGGTCTCAAGTGTAACGGGGGTTTGGCGCTGTTGGGGCTGGGCACGTACGTCTGACCTCCTCTTCTTTTGTTCTTCATCGTATTCTTCTAATGCCTTGTAGCTCTGTATCCGTGTGGCATGACGGCCAGTGCGTGTGTCAGTGCTGTGAGTGAGTGGGTGTCCATGTGTGTCCGTGTGTGTCGTGTGTGCGTGTGCGTTTCAAACCGGAGAGGGAACAGGAAGAGAGGAGCAATGAGAGACAGAGGGGCTCTCACCTGCTTCCGCATAAACACAGAGCCTGCGCGTTGCCATGCCAGGAGTCGAGGCCGCGTGATTGCTGTGATTCGCTGATCATCTGATCCGCCCACTACCTCCTGTCTACGTGTGTCGGCCGCATTTTTTTCCGACACGTCTTTTCGTGAGTTGCTCTGTTGAGGCGGATGTCGTGAGCTTCAACAGTGCTGCCTTTGCCTGTGCCCTTGGCACACACTGGGCCATGGCCGTGGCTGTCCTGGCTTCCATGGCGAAGGCCTCGCCCACGGCAACTTGTCACAGATTCTCCCCACTCCCAGTCACTCCCAGTCACTCCTCACTCCCAGTCACTCCTCTCCACTATTCGGGGTACACGTAGTCTGACCGAGCTTGGGTTTTACTGGTTTCCGTTTTGTCATGGAGAAGTGAAAGGAATCCCCGAATTTTGGCTAGTCAAAGGCATACGGCTCATTTCGGGAACCTCTCACTAAGCACTTCGGTAGACTTGGGGTGAGGTGATCAGCTACAACACCGTGGCCTTGGCGTGCAAGGAGCAGTCTCGTAGTCTCGCTTCGGCTCACAGGTTGGAAGGACGAAGGTTGGCTCGTTTGGCTGTCTTCAGCAGGAAGCGGCGGAGTGGCAGCGATGCCTTTCACTGTACGGCCTGTTGGCAGAGAGGCGGCTGAGCCCGGACGCTGTCAGCGACTCTTGAGGTGGCAGTATGCCTAATGTGTAAGCTTGCCTGGGATGCCGATGCTTACACGTGAACAATTGTTGATGGTTAACATCTGCGATGATAGGAGAATTCTGCCACGCCTTCGACTTTGTAAAACCTCACACCTTCATCTCAGGACAGTACGGCCGCCAGCGCCCTTGCCAAAGCTGCAAGGCGCAACGCAGAGGCATCAGAGGCATGTCGTGCCTTCCTTGCAAGCCCAATGCACATTCTGAAGGTGGGAGCAGGCTATCTTGGTTGCTGGACGCTTGCCACTCCTACGGCTGGCACCGTCACCCGTGGTGCATGGAGCGGCTATCGCAGCTTGCGAGAAAGGCTGGCAGTGGAGGCCCTCATGGGGGTTAAGGCCGCAAAAGCCGGCTCATTCGGCCACCTTCAAGCTGCCTGGAGTCCACAGTGCTTAGAAGTAACTGCTTTTTGCAATCAGAACGCTTCACTCCTTGAATGCAAAGTGCAAAGCAAGCCGAGCAGCCCCGCACGTGGCTTTGCTACGACGTCCCGGCCCCCCCAAATCTTTCCTGCTGAAAACCTCTATGCCCTCCAGAATGCAGAGGCATTCACAATCCCCGAAAGAAGCCTGCGGGATTTTCGTGGGAGCCATTGGGAGCTTCGTTGCATCCTCTGCAGGGCAGCCTTGGCCCTTCGCGCCGAGCTCCTGGCGGCCGGGGTTGGCTTCGTGCCGGCGGCGCTCGCGGCGCAGAATGGCGCAGTGTCCGCTTGTGCGAAGGAGCGAGGGCGAGAGAGGGCGAGAGAGGAGGGGGGGGGGGGCAGGGGGGGGTCGGGGCATGCTCGGGCAACGTTAACGCCAACGCGGTCCGCCTCGGCACGGCACGCGAGAGGCCCTCTGAGGACATTAGGTTTCTTAGAGAGCCTTAGGACATTCAAGAGGTTCCCAGAATCTCCACAGAAGGCCCAGAACAAGTCCATTAACACCGAAAATGGTTTCACGGAGGCTCTGTTGTGCCTGGCCCGAAAGCGCGCGGGTCCTCAAAACGAGAGGGCGGAGGGACCAGGAGCTGCTACTGGTGTGCCACCGGACCAAACCGAGGGGGTGAGGCCTGCTCGGCCTCGGGGCTTGTATTGTTCGTTTGCCCGAAACGCCTGAGGCCCGGGCCTCGTCGCATAATTATGGCATACAACCACAGTATACATGTACATATACATATACATGTTTCGATATATGTACACACGAATACACGTATACACGCGTGACAGCGAGTCACGTGCTCCGACTTCGCTGTGCTGCTCCCAGGTGCAGTTCTGGGAGATGGCGCTGTTCTTGCTTTCAGAGATGCATGGAAGGCTTCGGCCGTCTGCGGTGACATATAACTCCGTCCTCAGCGCTTGTCGCCCAGATGCACACATGCACAGAGCAGAGATGATTCTCAAGTCAGGTCCTCAGTTGTGCTCGTGTATTGTAGGTGGGCCGAAGAGCTGGGAGCACTCGGTGGCCCTTGCAGTCGAGATGCAACGTGCAGAGATGGTCCTGGATGTTGTCAGCTACACGGCTTTGGTAGCGGCGGCTGGTCCCAGAATGGCTATGGCGTTGCTTGTGCAAATGCAGGCAAGGCAGGTGAAGCCGGAGACGATGACGTTAAATGCCGCGTTGAAAGCGTGCCAATCAGCCCTCCACTGGGATGCTGCGGTGCGGATTTTCTCTGAGGCCCAGGAAGCAAGGGTTAGGTTGGACTCTGTGTCCTGCACGGCTCTCTTGGACTCGCTGGCATGGTCTGGGAGTGGTGGAAGTGACCAGCTCCTGGAGATTCTACCCACACTTCAACGTAAGAATTTGACATCAGTTCTCTTGGAACCGCAGGCCGACGAACTGAAGCAGCTGGGAGGGAGCATGCAGCCTGACTTGAAGGCACTTGCAGCACTCTCAGCCACACTGTCTCTCACCACCTTCGCGGGCGAACGCTGGGCACCAAGCTGGGCCTCTTGGGGGCTGGTCCTGGTGCTGTTGCGCCGCACGGTGCTCGCATGCGGAGAGCAAGGCTTGCTGCGCCGGCTGGAAGGGCTGAGCCAAGATGCCCTAGATTCCTTAGATTCCCAAGATGTGAGACGACAAGACATTCAGGATCGGCTGGGTTTGTCGAATCCTTTTGGGCTTGGCCCAGTGTTGGCGAACCTCGCACTGGAGGCAGGAGCTTTTCTTCTTTCCCTTGGACTTGCAACTGCTGCGAAGAGACCCGTGTCTTCGTATGCATCTTCATGCGGATTGCGATTGTTTGTTCCGGGTTGTCAGCCTGTGTAAGCCAGGGCTTAGCCGTTAAACCGTGGCAAGCAGCTCAATTCAATTCAGTTCAATTCAGTGCGAGCTGGGATGTGCATGCCACGCTTCCGCGCTTGCAGGCGCTGGGTTTGTCGAGCGTTTCTCGTGAACCTCGCCGTCCACTTTTGGTAACGTCTCGCACGCAGTTTTCTGCTTCATTCATGAGGGAGGACCGTAGCAGTGCAATGTGGGGCAGTTGGGACGCAAGAGTATAATAAGCTCCCTGTGACTAAGTTCCGTGATGTTCCGTGTGCACCTTGCTGCATGCCAGGAAAGTGTCCTGCACCGTGAAATCTGAAAAGTGTTTGCATGTTCTGATCCATGCGCCCTCGTGTGCTTAGTGTGCTTAGGTCCACTTGGGAGCCGGTGGCTCGACAGCTGTGGGCTGAAGTGGACATGGACATGGATCTCCGGTGCTCGGCATGAAAGGGGGAGCCTTATTCTTCGTTTTTCTTCTTTTTGTGGCCTTTCCAACCTCTTTTCGTCTTCGTCCTCGCTTGCGATCGGATGTAGCCGATCGAATGCGTGCCCATGAAAAGCTACCGTCCGTGCAGCAGAGGTCGCAGTCGATGCAGCATCAATGGGTAGTTGGCTACGGCGGAGCGCCTACATGCGATGTGCACACCATCCCGCTCACCAGACGTTGACAGCGTCCCTACCGTGCTCATCGAGCTGCCATAGAATAGTGAGCTTTCCTGCGCTTCTTAGAGCTCTACACACACAACAGCTCTTGGCTCACCAGGGGTTCTTGGGCTCAGGGGTTTTAGGTGTTTTAGAGTTTAGTCTTTTTCGGGTTCAGGGCTTCAGGGTTTTCAGTCGGTTCTTTAGGGTCAGAGTCTAGGGCTTTTAGGGTTTAAGGTTTTAGGGTCTAGGGCTTCTGTCAATGTTTAAGGCTTTTAGGGTTTGGGGCTTTAAGGTTTTTTGTTTAGGGCTTCAGGCTTTTAGGGTTCAGGGTTTCCGGTGTTTGAAGGGTCAAGGGTCTTTAGGGTTTAGGGTTCTGTCTATTTGGGATTGGGGCTTTGGGGTTTCTTGGATTACGGTTGTCAGGTGTTTCGTTTGGGGCCTACGGTCCAGGTTTTTTCGGGTCTGGGTTGTTGCTTTTTTTGATTTGTTTTGGGTTTTCAGGGTTTTCAGTTTTTTTGGACTTTTAGGGCTTTGGGGTTTTGTTTTGGGCTTTATGGTTTGGGGTTCTCAGGTGTTCGTTTCAGGGTGTGGGCTTTTAGGATTTTTAAGGATTTTAGGATTTTAGGGTTTAGGGTTTTCGGGGTTGAGGGCTTTAGGGTTTTCGGGTGATTCCATTTGGGTTTCGGGTTTATAGGGCTTTTTTGGGTTTAGGGTGTTTAGGGTTTCAGGGTTTCGGGTTTGAGGGTGTTGGGATCCTAAACCTTACCCCCTGTAGTGAACTGACCTTCTCGAGTCCCCAAAATGCCTACATGTAGACTTACCTGCGCCGTAGAGTTTTACATGTGCAAGTCGTGCGCCCGAGTTGTCGCGTCTCAGTCCCGGAATTTCTGTTTGCGGTTCTTGAATGTCAGCACACACTGCGCGATCTCGGTTCCTGAATTCCACCGGTTCCTGAATTTTTGCCGCCCGAATTTCGAGACTTGCTTCCCGATCCTGTTTCCCGAATGTCTTGCCAGTGGTGGCCTCTGCAGGACCGCTGTGTTGGTGAGGCTGCCCAGGTCCAGGTGCAGGACGGGAAGTAGCTTCTGCAGCTTCTGCAGCTTCGAGGCCTACGGGCCGAAGGTGCATGCAGACCCTCTAGATCTCCCTGGAATGCACATGTGCATATTTGTTCCTAATTCGCGTTGTCATGTTTTGCGTGATCGCTGCATGCTTATGCGTGAGCGTGAAGGATAGAGCCACTGGCATTGACGAATTTGGCGAAGAGTTGCTACCATTCCTTCGGCTGTTGGTGGACGATGCCGGAAGCAAAGCATCGCCACGGGTAGAAGTTGAAGCATCTGCAAGCGAGGGCGAGTTGCCATTTCGTGGAACCCCCTGCGCTTCAGGTGCCACAGATGGTGAAGCGCATGACAGAGAACTCGCAGGCCATGGCAAGCCCCTCTGGAGTGCAGACATCTGTCGACTCTCCTTGTTTAGGATCATGCTTCTCAGACTCTAGACTCGTTGCTCCGCCAGACGCTTCTTGAGAAAATCAACCTTGAGCGTGCTGATCGTCTCGCGTGTGAGGCGCTGCGGGGCTTCCGAACAAAAACGTACGGTGTAAGTTGGGTATAGTGACTGCCTGTGTTCGCAAGTAAGTGTTTAGATCACCCATAGCTTCGGCCAAAAGGATGCTCGATGCTGAATACGTGACAAGAAAGTAGGAACTAGGTGGGAAAGGACGCGTAGACATGTGTAGGCTGGCCAGCCGATGGCCACCTGCACGCATCCGGTGTCATGACAGGCACGGATTGGTGAAGAGCTGCAGCGCTTGGACGAGCGCGTCGGCACAGCAGATGCTACCAGCATGTCTGTGCCAGGGAATCACGAATCGAAGCTGTCATGGACCATGTCATGGACCTGATGTAGATTTTGCGTTAGGCGGCCTATCCTGCGAAAGGAGTAGTGCAAACGCAACTTAGGTCGAATCTGTCACGGCGAGGCCGCCCACACTGCTTCATAGTATCCAGCACGGCGCGGGCCTTGGCGTCTCAACGTGTGCTGGGACACAGATGCTCCCATGGACGGTTTGGGGCGTGAGATGGGGTGAATCTTGTGCAGTCTTGTCGGAAGTTGCGGTGTGCGAGAAGCCCCCAGGTGCCGTACACTTTGACGAGAAAGGCAGGATGGCACCGGCCTGCACACCAAGGCTCTGTCGCCTCTGACTGAATTCCCGGTCATCTTCCCCATCTGTGCAAAGAGCTTCGCAAAACTCGTGCAAAGCTCGTGCAAAGCTCGTTCAAAGCTCGTGCGAAGCTCCCGAAGGCCATTGGCAATCCAGCGCTGCAGAACGGCGCCGCATGGACTCGGCTTCGTGCCTCGGCCGGCAATTTCATATCAAAGCGCTCTGTGCGGGCTTGGGATGTCTGCGCAGCAGTGGCCAGAGCACCCAAGCACAGCTTCGCCTTAAGGGTCCTGGTGTTGATGCCATCGCCGTCTCTGGCGGCTCCAGCGGTCCACCTGTGTGCGTGACGCGTCCGGGGCCTCAGCAGTGGCAGCATGCAGCATGCGCAACATGTGCAACATGCGCAGCAGGTGCAGCATTGACTCTCATTTCCTCATTTCCGAGTCTTCTTGGAGAGGTGCGCCGACTTGCGGGGTGACGCCAGAGCCTCAGGGCACGCAGCTCCAATGATCGCAGGGTCAAAAAGCTCCCGAGCATTCTGCCTGTCCTGCCTCTCTCGTCATTCCTTTGTGAGCTTCGCTGCTTCCAAGGACTCCAAGGACTCCAAGAGACCTGAGTGTCAAGGCGAGGGGTGGATTCGACTCGCTTTGTGGCGCCCTTGTCTTTCCCCAAACAGTGTGCCAACACTAAGGGGTTCGTACGTCAAGGGTGCAGGAGGGTTAGATTGAGCCGCGCGGTTGCACGGATGCTATTCCTTGAGCGGTGGTCGCATTTTGGATGGAAAATGCATTCTTACCACAGCGCGGGTGGCGTCCCCGACTTCTGGGGGACATCACAAATTGCATGCTTTCGGCTTCGAGGATGTTGGTGTCCAATTGCACTGTCGCCCGGTGCACATTTCGGACATCGTCCTGTCTGGCTAGGACCCGTGCTCCCGCCTAGGCGCCGTGCGCGTCGACGCCGCCATCCTCGAAACTGTCGCTTTTGGACGTCGGGGACCCGCTTTTGGTGTTTCTGGAGGAAATCCGGAGCTCTGCTGGCTCCAGAGTTTTTGTACAAACACAGTATGCCGAGAGGACATCAGCTCTGCTGGCCCGCAAGTCGATTTTTGTTGTACAAAGGAGTACGCGGAGGACGTCTGGAGCTCCAGGGGCATCAGCGTCGTTCTGTCGTGACCCGTGAAGCCCTTCGCGCCCCGAACATGTGGTCCATCCCTTCTTGGGGCCGGTATCATTTCGATGACGAGAGGCAGATGGAGAAGGCCGTCCGATCCTGGAGCCTGTCACCAGGCCGAGGAACAGCTGTTCAGCAGCTGTTCATTTGTTTCCGTAGTTTCTTAAGATGTTTCAAGATGCAGCGAGCAAAGCATTTGGAAGTTGTTTGGTCTGCGAGGTCCTGTAACTGAGCCGTCGGCCCCGACTTTAGCCATGCCAGCCTCAATGCAAAAGTGCTTCTTGGGAGAGGGCGATTCTGCGGCAGCGCTCGAAGTCTCAGGCCATGAGGTGAAACAGATTTTGTTAGGTGTGTAGACGATGGGAAACACGCGCGCTGCAGAGGGTGCAAGCAGCATTCAGGAGCAACGCGCAGACTCTTGTCGAGCAGGAGCGAGCCCGAGAGAGCTGCGGCATCTGGACAACTATATCATATCTAGGCCATATAGAGTGTGATAGAGTGTGAGGAAGGTCACCAGAACAACTGACAGCATATGTGAACGGGTTTGATGCTGCAGCAATGGCTCTGATGCAGTGAGGGGGAAGGCCTTGTCTTAGTCTCTTCGTGGCGCAGCATCTTCCAGTAGCTCTGCGGCCACAAGAAGCATGCAGATGTCTGTGAAGCCTGTGGCCTGGCAGCAAAGCCCCTAAGCCCCGTTGATCTGAAAGTTCATCACGAACCTACCGAACATGAGTAGCATTAGTCTCAAGACGGGGGAGAGGGGAGGGGCGAGGGGGGCACGGAATGGAAGGAATAGGCTTGAAGAGGCATGTTTTGCACAAGGTCTTGGAGAAGCTTGTCGAGAAAGAGAACGTCATGGCTGCTGTAGGTTGCGGCCCGAGAGAGCCGACGACTGCACATGATGGGCTCTGTCTCTGGCTTTCACAATGTCACAAGGCCTTGCAAGCGACACTGGCTTTGTCTTGCAGACTGCGGGTAATGCTGAGTACCTGTGGGCACCTTAGACTCCGGTTTGCTTCGCCTTTGCATCTTGGGCTTGCAGGGCGCAGACTTTTCCGCTGGCTTGCCTTTCAGAAAAAACTGTCAAAGAAAGAGAGGGCTCTTTTCTCTGCACTTCGAGACTTCGAGGCCTCCGCGAAAAGAGTTCTTGGCCGCTTTCGCGCAGGCCCGTCTCCCGAGTGCACTTTGCTTCGGTTTGACCTTGCCTCTTTTGTTGAGAGATCTGCAGGGCTGCGACAAGCTGGATCCCAATGAGAGCAACCCGATCATTTCAATTGACGGAGAGACCAGGCCGGCTTTGGAAACGTGCACGTTGCCTGCAGCAGATTGTGCCACTGTTGCATGTGTGGAGACTTCAAAGCAGGTCAATCAAGCTGAAAGAGAACAAGGGTGTGATCCTAGCAGTTGTGGAGAAGGTGGCCTGAGCAAGGATGCGAAAAACAAACCAGTGGGCGTGATAACAGACTGTGCAGGAGCCGGTGAGACATGGTCAGACGAACAGTAAGTGGAGGTCCTCGAGACTAACATCCCAACCCCCCCCCCCCCCCCCCCCCCCCCCCCAAAGCCCTCCCGGTGCAGTACATTCTGATACCCTTCGCCATCCTAATTTGAGGATCAAGGCTTGGCCAAAGTTGCCTTCAGATAATGGATCTTAGGACACCTTGAATGAACATGCCAGAACATGCAGCGCCAAAGGGAAGAGCGAGTTCCCATCATCAGCCCGGACTGCAGCACTCCCATGTGTATGCCATGCCGCCAAAGCTGCGGACAGCGGAGCTAGCAAGGTTGCAAGAGGACTTGTGAGAGAGAGAGAGAGAGAGAGAGAGAGAGAAGATACCTTGGACTTGCGCGCCCCGAGGGGCAGCTCTCCCCTCGGGGGAGGCTAAGCGAGAGAGAGAGAGAGAGCGAGAGAGGGAGAGAGAGAGAGAGTGCCGGGGGTCTCCCTCAGGGCGGCCCTCTTAAGCGTGGAGGAGAAGAAGAAGAAGGAGAAGCACGAGACGGGAACACCGAAAGTCGGGGCGCACGGACTGCACGGGGAAGAAGGGAAACCCCTGACCTCAAGTCACAAGGAAACAAGGAAATAAAGAAAGAGCCCAGGGCATGCATAGGTTCGAGTAATGTAGGAGCTCATTTGTGGATCTAGGGGCTCTTTGAGTTGGTTGGGGGCGTGCGTTTCGAAAGAAGCGACTTCGAGGAGTGCAAAGAGAACAACAGTCTCACAACGTAGGATAGCCTGCCAAGGCGACGATAAGAGGGCAGAAACTCGCCTGGGTTTCACGAAACAGTAGGGGGCAGCAAACGTGGGATTGGGGAGGAATTTTGGTCAACAATCACCATGCTGCCGTACCCCGTGTGGAACACGCGTCTATCCCGAAACTTGCCAGAAAGAGGCTATGCGTGATTGTGTAAGTGACAAGATCTCGTTTGAGAGGAGAATGCCGAGCTGCGACGTCGAGTTGAGGTGCCCCGTTGCAGAGAAGGAGGTTTCGGTTGGCTTGCACGATGGGGCAGTTGTATACAGTAGCTGGGTTGGTTTCTGTGCCAAGATGCCTGGAGCGCTGTTGCCGCAGTCGGATGCATGGAATTGTTACCCTGCAGTGGAGCGGTGTCAGAACAGGCTGGTGCTCCGGAGGACGTCAGCAAAGCCCGTTGTAGTTTGAACTTGAGCAGTTTACCCAGGCGCTCCTCTGACGCTCTTAAGTCGCATTTCCAGGAGCTGTGGGAGACCTGGCTGCAGCGCGCGGCCGAGGAGGTTCACACAGAGGCGACTGAAGGGGGCCTTGACCCAAAGTGATGTTTGACCTTCGGGTGTGGCAGGGAAGCTGGCTGGAGCGTTGGTCGAAGCAGCGGCTCCTCATGCTGAAGGGACAGATCATGCAGGAGGCCCGAATCCGCAAGCCGCAGGAGCTCTTCAAAAATTCTTCCTAGATTCTAGACTTGAAGAGGAGTGGGGCATCCGCTCCGCAAGCCAAGTGTTGGAGAAGCAGCAAGCAGCGCTGCGGGCTGTACAGAGGCACGCCGGGCAGGGCAGGAGAAGGGCAGGAGAATGAAGCTCTTCCGTGCATATTCGTGAAATTCGCCAGAGCGAATCACATGGTCAAGACTTCTCCACCGTGAGTCCTACCATCGTCGTCTTGCAGGCTGCCTACAACTCCCGCAGCTGTGAAGGCAGTGGAGGAGCCCGCCGTGCAGGCTGCTTTGGGTGTTTCGGCTTTGCGGTTGTGGAGATGATGGTCGGCAATGTACGAAATTCGCTGGGCAAGGATGGGAACTTAACAAGTGAACAGTCTCGAAGCCTTGTGGCACTACGCAGGTCCAAAAAAACCCTACGACCAGCAAAGTTGCCAACAGAACGGGCAGAGTAGCCATGTGGATCCATATGGGGTGGTACCTGTCATGATCTGTATAGGTTTGAACCGCCCCTAGGTCCGCCACGTCCAAATGCCTGGAGCAGTTCATTTGAATGTCTTTCTGAATGCCTTATCTAGATTCTAGATCCCTATTGCGAATTATGTCGAACTAGGGAGTTAGCCGATATTGGCGTCTCTATTGAGTCGCATTTGCCGGACGCCGTGACGGTTCGTGTGGGACCCTCAATTAAGTCAAATCTTCCGGGTGTCGTAAGAAAGATTTGGTGTGGCACGCCTTTAAAATCAACTGCCGGGGCTCTCTGTCCCTTTTGAACTCACATATGCTCATCTCTGTGACAATAATTTAAAATCCCGTTTAAGGAAGGACAAAACATCAGCTTCGAATGTTCGGGGGGCGCGCACACTAAAGATGGTCCAGCATTAAACCCTCGACAGTCTTCTCCAGCCACGCTTCCAAGCTGGCTGGGGAAGTCGAGGACGCGGTCGCTGAGGGCAATGACTTCGTTGCTGCCTGGGACCCGGCGAAAGAGACATGGAGTTCCTGTCCCGGCTTCTCGGCGTCCCCCCCGACAAAAGGCCCGGCCCGACGCCGTGGCGCGCGCGCACCGCAGCAGCGCTGCGCGGAAAGTGCCGGCCGCCGAGAGGGATAGATTCTGAAGGCTGAGGAGTTGAGGGTTCTGGGGTTGAGTCAGGCTTACGAGGTGCGGGGCCGAGGTTATGGTCCGGGCTTCTGGTTTGAGGGTCAGGCTTGAGGTGTTGAGCTTCTGTTTACCGTTTAGGGGTTTAGGATCGCGAAGAGCTTGAGCAACTGTCGGGTTTCGAGCTGCTGGGGCCAAAAACGCCCGGCTGCGAAATCCTAAGCACGGGTGGCCCGGAAAGAACATTTCATTGCAAAAGGATACGAGCGATACAGTCTACCACTACCACAGTTTACCTGTGGACATGAGGCTGCAAGCATTGCGAGAGCGCTCCCCACCCCGAAGCATTTGGCTTGGCAAATGTTTTAAGCTCTGCACACACCTCGGCCGTCTCTGCCAGCTCCGGAGAGCAGTTCGGACACCTGCTGTATGGCCCTGTGAAGCTCACACGAAGATGCCTTCTGTGTAGCCCTACGGAGCTCGGCCGGGTTGTGCTGGAAGCTTGTGCCTTTGCATGTTGGCTGCTGGCAGCCACTTGCGAGTGTTGCTTTCAGATTTCTCGGCCCAGCTGCAGTGTTTGTCCGGACAGTGCAAGTGCACACAACAGCCAGGTAACCAGGGGGTGTGGCTGCATTTTGTGTAACTAGTAGCAGCTGCTTTGTCTTTGTCAGTCCTTCTTTACCCTTGTCCGTCAGTGTGTGGTCTGCTGTCATGTTATTCCTGTTGTTGGTGCTTGTATGACTGGCCATGTTCTTTGTTTGCGTGTGCATGGCTTGGAAGTAACGGTGGCAGGAGGTGGACATGTGAAGCGAATCCGTCCAAAGAAACCACAGGCAGGAAAGCACGCCCCCGACAGGTTTTGCGACAACCGGCCATTCGAGCGTCAAAATCCGAGCCGTGCAGTGAAATGGACCCGAGGCTGTGCAAGAGTATCGCGGCACTGCTTCAGGCCATCAGCACTGACATGCGCTGTTCGGTCCTTCTACGTGGTAGCCGTACTGTTCTCCTTGTGGGACTTGGAGGATGCTGTCTCTGCACATGGCCGTGTTTGCACCCGCAGCAGGCCCAGATGAAACCATGGGAATTGTCCCACGTGCGCTGCAACTGACAATGCCGCGGCAGCTCAAGCAGCTCGCGATACCGAACCTTCCATTCATAGTTTAGCACCGTTGTTGCAGCCATGGCGTCATGGGCTCCTTGGACAGGAACCTACAGTATCTACAGCGGTTCTCGTTTCACTGCTTCGTGCAATGGGAGAACTGAGAACTCTCACGGGAGAGAGCATCTAGCAGACCCCAGCAAAGGCTCTCCGTTTCGTTTTGGCCGTGACCATGGCTCGAAGCTTGGAACCACGAGGCTTTTCCAGTTAGATGTCTTGCATGCTTCGTGTGGAACCTGACGCTGCAAAAGAGACAACATCACACCGTGACACCGTCACAACTCTGCGTAAGGTCTCGATGTCCGCATCCTTGGTGGTGGCTTCTGGGAAAGTGCCCTGGCCTGCAACCAGCAAGTCAACCAGCAAGTCTGGAGAAGAGGCCAACGAGCTTTGAGCTGGAGTTGTATGTGATGAGAAAGGCCACAGTCACAGACGCGCCGGAGCACACGATGACTGTACCAGGTGGGCGAAGTTTCAAAGTTTGTGAGCTGTTGGCTCGTTCCGCCTTCAACTTAGAAACTCTCAAGCAACTCTCTTGACCATCTCTCCACGGCTGGTACTTGGCAGGGTGACACATGGTGAATTTGTTCAAGCCCCAAAGCCCCGTGCAGCTTTTTCATTCACCTGGCAGAAATGGGCCGGAGGGAAGCCACCCAGAGCGTTCTAAAGGTAACGTCTTGTCACGCCGGGAAGAGCAACAGTTCTTTCTGCTGCCTCACTGAGCCGCCTCAGTCGCTGGTGGTTGGACGCCACCTCGGACGCCCAGCGAAGAGGATGTAATGGTGTGGGACAAGGTGGTTGCACAGATCGACACGAAGTTGGCAAGCAAGGGGCGCCTGAGCTGCGAGAGATTGGAGAGAGCGTGCAGAAGCACGTTCAGGGTTTAGGGTTTCGGGTGTTTAGGGCTTGGAGATGCCAAACCAAAGCCAAGCGTGCTTTTCCGGCGTGTGTCTAGATTTCGCAGCCCAGATCTCAAGTTGATGGGATGCTGGTTCTGTCAGTTGTACAGGAGGCGAATTTGGAGGCTTTCTCACTTCGAACCGATAGAGATGACGAGGCATGTGAGACATGGAGTGGAATCGGACCGCAGCTGAGGCAGCCAAAGCAGGTGGAGTCGCAAGTTGTGGCAGGGATCAAGACGCTTGCTGGCAACTGTAGTGCTATGGCGAGCAGCTGCCTCTTCCTTGCACCGCGTCATGTCACACGTAGGTCACTGCAATATACTGCAATGAAAACCGTACCACCCCAACACCGAGAGTTCGACAGCTGCATCCATCCCTTCATCTCGACAGTCCTTCACCTTCGCTGGAGGTACAAGTTCTTCTTTGACGATGGCAGCAGCGTGGTCGTTCTCAGCGTGCCGTGGATGAAGACGCTGGAAGTGTTGGAGGCTAAGGACGTGGAGCCCAAGGACGCTTGATTGCCGGCGGAGAGGCTCGCCACAGGTGATGACATGATAAGGGCCTGGAACTGGTGCTGCGTGCCATCCCGAAAAGTGGTTTGACTGGGCGGCTCTGCGGTGTAATTGCTGCCTGTTGGCTGTAAACCCCTCGTTAGAATATGCGTCGACTTCCTCGCCGTCTCTATTCGCTCTCTAATTTGCTCTCTCTTTCTCCTTCTATCTCTTTCCTTACCCAGTGGCTTCCACTCTCACAGCTTGAATTTAGCAGCAGAGCTGGCGAGTCCATGTGTGCAGTCATATGTCATATGCCTTGCATGTGCACCTTGCGCATACGCTCGTCTGAAGCCGGCAGTGTTCCACAATGCCGCGGCAGCTCAAGCAGCTCGCGATACCGAACCTTCCATTCATAGTTTAGCACCGTTGTTGCAGCCATGGCGTCATGGGCTCCTTGGACAGGAACCTACAGTATCTACAGCGGTTCTCGTTTCACTGCTTCGTGCAGTGGGAGAACTGAGAACTCTCACGGGAGAGAGCATCTAGCAGACCCCAGCAAAGGCTCTCCGTTTCGTTTTGGCCGTGACCATGGCTCGAAGCTTGGAACCACGAGGCTTTTCCAGTTAGATGTCTTGCATGCTTCGTGTGGAACCTGACGCTGCAAAAGAGACAACATCACACCGTGACACCGTCACAACTCTGCGTAAGGTCTCGATGTCCGCATCCTTGGTGGTGGCTTCTGGGAAAGTGCCCTGGCCTGCAACCAGCAAGTCAACCAGCAAGTCTGGAGAAGAGGCCAACGAGCTTTGAGCTGGAGTTGTATGTGATGAGAAAGGCCACAGTCACAGACGCGCCGGAGCACACGATGACTGTACCAGGTGGGCGAAGTTTCAAAGTTTGTGAGCTGTTGGCTCGTTCCGCCTTCAACTTAGAAACTCTCAAGCAACTCTCTTGACCATCTCTCCACGGCTGGTACTTGGCAGGGTGACACATGGTGAATTTGTTCAAGCCCCAAAGCCCCGTGCAGCTTTTTCATTCACCTGGCAGAAATGGGCCGGAGGGAAGCCACCCAGAGCGTTCTAAAGGTAACGTCTTGTCACGCCGGGAAGAGCAACAGTTCTTTCTGCTGCCTCACTGAGCCGCCTCAGTCGCTGGTGGTTGGACGCCACCTCGGACGCCCAGCGAAGAGGATGTAATGGTGTGGGACAAGGTGGTTGCACAGATCGACACGAAGTTGGCAAGCAAGGGGCGCCTGAGCTGCGAGAGATTGGAGAGAGCGTGCAGAAGCACGTTCAGGGTTTAGGGTTTCGGGTGTTTAGGGCTTGGAGATGCCAAACCAAAGCCAAGCGTGCTTTTCCGGCGTGTGTCTAGATTTCGCAGCCCAGATCTCAAGTTGATGGGATGCTGGTTCTGTCAGTTGTACAGGAGGCGAATTTGGAGGCTTTCTCACTTCGAACCGATAGAGATGACGAGGCATGTGAGACATGGAGTGGAATCGGACCGCAGCTGAGGCAGCCAAAGCAGGTGGAGTCGCAAGTTGTGGCAGGGATCAAGACGCTTGCTGGCAACTGTAGTGCTATGGCGAGCAGCTGCCTCTTCCTTGCACCGCGTCATGTCACACGTAGGTCACTGCAATATACTGCAATGAAAACCGTACCACCCCAACACCGAGAGTTCGACAGCTGCATCCATCCCTTCATCTCGACAGTCCTTCACCTTCGCTGGAGGTACAAGTTCTTCTTTGACGATGGCAGCAGCGTGGTCGTTCTCAGCGTGCCGTGGATGAAGACGCTGGAAGTGTTGGAGGCTAAGGACGTGGAGCCCAAGGACGCTTGATTGCCGGCGGAGAGGCTCGCCACAGGTGCCCTGATGCCGAGAAGTGGCGGCCAAGGAGCTGGGAGACGACACAGAGATGGGCTTGGAGCGCACAAGCGAAACGAAAAAATCGCGACGAAACTTGCAGACTTCTGCGAAGAATAGGACCTGGGTTTTACGTTGTTCGACGGCGATCGACGAACTCGCAGCTGATGCACCAAAACAAGTCCTTCTTTTTTCCGTTTCTCTAGTTCTTCTTCTCGTTCTCTTCATATCTGTCTTTCCTTTAGCATTGTTGTTTCTGCCTTTAGTACTGTCATTTTTATCTCTCACTCTCTCTCTGGCTCTCTGGCTCGGTTGCTACCCAGCAGTTGTTACTATACTCTCACTCACAGGGACATGTAACTGACTCCATCCCCCCCAGCCCGCCCGGAAAACGCGCTCTGCGCACCTTGCGCATATACCGTGTGCAAGCTTTCAGTCCCGTGGCTGGTTCTCAGAAGAGGGCTGACCTCGGTGTTGAGCCCACGTTGTGCCTTTACCTCAGCTGCGTGCGCTGCCTCGTGAAGCGATGGCGGAGCTGAGACGGAGCATGTCGGGTGTGGGGGCTGCTTGGACTACATTGAAATCCAGCCGTGCGTGCTTTTCAGAGCGTGCCTCTCTCTCGAACATCGCTTCGAGAAAGTTCGGGAGGTAATAGGCTTCAGCCCAGGCCAGCATGGCGAACAACCCATGGCCGGACTCGACACTTGACCTTGGCGCTGGCGGTTGTTGCGGTTTGTATATGAACATATATATATATGTACATATGGAAATAGATATAAATATGAATAAATAAATGCAAATATATATACAAATACAAATACAAATATAAACAAATAAATAAATAAGTAAATAAATAGATAAATAAACAAAACAATATATATATATATGAATAAATGTAAATATCAATAAATATAGACAATAAATGGATAAATAAACAAATCAATCGATAAATAAATAAATATAAATATATGTAGATAGCGTGCCTGCGTGTGTGGGTGTGTGTGTGTGTGTGTCTCTGTGTGTGTGTCTGGGTGTGTGTCTGGGTGTGGGTGTGGGTGTGGGTGTGGGTGTGGGTGTGGGTGTGGGGGTGTGTGTGTGTGTGTGTGTGTGTGTGTGTGTGTGTGTGTGTGTGTGTGTGTGTGTGTGGCCTTGATTGTTCTTTCTTAACTACTGTATCATCTGAGGATGAACATGTTCGAGCCGTACCTGACGACAATCCTCTGGTTCAAAGAAGCTCCAGATCTTACGGTCATTGCAGATGCCTTTGAGAAGCACTTGTGGCCCTGCCATCGCTTCAACTCCTGCATCGAGGGCCGGCAGTGCCTCGGCTTTGGAGTATATCGTGAACATCGTGCGGGCGCGTATGAAGCACTACATAGGTCGACTTAGGATGATCCCTGTTGATTTTTAGCAGATTGATTTGTAGGCTCTTGTAGGCTCTTGCAGACACTGGTTTGATTGAGGTGGGTACGGAAACAAGAGCAGATGGACAGGGCCTTCCACTTCCAAGAAGAGGACCTTGCCAGTGAGATTGCAGTCGAGGAGATGGCAATGAGGACACAGATCACGTCACTTCCAGCCGATCATCCCAGATGGAGGCATCTCGGCCAAAACGAACCGTTCGATTCGTACTGTGTGCAGTATACAGTACTTGGGCACCCGTGCCCGGCCGTGCCCGGCCGTGCCCGTCGAACTCGCATCTGGCGTTTGCAACAGAGAGATGTAGGTAGTGTTCTTTTTCTCGACGTCCCTGGCACACGAATAGTTACTTAGGGGAACTCGTTTTGACACGTTTGAATTCGTGGTCGACTCTCTGCTCTTCCACCCTCACAGGCATCGTACTTGGTAGATGATAAGTTGTCCACTCTTTCCTGCGCCCAGGGTCATCCGCGTGACCACTCCTGCGCCTCAGAAGTCAGCTCTGGTAATTCATGCGCATCATGCCCTGGGAGATGGTCTAGGGATGCTCTTTGCAATGTCGCCGCTAATGGGTGTTGAGGGTGGAAACCCACTTTCAACGGTGCCGCTGCCCAGCATTGTCCTGCCCAAGTTTGCGCGGAAGCCGGATGCTGTGAAATCTGAACAGCCCGTGACCCGCAAGAGCCGATGGAACTTGTGTGGATGCCTGGCAGCCGCCTTCAAAGGTGTTGGCTCCTTCCTGCGAGGTTTTTTCGTGATGGCGATCGTCAGCCACGACACGGAGCTCCCCATCAACGAGCCACTAGCGAAGAGGAGCCCTGTGTTGCCTTACTCGGGCAAGCGGCAGTTTACCCGCTTCCCAACGATACCCTTGTCGCTGATTAAGAAAGCGAGAGAGAACCATGGCTTGGCTTTGGTTCCCAATTTTTCTTGCAGGAAAGCGCGCTTGTCTGCTTCAGCCGAGACTTAGGGTTTCTGAAATTTCTTTCGAAGCAGCAAAGGAACCACAGCTGCACCTTGAACGACGTTGTCATGGCCGCAGTCACAGGGGCCCTGCGGAAGTACTGCCTGGAGGTCTGCAAGGATGAGAAGCTTCGATCCGGGAAGCAAGTGACCTTCAAATCGATGGTCATGTTGGCCATGCCCCGGGAGTGCAGCCACTTGAAAGAAAGGAGTCAGAGGCAGTTTCGCTTTGAACTTTGCTTTTTCTGAGTCACTTTTGGGCGAGATTCCGGTCAGACTGGATGATCGGGTGCTGAGGCGCCTCCGAACCGAGCATTGCCCTTCGCCCCGCTGCTGTCAGAGACATGAGGATCACCTTGTTGTTGAAGGGATGCGATCCTGCCTAGGGCCTTGGGGGGCCAATACGAGTCTGTTTCAGGGCCCACCGAGGATGATGTGATAGCTTCTGAGTCCAATGACTTCTCGTCGAGTGGCTCTGTGAACTTGCCTGCACCGAGGCAATAAGATGCTCTTTACCAGCGTCAAGCTGCCTCTGTCAGAGCCGTCGCAAGCCATGAGAGTACGCAAGACAGTTGCGGCTCAGCAGCAGATAGCAAGGTCTATGATTGGTCTGGATCCCCTGCACTTCCCATATCACAGAATTCGCAGAAGCTTCCTGCCAGGAAGGCCTGAATGGATTGAAGTCCGCTGCATACATGTGCGGCGTGCGGCTATTCACCGACTTTGTTGCCAACATCGCACCCAGGGCAGTCCTGCGGCTCAGCAGAAGCAGAGGCTTGTGCAGCGAAGATACATGTCCCATCACGTCCCCATGCGTCTTTGTGAAGCAGACTCCAAGGAACAAGGCTGCGGGAGAGACTTGGTCGAAACATACGATCCTAGTGACGAAGCTGCACTACGGACCTTGACAACATTATCATGTCGACATTGCGTTCTGCATCGGACTGTATCGGCTTCGGTTCTGCAGCAGGTCACAAATGTTCCCTGTACCTCGGTCCCTCTGACTTTCCCTGCAGAGGAGCCTCTGACCTGTACAATGTACAGTCTGTCATGCTCGACATTAGAGTGCAGTAGACATGCTGGAAATCTGACCGTGAAACCTTCAACTTGAACAACACACAACCGGGTCTTTCCAGTCGGAGATGCTAGCAGGAACCAGCGCTGTATTGAAATTTGTTTCAAGGATTCGAGTCACCGAATTGATGACGCTGTCAATTGCTGCTTAGGTGTAGATGCGTTCGTTCATTGGGGTCTAGTATGGCAATGCCTGTGGCCTGGATTTCGATTGTTTTTGCCAGTCCGACGTTAGTTCGTCTTTCCAAGTGGATGAGAAAAGACCTGCCGAGAATCAATTCATGGCGCGCATGCTCATGAGCAACCGCTTGCAGGAGGGCGGGAAGGTGCTGCAAGAGATTTCGCTTGTGCGGATCTTGGCTATGCCTGAATCATCAGCCATGCGCCGTGCAAGCATCAGCACACACAGACACAGACACAGAGCAAGCCGAAGCAGCCAGGGTTACGGCTGCAATAACAAGTCTTGAAGCCTTGAGGGTGCGCATCTTGGTGCGCAGGTCATCGCGAATGTCCAATCCCAAGTATCGGCAGCCAGACCCAAATTCAGCTCAGCAACAAGAGAGAAGCTGTGCAGGTAAAGTCCGGGGCGTATCGAGGGGGATGTAATCAGCTGATATGTGATTTGCTTCATTTTCAAGTTCTAATTTGGGGGCTTCGGAAGTCAAGGTCGTCTCCTACAACGGCAACCTCTACGCCACATTTGTCGGAGACCCCGATGTGATTCGCGAGGCTCTCCCACTCATTTACATTGAGCGGCCCGATAAAGGCAGCGTTGTCTCGCACCCGTATAAGGGTGCTTCACGATGCACCCTGAGGCAAAGAAACTTGGCGAACTCTGGCTTTCCGAGATCAAAGAGTTGGCGGGAGACGCTTAGGTTGTAGCTTGGACAGCAGCTCGAGAACGCGCATGATGTTTGCCGGGTATTTTCATTGTGGCATTTCAAGTAGGTGAAGCGCACTGCCCTGACTCGCAGCAGTCTGTCCCGGCCCGGAATGGGCAAGCAAGCTTCAAGCACCAATCAGGCTTCAAACCAATCCATAGACAGTGATGAGCTTGGAGCCTCTACGAGAGACCTTTATCAGACACCAAACCACACAAAGCATCTCCTGCAACAGGTCTGATGGGTTGGGGACGGGGGGGGGGGGGGGAAATGGGGGCACTGCAGGCGCAGCCTTCTCAAAACACGGCAGGGGGAAACAAGAAGATATTGGAGGATGCCCTACTTATGGTTTCACGGTTTCTCTCTATGAGCAGCAGGACCCAACAAAGTCGTCGAAAGCATCTAGATTTCTGAAGCTCATTCATGGGGGGCTTCCCGTACAGAGTGGGGGCTACGGCAGCTGATGCGCTATTCCTCAAGGTAGCCTTTTTCGGTTTGTAGGTGGCTTGTCAGGTACAGTCGTTGTGGAACACTGCAACTCCTCAGGTGCTCAATTTGACCCCTCCCAGTCCCAGTGAGGCCACTGACACGCGTTTTCAAGCGGACAGTGCTTCAAAAGACGAAGTCCACGATGTCTTGTTCGCCAAGTCTCAGGAGGCTTGCTCTGGAGGCAGTTTGTTTGGACACGAGCGGAACAAAAAGGACCCTGTCTGGATGTGCCGTGTGAAGGGCTTGCGAAAACCACCCTGCACGGATGCGTCACGGTGACATGCGACATCTTGTAGCATTCCACATCGCCACGCACGATGGTCCGAGCCTTGGCACCGGTTGTGAAGCATGACTGCAACATCAGGGGCTCGAGGGGGGGAATCCGATTAGAGTGACGACCGTTGGTGTCTTGCCCCTTTGCCTTCGGTGTTAATTACTTGCCATGGAGCATGCCACGTGGCGGCCAGATGTGGCGAATGACCGAGAAAAACCAGCGGATGCAAGCCCATGATGTAAGTTTGAGCAAGCGAGGCGACAGCCGGGCTACTGTAGGACACCTGCTACGAGATGCTGTGGGCCACTGCGGGCATCCGCGAGTTTTTTCAGTACAGTAGCTTGCTCATAGCGACTAAAGTGACCTGCAGAGTGGAAACAGAGAGCTCGCGCACACATGCACCTTCGGAAAGCCAGCCGTCGCACCGTCACACCTGCCTGTGTGCGGTGGCAACTTTTGTCCCAACTGTGTCGCAAGAAATGTGACTTAAAAAGTGATAAAGGTGGACCCTTCACCGAGAAGACCAAGCTCGTACAGGCCAGGTGCCTTTAACGCCCTGAACGTGCTTCGTGCTCAGACCCTTCGCTGGCATCGTGAGTCTCGCAAGAACTTGTGTGGTCGTGTGGTTGCATTAATATGTGTTTATGATCTACGCAGCGCCTGCAGCACCGCCAGCGCCTGCTCGCACGAGCAAGCCCAGTGGACGCCTGAAACGCCAACATATGCAGACGCCACAACACGGCACGCTCGTTTTGCTGCCGCACATCCCCGGCCAAGATTGCGGGAGGCCACAGGGCACGCTTCTGCCAGGACCTTTCCATGCAGAATGCTGAGTATGCTGAGTGCTGGGTGGCGCAAGCTTCGTGCGCACGCGCATCTCGGAACAAGATTCGACAGCAGAATGCAGGCATTGCATGTTCGTGGGCTTGCACGCCCAGAAGCTTTAGGACCGATGTCTGCAGAACCCCCAAGTTCGACATCTCTTCTGCATGTCAGAAGCAAACTGCAGAGTCAGGCAGATCTGCGTGTGTGGAACCCAGAGGGACCGAGGGACCTCTCATGTTGGGCAGCAGTTTGAAGACAGCTCTTTAAGCCAGTGCAAGCAAATGGGGCTGTGCTTCCGATACAAGGCTCTTGCACTTCGCGCTGCTGCGCTCTTTCCGGAGTACCTTGGGCTAATGCTAAGATACTTTGAGACACTTGAGACACTTGAGACGAGATGCGGGGTGAATACCTCCATGCGGCATCCCACACACTCTCCTCACGGGCAAAGTTGCCTCGCTTTGTCTTGTGTGGGTTCTTGTTGAAGGTAAAGGGGATATCGTATCAGAAGAACGTTTTCGTCCTCGTGAATGAATCATGGCTGTTGCAGCATTTGCAAGCATTCAGTAGAGTAGCTGGTGCTTTGAGTAAGCCGGCTTCTTTGTCCTGGCTGCGATGGTCTTCAGAACCTCATGTCAATGCCGAATTCCGGATCTGTTTGTTTGTCGGTGTGCTTCGAAGCATCTCCAGCGGTTTGGAACGGATCCCCCCTCTCTTTGCAGATGCTGCTCATCTTGACACACAAACAAGCCTCCGAGCACGCCAAAGCATTCACAAAAGTCCGCGGGTGTCTCAGTCGTCCGCTTAGGTTGTGCGCCCATCATGCTGCAAGCTCAGGGACAGGTGCGTGCTTACAAGGAGTCAGGCTACCATAATTGCAAACACATGCGCGCCACCTCGGAGGCCGGGTCTGGCCAACGCGAATTGTAGCGCGCGCATCGCGGACGAAGGAAAGCCAGAGTCATATGTCGCAAGGTGCAGCAACACACACGTCATGAGTTCAGGAGGTAGGAGGGCTTCAGGAGGTTTAGGGTGGTCCCAGCACCGTCCCGCAGGGAGGGGAGATGTTGGTCTCTTTCAGACTCTTTTCGGCCTGGGGCCGAGGCGAATTCTCATGTTTGTGCTCACTTACCCTTCTGCAAGTCCATTTTGTGTTATCTTCCCATACTGTTTCACGCAAACACGGAGCAGTTGTCTTCCGGCTTCTACACCTGCATTTGCATTCGTTCGCGGTCTGCCGCTCTGTCGGCGCCCATTCGTTTGCACGAAGCTTGCGTTGGTACGTGGTTGCGTGCATCTGAATCTAGCATGTACATTCATGTATATTCTGCATTGTCTGATCACCCCTGTGCGCCCAAAGTCGTCCCACTTCACAGTGCGTGCCTTCAAGGTAGAGCCCTCCCTGCAACACCTCTGTCTAGTGCTGAAAGATCTCTCGGCTCTGGCACCTAAGTTTACAAATGGGTTTGTGCTCCATGTCCATGGAGCCTCATTCCGAACGAGTGGCTTGCATGACTCAGGCAGGCTTGGTCGCATGCCGAGGCCAAAGCTGCCAGTGCTGAGTGCAGAAAGGTCCAGGAAAGCAGTCTAGGAGAATGCAAGAAAGAATGCACGACAGAACGCCGGCAACCGACTTTTAGCTGCGTGGCGTTGGGGAATATTTGGGAATATGAGCTTGGTGCAGGCGGCTCTGCCAGATGCGGACCACTTGGCAGCCAAGCTGAAGGCGCTCAGAGACTCCTTTAAGGCAATCTTCAGCATCTCTCGTTGCGAGTGCATCTTGGCATTCAGGCCCCTAGGTGTTTCATCACGTTTTCGTATGGGCTTTGTGAAATTCTAAGGCCAGCTGGGCCTTTTTTTTAATGTCGGGAATGCCATGTGTAAAGTTAAAGGAACACGAATCCATGCTGCGGCACGAGGACTTGGAAGCCCGTTTGCACAGTCGAGCGGCGCGCCAGGCTGTGCCTCGACTGCTCTGAGAATGGAAATCTGCTTTGACTTGCAAGCCTTGCAAGCTTAGTTGGAATGTGTGGAACATTCTCGCTTGTCCTGCTTCTCGTCGGCGATCCTGCTGCAGAGTCACGTGACCTCAGATGTTGCCACAACCTACCCGGTTACCCGAAACTGAAGGCAATGCCCACACTTGCGCAGAGCCAGGAGTTGCAGCCAAGGTTCGTGCAGCCTTCGTGCCCGTGCCTAAGACATGGTCGCCTCATGGCTTCACTGCTTCAGACATGGCCACAACTGCAAAAAACCAGCTCGAAGATGATCGTTTTGTGGGAGCTTTCACGAATACAGCCGCTTGCTTGCAACCGTCGAAACAAATATGAAATCAAGGGACAAGAAGCAAAGTCAAGTGCTTCATCAGGTTTGAAAAGGAGAACATTAATGAAGCGAACGTGCAGCGCACGAGCTCAAATCAGCTCGCTGCAGCGCCCCGCTCTGTCGGACAACTCTCGAACTTTCGATCTTCGCTTAGTGCGAGTCCTGCACCATCACTTCTCGTACTAGTAGGCTCTCTCGTCCCTCAGTGACGCTCGCGTTCTGCGCGGGCTGCCATCATGCATGAAGTGCCTCCGCCCTTGCTTCTGCGAGCCATATGACTTTTTCACGACAAGTAGCCCAGGTCGTGCAAAGTTCGCTTGACTGTAGGCTCAAGTGAAGCCTCTGAGGCATCTGCGTCTGCAGTCTGCCGTTTGGAATCTGGAGTGCGAGCCTGAAGTCCGGATGTGCTTGGGTTCATTCTACTCAAGAACTGCTCTGAGCGAAACTTGCTGTTGGCCGTGCCCATAAGGATGCACCTGCTGAAAGCAGAGGATGCAGGCAACCGCGGGGTCCCGGACTTTTCCGCCGGGCGCATGAGGTAGCCTTGAAGCGCAGCCTGCATGCGAATATCGCTCTTAGCGTTTCCTCGGCTGAGTTTCCTCCCAGAGGATCGCCCCGGTCGAAAAAAAGGCAATTTACGAATCCCCTGCTCGTGTCTGCGCGCTTGAAGTGGCGCTCCGCACATCCGGGCTGGGCTCAGGGTCGCTCAGGGCAAACTGATGTCATTTACTCTAAGCAGGTGCAAGACGAGGAAGAGGTGGAATCGTCTTCTTTGAGGTACAATTTTGTATTTTGAGTCCAAATTGGTGGGACCTGAATGTGCGCCTTTGGGCATGAAGGCGAGCCAGCACAGTCCTACTTTCGGTTTCAAATTGCGTCCTGCATGTTTCATTCCTCTGGCCAGGAATGTCATTGGCATTCGGCCTGTGCCATCAACACTGCTCTGTCGCTAACATTGTGCTTCCAGGGCAGCAAGTTTTTCCAGCATGAGGGTCACATATACTTAAAGCTGTGATTGAGCGGTTGCCCAGCTTTTCGTTGCGTTTCCCAGGCCCGCCTTCATATCTGTTGGTCGCAGCTTGTGCCGGATGGAGTAAGGAGCTGCAGTTGTCAAACTTAGCTCCCCTTACAAGCCCCATACACCGAGCACGCACGCAGTACACAAAACACCTCTCGTTGGGATCTGTGCCATGAGCTCGCCTCGGAATAACCGACGGCGCCGTGGCAACTCTCTTGCACACCAGCTTCTTGCATAATTGTAAACGCTTGCGCGCGCCGCCTCGGCAGCCGGGCCGGCCCCAGGACAGGAAAGGAGGAAAGAGGGAGGAAGGGCAGGGGGTGGGGGGTGGGGGGGGTGGGGGGGGGGGGGGGGGGTGGGGGGGGGGTGGGGGGGGGGGGGGGGGGGTGGGGGGGGTGGGGGGGGGGAGGGGGTGCGGGGAGTTTTTGAGGCACTCCCCCTGTAGGAGCCACCGACAAGCGGGACCCTCCACAGCATCGGTTTGCAGCTCCTCCAAGGGATTGGGGGGGGTCCCACAGGGCGGGGGGGGGGGGGGGGGGGGGGTGGCGCATGAAGGGTTGGGTTAGGGGGAAGGAGGCCCGATCCGGGTCTGCTTGTTCCAGACGCTTTTCGGCAGGAGCCGAGGCGAACTCTCAGTTGAGTCACTAGCAGTGCAGCTCTGAATCGATCTATCTTTGACTTCACCTGTTGAGCCTTGCCATGAAACTCCAGAACTCCGGAACTCCGGAACTCGGGCTTCGCAGGCGGAGAAGATGACTCAGCGAGCAGCCCCGACAGCTCGCCCAAGAGCTTGCGCTCGAAGAGCTCGCCCTCCAAAAGCCGCTTGGAGTGGGCGCGACTGTCAAGCCACGTCTCAAAGGGAGAATAGGCTATAGGGTGGCCAGCTGAATCAACTGAAGAACGTTGAGGTCAAGCATGGTCAGGCCAACCTGCTCCAAATGCTATCACTTTGGTGCCTGCGGCTTCCATGAGACAGCCATCTGAGGCCGTGGGAGTTCACGAGGCTCGCGCTCACCTGGCCGCTATGTAATCGAGCCTCCGCCAGTGGTGCCGCTCGGACCTTGCTTTCTTGTTTAATGTACTTCTTGGCTCAATTGAGATGTGAGAGGACATTCTTTGCTTTCCTTCGCTGCTCGGAGCTCTGAGGCCTGTGGCCCAGTGGCGGAGCCAGAAGCTCGAGCCGCTGGTCATGCCGCCGCGCCCTCCCGACGGCGAAGCCCCAAAGGGCGGACAGGGCGGACGCGGCGGACAGGGCGGACAGGGCGGACAGGGACGTGGCCCCAATCAGGGCCCTCCTCGGCCTCCCAGCGCAGAGAAGCCTGGAGGCCAGGCCAGACAGACATCTTAACTAGCCATCTTCGAAGCCTGAAGAAAGAAGGAAAGCTTAAATGCCAAGAGCTTTTTTGTATCCAAGTTCCTGTGATCCTCTCTGGCATGAGCAGTGGCATGAGCAGTGGCAGCTCTCCAGGCCGCTCAGGTCGAAGGCCTGTCATGCAGAATTCCGCGCTCCTTGGCATGGGCAGAGTCAGGACCAAGTCGGACCATGTATCCCAGCATCGAATCCCCCCCGCCCCCCCGGCTCTCCAGTCTTTCAAATGCGGAGAACTGGCACTTGAGTGGGCCGTCACAAAGACACGAAAACCGTTTTCGAAACGACGAGCTGTTCGGTTCCGTGAATCTTGTTTCCTTCTTCTCGTCAGCATGCCGGCATGCCTGCACCAGGGTTGGTATTTGGGCACGAGCCATGTCAAGGTCAGGTGCATCCAGCCGGGGTACCCGATCACAGTCGGCACAACGTCAGCGCCCGGAGTGCCACGGCATGCAGTCAAGATGCGATCAAGGTTTCGTTCTTCAGAGGGCTTGGATCATTCTTCACATTGTCTTCTTGTTAATGGCCGCAGTTCTCTGCTGGGAAATCTGGGCCGTGCTTCTCTTATGTGTTGTCTGTTATCTGCTGTGTGCAGCAGTTCCTGCGTAGAGTCCACCCCATGGTAGTGTTATGTCATGCAGCCGGCAGATGCCTGACTGATGCAACCCGGTGCTTGCCGAATGCATCAGCAGAGTAACTGGATGCAGTTTGACATCTTAGTGTCTAGGTATGGCACGCACACATACATCGTATACGTGCATGGCTACTTGGTAGCATGGGAGCTAACGGCAAAAGCATCTCTTCAGGAACCCATATGGCAACCCATATGGCAATCCTTATGCTGCGTCATCAGCTCGCAGTCGCGGAAAGCGTGGTGGTGCCGCTGGAGCTGCATCAGCTGCAGGGGCTCAGCAACGTTGTGTGCATGTATCATAGTATCATTGTATTGACTGTCATGGATGATGATCTTATTTCAGCAGGCGGGTAGAGTGCATTTGTTACTGCATCGAGGCAAGCAGCTTCGGCGATTCTAGGCTTCTCAGCTGCATGGAGCTGTGGGGGGCCGGGGGGGGGAGGGGGACGATGTCGGAGACACGAAGAAGCTCAGCAGAGTCAGAGGGCAGATGCGCGAAAAGCAAGTCCACCCTTTGAGCTCGAAGCTGGAAGGGTTCAAGCCTCTGCCATAGGAGCTTTGGATGGCACTCAAGGGCGCAAGGATTCAATGGCTGCCCTTAAGGTCATCATCGCAGATATGCGACGAGCATGTGCATAAGCCCGAACCTCCGGAGGAGCTCCTTGGCAGCATTTGGCAGTCAAGGAGCCAAGTCAAGGTAGCCGAAGGTAGCATGTGTCGATGCCTCTGCTTGACCGCAACTCGAGTCTCGCCTCAAGTAGTGCAGATCTGCAGATCTACACCGGTTTATAATCCGCCCCCCCCCCCCCCCCCCCCCCACGTATTTTCCGCCCTACACGTGTCGTTGTTCGGTCATGCCGATGTTTGCAAGCAGCAAGTGTTCCAGCTTGAGCCGGGTATTGTTGAGCTCGAACCACTTAAAGGACGATCTGCCGATGAGCCCATTCCACTGGACTGCCTAAGCGACTACTGACTGTTTTGTGAACAGCAAATTTCATTTCCAGGCGTGGACCTTGGGCCAGTTCCTGAGTATGTCTTGTGCGTTTCTTGAGTGCCCACGTAAACCTGGGCAAGCTTGAAGGTCATGGCCGCGGGAATGTTCGTAGCTGCTGGGCGCTGAGCCGTTGAAGATGTGCACAAGAGGGAGAGACAGAGAGAGAGCCAGTACCATCACTGCAAGGGCGATGCGAAGACGCTGCACTGACAGTGATAGCAGGCGTAGCAGCAGCAATACCAAATAGCAACAGCATCACGACGACAAGCAAAAAGAAAGGAGCTTCAGACGCACCGGCGGATCTCACAGCTTTCGCAGCATTCACTCCCACCTTTTCTTCTGCAAAGACACGCGCTCGGTCCAGGCTGAGGATCCGCGAGGATCCTGCCACATTCTAAGATTGTCATGCTCGTTCTCATGCCGCTGAGGCAGCCAAGGGCAGCGGCGCCTTCCAAGAGCGGCGCTGCGACCCCAGCAATACAAATTCACCTGCGTATGCACGTGCAGAATGCGACATAGGACCCTGGCTTATTCCCCAATCTCAACCGCAAAGAAGGGTGCCTCGGAGCTTGAAATGGCTTGGGACCCTCGCTAACGATTGAATGAGAGGCGAAAACCCGCCACACGCCATTGATTCTCTCGCTCTCTCCCTCTCTCCCTCTCCCTCCCTCTCCCCTCCTCTCTCTCCCTCTCTCTCCCTCTCTCTCTCCCTCTGTTTGTCTCTCTCTCGCCCGAGGCGGCTCTGGGACTGCACCGCGAAAGCGTTCAGAGCTGGGACACCTGGTGCAGCGTCCAGTGGTGACCGACCCTCGTCAGCACAGGTTCAGGCTTGAGGCGGCTTGAAATCGTGGTAAGCGAGTGAGTGAGGATGAGAGAGAAAGTGACAGAGATTGAGAGAGTGCGGCGCGCACGAGTGACCTCTGTATCCTGGTCGCCTCGTTGGTCGCCCAGAGGAAAGAAAGATTGCCACAAGATGCCATGACAGTGCATTGAGGGAAGCCTTCAACCTCCTTGCGTGCTCGTGCGTGTTTGTCTTTTGTGTGTGCGGCTGCGTTTGCGGTTTGTGTGCATGCGTGCATGCGTGCATGCGTGCATGCGTGCATGCGTGCATGCGTGCATGCGTGCATACGTGCATGCGTGCATGCGTGCATGCGTGCATGCGTGCATGCGTGCATGCGTGCATGCGTGGGTGTGCGGGTGCGGGTGCGGGTGCGGGTGCGGGTGCGGGTGCGGGTGCGGGTGCGTGTGCGTGTGCGTGTGCGTGTGCGTGGGCGTGGGCGTGGGCGTGGGCGTGGGCGTGGGCGTGGGCGTGGGCGTGTGCGTGTGCGTGTGCGTGTGCGTGCGGGTGCGTGTGGGTGTGTGTGTGTGTGTGTGTGTGTGTGTGTGTGTTTTTTTTTGTTGTGTGTGTGTGTGTGCACGTGTATGTGTGTGGGTGTGTGCACGTGTATGTGTGTGGGTCTATCTACCTACGCACGAATTTGGCATTGGTGCTGTATGACGGTCTGGGTTTACATAGTTGTATGCTCCGATCCCACCTGCCTCAGTTCCACCAGGTGACAAGCGACAGCACCGAAGCCATGCGCGCAGCACCTGGCTGGGTGCACAAGGACAAGCGAACAGATGTGGAGACAAAGAATCCACCGTGAATTGGCTCTTGCTCTTGACTCTTCTGTCCAGTCAGGTGACGGACAGGACTGCATTGCTTCCGACAGGAGTGGACCGAGGACGATCTCGATCTCATCAGCGCGGGCCAGCCTGTTCCTTGGCTCACCTGAGCCAGCTGAGCTTCATGCATCCGGCGGTCTTTCGCCCCTTGCGCTCTTTACACTCCGACGCTGTGGCAAGCCTCATTCTTGGCGACACCTACGTGAGGCTGCCAAACGTCGGATCGGCGGAATTACGCTGCTTGCGACGTGGCAGCTCCAGGACGATGCAAAGGTCGATCCCTACTGCGCCACTTGGCACAGACGTCTCTGTTGTTGAGCACGTTCTGTTGCCTTCTGACCGGCTTTACTTGTCAAACTGTGACCCTTCCGATCTGGCATGAGGTCATATGCCGGTTCCAAATACGGATTGCGCGAACATCGCGACTTCCGGCAGGCCATTCTGGTGTCCGCAAGTGGTTCCGCTGGCCGAAAAGAGAGACAGGACATTCTGATGGGTTGTGGTCCGCGTAGTGCCTTGCCGTGACGACACTCGTATAGCTTGTAAGTGACCCCTGTATTCGCCAATTTGAGATGCTGTACACGTGCTGAGAGGTGAGCAAGCAGTGTGGAAAGAAGCCCAGCCGTTCTTTTGTGTATCAGCAGAGGAGGCCGCCCGTTTGAACACAAAGGGAAGGGAACGGAGGCTGTGACAGCAAATGTGGGATGTCCTGGGCTTCCAGCTTCGGCCAATAAATGCCAGCACGACATGTTAGGGCATAGGTTCGCAAAGTGAGCAACATTCAACCCCCACGGATAGTGACGTAAACGTTGGTTGGCACTCAGGTGCAGAAGCAGTACTGCGCTTTCCTTTCCGATTACCTGCAGTATGGGGAAGAGTACATTGTGAGCGTGCGAGCCGGCTCCGTGGAAACTTGGACACTTGGCTGAAGCGGGGGGCGCATTTCCAGACACCAAGCGAAGGGCCCTCGTTCGAGTGTGACACAAAGTTGCATTTGAGTGCTCGCTTTCTTCTTGGCCCGCCCGCCAGGAGCGAGTGGAGTGCTACGTCTGAGCCGCTGCGCTTGAAGGCCCAGCAACTCTCGCGGTCCTTGCTCTTCCTCAAACTTTGCTCTTGGCATGGACCTGGCGTGGGCTTTCTTGCAAAGCAAATCCAAAGGCGCGCGACTTGGAGCCCCCGGAGTTCGCGCGATTTTGCTGCGACGTCCTCGCGCCGAGGGAGAGTGGGATTCTGGAGGCGCGCGGGTGCCATGACTTGCGGGGTCTTCGGCTTCCCCACTGCTGGTGATTAGTGGCTGCTTCAAGTCGAGTGCCCAAGAGCAGTGGTGCTACGGTGCTACTTCAGTCCAGATTGTTGTCAGTCCAGATTGTTGTGAAGCCTGGTGCCATGATCTTGTGTTTGCTTGCGAAACGTGGGAATACAGTACCTTAGGTTTAGTGACAGATAATCATCCTTGCCAGCCGCAGAAATGGTGTCGACCTCGCTTGTTCTGGATACTCCAAAGTGTGGCGTGTCAGATCTTCCGCACCCGTGACCACGCGCTGCACTTCGCCTTCCCTGCCTTCAAATCCTTCGATCCGCGGACCCCTCTCCCGGTGGAATATTGCATTGAGGCTGGGCCTCTCATGTACAGCTTCCTGCTGCAGAAGTAGACGAAGTAGACGAGTATCTGATGATCTGCAGGCCTGGCAAAGACCAGATGACTTGGGCGCTGCTGCGGCAGAGCAGCTGCAGGCAGCTGCGGTTCAGCCCCCCCCCCCCCCTGACCGCTTTCCACGCTTTAACTTCGGAACTCCACACTTCGATCTTCACAGCATTGATGTCACTGTTCTCCAAGCTGCAACAATGAGTTGCGACCATGCTCTGTCCCGAAAATGGGTCCCTCACTCTGTTTATTGTTCTGCTCAGGCACTCTCGCTGTTTATTGTTGTGCTCAGGCACTCTCGCGGCTGAAAGAAGGGCTGCTGAGACGGCATTCTTCTCTTCAAGCGTGAGATTGCAATGCTCTGTGAGTCATTGCATGATGCTTGTCACGTGAAGCTAAGGAAAGGCAAGATGCCCGGAAGTGGCTCTGAGTGGCAGCAGCCGTCGCCCATTTTCATCACCAGCATTAAGAGTGATCACGTGCCGGGCCAAGCCACTCCAAGCCACTCCAAGTCTGGAACTCGCGTCTCCATGGTCTCCATGTGCGAAAGATCGGCCGGGACTTAGGTGCAGGGGAACACTGTGGAGTGCTCCGTCGACATCCGCAGCACGGCGCTTGTGCAGCGGTCACAGGTCTACTTCAGAGCCTTGGCAATGATTTCGCTCTGCTTGGAGTTCACAGGGCGAAGTGAGCTTAGACGTATGTCGCTATGATTCGCTATGTGAGGATTCTGATCACAGGTTCTCATCCGATCACATTTTGCCCAAAGCTCCTTGCAGTTGCATGTTTGGTCACTCTTCTCAAGTTGCATTCGATGCCCAGTCCTGACTTGTTGGTGTATCAGAGGTGGTATCATGAGCATCTCGGTTCGGCTGTCGTAAGTTGCGAGGCGTATTCTTGATTGGACACTGCTACTTATGGATCGCCACGGGTTGTTTTTCTTCGTGTAAGTAGTTGGGCAAGTTGAGTCCATGGAGTCCATGGGATTTGAGAAAGGATTTTGGAATGAAAAGGTCATTAGGCAAACCTGCTGATGCTTGCACAGGTGATGGGATCCCGTAGGTATGTGAGAAGCGCGCTGCTGCTCTCGCATTCATCGTATCGAGATTCTCTCAAGCGGGCCTTTCTCATCAGGTGTCCGCGCGCGGTACCTGAGTCTGCCTGGCGAGACAAACTTCAGCGCCTTGTGGCACCTTAAGGGCATACAGAGGAGTGACATCATGCTGAGGACAGCGTCGCATGGTTTGGGTCTGGGATACATTGTATGGCTGCCTGCATTGAAGCGTCTCTTGCTGCCTGAGGTCCTAAGCTTCTGTGGTCTGGCGCACCGGTGCTGATACCGGAGCTAGCCTGAACCCCAGGATTCCGGAATCGTGAGTTGACAATGTGCAAAGTACACTTGCTTGCTGCATCATGTTTGCTCTGGCTCCCTCGGATGCACGGAGGGTTCGAAGCGCCGAAAGACTGGCTCCCGAGTCTCTCGTGAGCGGAGTGAGGTCCCTACGCCTCCGGCCCCAACGGCGCTGCCCGGTGCAGAATTCTTGGCCAGCCAAACCTCAACCCAAGAAGGCCTCGAATGTACTGTCACAACGACATGGCTCAGAGCAACGTTTTAAGTTTTTGTTCTAGTCTGTAAGCCCGGAGGAATGGGGACGGCCATCGTGCATTGGCCCTTTCGGCATCCAGCTGCTCGACTGCATTCCCAGGCTTCATGGATCGTCGGGCTCGTCGGGGCATCGTCCCGTGTTCAGGCGAACTTTTGCAGCGTGGACGAGGAAGGAGCATGGATCAAGGGACCCTATGTTCCCAATACCCTTCCGGCCACTCGACAGCAGCAAAATCTTGTTACCCTCGAATTGAATCATAGGACCACAGGGTTTCAGCCTTGGAGTCGTTTCCAAGGATGACTTCCCACTGCCATTCCGACTTCAATTTCGCTGCGTAGACTCGGCTCCCGTGCGCCGCAATGAGTCTCAGCCGCACTTCACATGCGGAAGGCTACGCTTCCTGCGGCCGTCACAGATCATCACAGATCATCACAGCTCAGGAGCCCACTACGTTAAGGCCGTGGGGAGTCAAATGTAGCCCTGCATGCTGCTGTTTGCCATGTCTGGCAGAAGCCCAACGAGCATGGCAAAAATAATTCGAATCATGGACCAAAGCTTTGCACTGGGCTTGTGTCCTGCACGTACTCGTAATGGTGTCCCTGCTGCTCTCGCATGCTGCCGTTGCTTGCCAGATGGTCCGAATGGAGAGAAGTCGAGGCTTACGAGTTTGTGGCGCTCGATCCTCGGTTCTCTCAAAAACTACGTCATGAGGTGCAGGAAGCAGCTGTGCAAATTGGGAACTCTGCAGGAGCAGTGTCTAGAAGGGGATCTTAGCAGGCAGCGGGCGCTGCGCGGCATGTGCGAGCTTCGGGTGGGCTCGTGCTTGGGCTTGTAGCATTGTAAGGACAAAGATATGGATATTTAATGGGCCCCGAACGTCGAAGGCTGTTTCTGTTTGTTTGAATTGCAGCGGGGAAGTCTTGCTTCCGCCTGGGCCGTTGCAGCAGCCAAACGATGTCAGTGGAAGCTGCCATTGAGAGCTGTACGGCTGTATGGGTGCGCAGGCTGGGTTGTTGTAGATCGTTGTGGCCAAGGCAGGGCCTGCAGAGCGGTACGCTTGCCGTGGCTCAAGCGTGGAGCTGCCACTGCCAACCAAGTGGGCAGGGGTCTGCTACAAAGCGGTAGGTGATGCACATTCTCACAACCCATTCCGTCATTGCGGGCCTTTTTTCAAATCTCGGGGCCTTGGGGGGGGCTTGCAAACACCTGCACCGCCCAGCCTCGGTCGAGGGAGAAGACATCGGCAAATGTACAGCAGAAATCTGACGAAGTAGCTGGGGAGGGAAAGAACCTCCAGAGATCTCCAGAGGAGTATGCCTCGCCCAGGCGACGACGCCCGAACAGACACCGTTCGCAGCGTGCGGCCCTTCGTCACTCGCCCAGTTCTGTCCGTGTCTGCTGGTCTTGTGACGGCATGGCAAGGGTGCATTCGGTCACTGCTTGGCCAAGGATTGACAAGCCAGGCCGGGCGCATGATTGATAGTTTGATAGTTGCCAGTCCAATCCAGTCAACCTTCAAGGCTTTGCTTCAGTCAGTTCGAGTTAGTTGCGACATCATGACCTCTGTGGGCAGTTTCTGGGTATGTGCGCAGGGCCAGTTTGATGCTGGCGATATTGATGACATCAGACCAGGCACGCGCACTTAAGGAGGGTGTGCTACTGCTTAGACTCAGGGAATACCAAGAGCATGCAGCATGATTGAACTGTGCAATGGTTTGGCTCTCGAGCTTAGCTCGGAGCATGTACTCTCCAACCACTGTCGGAATCAGGACCTGCATGTCTTCAGAACAGACCAAGGCAGTGATGCAGTGATACTGTTGCCTTTCCTTTCTGGTTGCGAGGCGAACTGGAAGCTGAGTTTATGGACCCAGCCCAGGACACTCCTGACTCCTGACATGCTTTGAGGCTTGTGACTCGCGAGACATCTGTGTGGTGGTGGCAGGGAGGTTATTGTACCTGCGGCACTCGAACATTCATATGCCAAACTTTTGTATAAACTTGCGGCCTCACACGCAACTGCTGAGGGCTCTGGAAAGCTTGACATGAACAAGGGGTCCCTGTGTGGAAGCCGGGTAGTTTCGTATCTGTCCCCAATGCTGTTCATCCAATTTCTGTGATCTTCGTGAGACTTCCCCCCCAGTTCGATGGCGAGGACCCGTTGGGCGTTCTTGTCTCCGATGATTGGGCAGTGCTTGTCTCTGGCCTGGATATAGCAGAGGAGGCAAACTGCGTTGGATCCGTCCTTTAGGCAGCCAGCCCGTTTCAGCAACCTGAGGGCAACAAAATGTCTCAGAAGTCTGCTGAAAGTGTAGATACCCAAGACGAGACATGCACTGTGTAAAGCTTGTTGGGGAAGAGTCGCTGAAGTGCTGTACCATCGCCAGTCTGCCGGGTCGGGTCTGACGCAGCTGCGCTGGGTCTCCTGCAGTGTGGAGGGCTGTGTGTGTGGAGCCCCAGCCAGAACTGTAGTCACTGTAGTCGCTGAACTCTAGCATTCTGGATTGGATTTGGGACTGCAGCCAGTGTGATTGCTTTCGTGCATCTGACCTCAGAGGCTGTGTCTTCTCCCTGCTTTGTTCTACTCTCTGAAAGGTCTGCGGCCTCTTGCACGCTTTGTATTCAAGTCGCTCCGCCCTGCGCTGCAGTGTCGGTGCGCCTGTAGCTGCGTGGGTTTGCATCATGCAGTTTTTTGGAGAACCCAAGATTTGCTCGGATCTGCCAGGTACAACATGTTGTAGTCAACTGCAGCTCCAGTCGGAGTCCTGGCAAGCCGACGTGAGATCATTCCAGCGTGAGCTGCAGTGCGACTGAGCAATACACGTAGCGTCACGTAGCCATGAAGTGAACCTGCAAGGTAGCCACCGTGGCCGTGTGGAGACTGAGGCATCATCAGTATCAGTCATGGCAAGCCTTCAGGGTAAATGTGCAGTGGCACACAAGCTGGAGAAGCACTTCTTTTTATCGGACGTGATTTTTTCGCGGGACTCTTTTGCATGTGCCAGGGTGCTGCCGGGAGGACACAGGCGGCGAAAGCATCAGACGTTTGTAACAAGAGCCCGAAGAAAGTACTCGAGTTCCGAATCCTGATGCCATTCCCCCGGCCAATGGAAGGAAGAGCGCGACGAATGGGTCGTGCACGAGATTCGACATGTAGCCCGGCTCTCTTGGCAAATGGACTCACGATCCCCCTCCTTCAGCTGCCTGCCTGCAGAGTCGAAAGTGCCACTTGTGTGAAGCTCTGTAAGTCATGGGCGACTCTGAAGTTTTGTTTCGCCGCTTTCTTGTTTTGTTCAGGTTTCATCAGCACGTTCCAGGTCCGCTACAAGGAGGCGCGCCAAGAAGTTTCTTTGAAGATGCTTGTCTCTCCCAGCACGCATTTTTGCCCAGTGGAGAGCATGTCTCTTGAGAGACGTGAGATGCAACACATTGATCCGTCAAAAAGTGCATTTACCCCTCTCAGAGTAGTAGGTGTGAGGGGAAGCACAGAGAGAGAGAGAGAGAGAGCAAGGGAAGAGAGGCTCAGAGAGAGAGACAAAGAAAGAGCCTCAGAGAGTAAGAGAGAGCGAGACTCGGTGTCTCTCACAGCGGCTGACCATAGCGGGCTTGGCTTGTGCGCGGGGGCCCAGGGGGCCTTTTCCTGGCCCCCCAATCCCCCCCCAATCCCAGCAGCTGCAAAAGAAGAAGAGGAGGAGGAAGAAGAGGAAGAAGAGGATGAGGAAGAGAGAGAGAGCGACCTCTGCAGAGGTTCCACCTGGCAAAGACCCAGAAGACCTGCCTTGGCGAGAGCTCTCTCTCGTGGCGCTGCAGGCGATGTCGTGAGTTGACTCTGAAGGATGCAGCGTTCCTTCATGCACGGCGCATGGCCGCGCACCTCGTCCCTGAGCCAGGAAGCAACAGACGAGACCGATGTAGGTGCCCGCCCTGGGAGTCTTGGGGGTTGGAGGGCACTTCGCACGCTGCTATGGCACGAAAATGCTGAGACAACTCATGAGTCCAGCTGACCAAAGAATCCCGTGCAAGCAGCTCCACTGATCATCTCGAGTCGTGAGCCAGCCATTGTCAGCGATCACATGTAGCCGCACATTACGCAGAGGCAAGCTAGTGGCTGGTGACAGCTACCTTGCAAGCTTCACCTACGATGTGACATCTGTGCCCCTCCTTCGCTTCTTGGCTGGACAGGAGTCTTTGCACAGTTCAACCGTCCATGGAACTCTCGATGCAGACGTGTAGTGGTTAATAAAACGCTTTCTTACCCGCTTCATGGAAGCTACGAGAGATTACAGCAACAGAGAACGACCGGACTCGCAACTTCGAGGGTGCTGTGGACAAAGAGCAGGCTTTCAAAATAAAACGAGGCACCGATGAAAACGCAGACGGAACCCGGATGAACCCGGTACCTTCGAGGCTGCCGTATGTAAGCGCTTGTTAGATCGACAATGGCAGCTGCACCGAGCACCGAGCAACTAAATATAGCTAAATGGCGCGCAAGTGCTCGTAGGATCTCGTGCGTGGGCCCATAGCAGCGCCTGCGCACGTTTCAACACAGAGTGTTGCAGAGCCACGTCTTGGGGCCTTTCCTGGACGAGCCTGAAATCATCTGCCACAAATCATTCAGGAAGTATGGTGCTACCCTTGGACCCCGAACCGGGAATGTCTATGTGTTTAGGGGCTAGTTCGCGCATAAGTCAGTTGCGCATTCAATTGGCAATACTTGTTTTAAACGCAATCAGCAGATGATCGTAGGCCTTGAGCTTGGCTCCCTGAGGTTTCCATCGCTATGTCTTCGCGGTGCAGGTGCCGAGCTTAAGCTAAGGGGCACAGCAAACTGGCTTGCTCAGGCTGTTTAGGTCGGAGGTCGGATTTGTTCTCGATCTCCAGAGTGCACTGAAGTCGGACAGGACTTGTGGCCGTGCCATAAATTTCCTTCATCTGCAACGTGCTGAGCTCGTAAGGTTCGCAGCGATGAGATATGCTCACCGTGGTCGCCGCCTTCGAAGCCACTGCACCTCTTGCTTCCCGAGGTCTGGAACCTAGTGACCAGCGCAGTCTTAGCAAACCACGCCTTCAACTGAGAACTTCGCGGTTGCTCATCAAGATGTCCTCTTGTTGCCTCTTCCGACATCCGTAGAAGCAGAGCGTAGCACGGCGTGGCAGCTTTCTCCCACCATCTCCCACCTGACGGTGGACACGCGAAATTCGCCCTGTGAGGTGGTTCCACCTCTGCAGATGGAGGAGGCATCTACCAGCGAAGGTTCGGAGCAGGAGCTGTCGCAGGAGGGGCACCTGACAGTGCTCTCCTTCACATCACTGAAGACTAGTTTCAAGTAGTCACGTATTCAGACGTATTCACCGCCGGACTTCAGGATGAGGGTGCTGAGAAGACGGATGCTGACGAGGCAAAGGAGGACGTGACACTGATTCCAGTCTTCCAGTGAGCCTCATCGGTTCTTTGCCGTGCATCTATGCAGTCTATACATGTCATGTCCATATCCACACTTGCAAAGCCTGACGTCTGACGTCTGAAGGAGGGACCCGAGGAAGCCGCACAAAGAGACGGAGGCCTCGGCGGGGAACCCGAGGAGTTGAAGCGAGGCCAGGAAGAAGCCGAGGAACCCGAGGAACCCGAGGAACCCGAGAAAGTGGGAGAGGAGGAAGAGCAGGGGCGAGGTGACAAGGCCCAAGAAGCTGAAGCCGAAGAGGCCGGCGATGAAAAAAATGACAGCAAGGAGAGAGAGGAAAGGGAAGAGAACGTGGAGAAATGTGGGGAGCAACCCCAGAAGGCGCCAGAGACCGTGACAGTACTTGTTGAAAGATGTTGCGTCTGACGTCCTTCGCACATGCTGTAAACAAGGCTACCAGTAGCAGGATGTAGACTTGCAAGTTCATCAAGCTTCGTTTTCTTTAGCATCAGTGCTGTCAGTACGGTGCATGATTACATGGTCAGCAAGATCTTTCTGGACGAGCATTGACACAGCCCGAATAGATCGCGCTCAGGAGAAAGCAGCGCAGTCTCGCAGCCAGGCCAGAAGGAGAACGCGGCGCAGACCAAAGAAAGCCCCTTGCCAACACAAGCAGAGCTGTGCTGTTTCCAGTCTTCAGTCAAAGGAGAGACAGCAGCCACTCACTCACCGTCAACTCTGAACCTAGTTTCGCAGTCAGCCGCATCAGTGGAAGCATGACGCAAGAGCTCCGTATACAGTTTTCTTCTTCGGATGAAGACGGTTGAGAAGGAGTCGCAAGAGATCCTCACAAACAGCCTAGCATAGAGCTGACGAGATTGGCTGAGTGATAAGCAGAAAAAGCTTGGGTGATCTTGTATCGGCCCGTTCGCCCCTGGCAGAGCGCATTGCCTAAAGCAACATGGGGGGGGGGGGGGGGGGGGGGACTAAGGTAGCGCTTTTGGAGTGCCTATGAAACTGACAATGTAGGGTACCAAAAGGGACAAAGAATTAGGGAACTAGACGCATTCAAACATGGTTGAGCCAGCGTTGACTACAACTGACATGTTGCTCCCGCGTTTTGACAAGAGGCCCAGGGGGCTTTGGACAGCAGTTCCTGTTGAGGCTGGCAAGGTGAAGCTGCTGGATGCTGAGGTGCTGTGTGCTTCCAAGGCCGATGCGCAATGGGGCTGTGAGATGCAGTAACGAAAGAAAACTGGAAGTTGCTCACAATGGCAGAGAACATTGAACGTCCACTCAAGTTTGCGTGCTCAGCATGTGCAGGACCCCATGGAGTGGTGTATCCAGTTGCGCTGGCGGCCGTTCCCACTGGAAGGCTGGGAATCACGGTGGGCGTGGGATCGTGCGCAAAAGAATAGAATGGTAAAGGTTGACAGCTTCAGCCAACAACCGTCTGGTCCAAAACGACATGTACTGTCCGCCGAATAGACTGCAAGCCAGTTCCGGCCAGGAGATGGAGCTCAAGTTTTTCCATCTCTGCTTTCTCTACCGTCAGAGTTCCAGGTGTGGAGCCCTCAGTGAGATCCGGTCGCTTAGTCGTTTTCCGAACGGCTCATACAGTGTCACGACACCGCTGTCTAAGTTACCGTCAGAGCGGGCAGCCACACCAACGGCAAGCAATTCTGTCAGCAAGTCCAAGCAACAATACTGCGTCGGAGCCATCGACGAAGGAAGTCGTAGGATGTTCTGCTAAAACATACACTGTCCAAGTGTCACAGTCCCAAATCCACCCTTCACACATGGGTTTGTGATATTGGAACACATGGTGTGGAGTGGTAGAGAGGTAAATCTTTGTGTGGGGTTTACATGTTACACAAAGCCAACAATAGGTCGATCGGACTTGTCGACTGGAGTAGCCACATCACGAAACCATATCCATACTTCTAGCACAGAACCAAGGTTCGAGCGCCAAGGCCACTCGTAGTCGTAGTGTTTGTTTTGTGACTTCCTCTCAGGTCCTACTTCATCTTGTCGGAGCGCCCCTGCGCCGAGGCGCAGGTGACAGATGCTTGCAGCAGCCAGGGGTCGATGATGGTGGCTGTTCTTAGGTTCATGGGGGGCTTTTATGCTCATGCATCGTAGGAGGAAGCCGCCAGCTTTGCTCCTCCGTTTGTTCGCGGCTTTGCGGCCAACGCGGACGCGCAGCTGGCGGCGCAGCGGGCGGCGTCTGTCGTTTGCCTGGAGGTGTCGCTGCTCGATACTGCACACTGCGCAGCCTGATCAGCCCAAGACACGATACGTAGACATTAGTCGAACATCGTTGAATGCGCTCTTCTCCAAGCCTTCTCGCACACTCCTTCGCATGTTTTGGAGCGTCTAGCCAACAACAGCCAACAACAGCCAATGCTCTGACAGGGATCCATGAGCCCTAGCGAAGAGGCTGGCTGGGATCTGCCCGCAGCAGTCCTGAGAAAGTGAGAGGCAAAAGGAAGTAGAGTGGCGGAGGTCGCATACACTATGCTACATATGCATATATTTATATATCTGATGCCAATCAGGTGGTTTATCGTCGCTTGCCCCGCAGTCGCCTGCCACCACTGCGCTGCGATGTACGGCTGTTCATCGTGAGTCGTCACCCAGCTCCTATTCAGTCCTATTTTTTCAACTGCAGAACTGCACGACACTGCATTGTACAGCCCTAGCAAAAGCTCAAGCGATGACGTCCAGGCAGCATGGCCATTACCGGGCCGCAGTGGTCTCGTGAAGCGCTTTGTGTGGATCTTGCGCTTCCTCGGCAGGCTCTCTGCGGCTGTGAATGAAAGGGCGAATATAATGGCAGGGCAAAGCAGGGTCGCAGAATTGGATGGACTCTATAGCTTGTCACACTTTCCTGACATGGCAGATGCAGCTCCCACTGCCTGTCCCACAACACCTCAGCTGCTGGGACCTTCGCCGGCGTGGTTTGCACATGGACCGGCAGCATTCCTCATTCGCGTTTGCAAGACTCTTTCTGCCTTCCCTGCCTGCTAGAATCGAATTTTTGCAGCAGACGCTTTTGGTTTCTTTTGGATGGGTGGATCTGATTGCACAGAGTGCTCAGAGAATCTTCTTGCAAACCAGCTGGGTCCGCTTCTGTGACACGGGTCACTGATGTTGTCGAATTTTTTTGCGCATACAGTCCTGATCTCCTTTGCAGGACTTGAGGAACAGCAAAGAAGCAGTGCTCACCTCAGCAGGTATGCTTCGAATACAGGAATCAAGCACTCAGCTTTATCCGTGCTGGAGTATGCTCGAGCTCTTTGGTTGATGGCTAATCAGAAACCATAAAAAGGGGTGGTGCCTCCCTGTGATTGTTGTGTCCCTGAGACTGCTTTGGTAGTGACTGTTTTTGTAGTTTTTGCCTCTTCGTGTTAAGAGGCTTAAATGCATCATGAGAACATGAGCACCCCAGCACTTTGGGGAGTCGCTCTTGTTGGGGCCCCTAAACCCTAAACCCTAAACCCTAAACCTTAAACCCTAAACCCTAAACCCTAAACCCTAAACCCTAAACCCCCCCTGAGTACGTTGGTTGGGGGGAGGCTCTGGATGGTTGCTGGGCGGCCCTCAGCCTCCCGAAGTTTGCGCGGGAGCTGGCCTTGGCCGAGGGCGTGGAGGCTCCTCGGAGAGTGAGTTTAGGATTTAGGGTTTAGGGTTTAGGGTGTTGCGTTTTGGGTTTAGGGTTTAGGGTTTAGGGTTGGTTCAAGAAGTTGACTTGACTTGTGTTGCGGAGCCATAGACAGACCTTGCATCTTTCAAAACCCAGGCAGAGGATGCTGAAGACCTGTTGGATCTTTGCAAGCGCGGAGCTGCCGCACACTACGTTCTGCAGTACAGGCGTGGCACCTGGTTGCCTGTGTTGAGAGTGGGAGGTGCATAGCAGACATGGGAGGTCCTTCGATCCTGATGCCCCGTGCTCGAGTTCTTGCGCCCGGCCGTTGGATGAGGAATGTGATTGGGTTGAGGCGGGCCGAGCAAAGTTTCTGTGCTCGCTGTTGCTCTGCATGCTGTTTGCATGTAAAGTCAGGTGCCCACCATCCGACGGCTGGACGAGACAGGACTGGCAGCATGTGCCAAATTCATGCACTCACAAGTTGCGTGTAGTGACTGTTGTCGGCGCTGAGCCATGCTGCAGCTGACGACAATGATGGCACAGAGCGGGTCTTCCTCGCGGCTGGACTGGACGAGTTTGGGCCTTGGCAGATTGCATGGCCAAAGGCATTGGAAATCCTTGCCGAATGCCTGTGTCCAGGTCGCTGGTTCGACGCCTTCCCGCCGAGGCATCTTCAGTGACAAGTCGATGTTAGTCCTGACAGGCTGTGGCAGTGGAACAGCCCAGCTCAGAGAGTTGCCAGACATCTCACCTCAGGCAGCACTTGGTCATGCCTGGGCAAAGTTTCGCTTGGCATCACGGCGGATGAGCCGCTTGGACATATTCCTGACCGATTTCACGTCAGACATTGGGTGGCGGACGTCCTGGTGATTGTAACTGTAGCCCCATTATGCACTGCGGAGCCTGAGACCGCAAGACAGGCCATTTCAGCTACGCATCTGCGGCAGCCTCTCGGCTGGCCAGATAGCAGACGTCACTGACATCACCGGTTGCCTTACATGAGAATGACAGATCAGTGCAATTGACAACTTGATCTCGCCAATGGCTCTTTTTTAATCTCTTTTGTCGAGAGGCGCCTGTGTCCCCACTCACTCCTCCGGCAAAGCCTGGGCTTGCCGTGCAATGGGCCCGGTGCTCAGCATGGCTCTCGCTGAGCTGCGTCAAGCTAACATCAAACTAAGACAATGACACGAGATGACACGAGATGACACGAGATGACACGAGATGACACGAGATGACACGAGATGACACGAGATGACGAGATGCCTCCGGATGCCCAGCAGCTGGAAGTCAGCTGCAGATCTCCACCGATGCCAGGTCGACAGCCCCAGCCTGGATGGGATACGAATTCAAGTATCTGCAGCTTGTGATGATCTCAGCCAGGCAAGCCACTGTTGCCCTTCATGCCTTGTCTTTGTCTCCACTTACCAATGCTGTGAGCTTCTCAGTTATGTCTTTTGCTGCCTGGCAGGGCTTCCAACTGCGCTTCCGGCTCTCAGCAGCAGATCCCAGCCAAGAATCCTCCTGGTCCGTGGGACCGCTGGTGCTTGGACCAAATTTCTAGTGCGAAGTTCTCTCAAGCCTTCACAAGAATGCGAGGGTTTTTGGTGAGTGCCAGATTCCAAGACAACTTCTCTCTCTACGAGAGTCCAGCAGCCCTGAAACTTGGAGGTGCCATTGGAGAAGGAGATGTCGAAAGGCGCTGTCACAGACGCCAGTCACACCAGTCACAACATGTACAGAGTGCTCGAATCCGTCAGGTACTGGAATTAATGCCTGGGCGCCGATACATGAGCAGCGAGCTTAGAGTGAGGCCCTTCGAGCGGTTCCTGGGAGCCCTGGTTTCTGAGGCTCTCCTACCATTCCGAGTACTGCTTCAGCCTCCGGAGCTGCTCTGCCTGCCGATTCTCGCCATGGTCAGAGGCACCATGTAAGCACCAGCACCGAGTGCACCCCAGAAATGATCGCTGCGGCACTGGCGTGCAGGAGTCGGATCCCTTTCGCGTGTCGCTGGAGCAGTTCGGCATGTGCCAGGAGACTGAACTTAGTTAGGCTCCAATCAGATCAACAAGTTTCGGCACACGAGCCCCCTGCCTTTTCGAGCCAGAGCAACAAAGCTTTAGAAGACGTGTTCTGTGGCGACAAGCTACGACCGCTAAAGCGAGACTTCAGACTTTTCGGGAGTTTATTCGAACAAAAGATCAGGCTCTGCGGTCACTGCGATCCCTTGCCCCTGCAGGATGATGGCTTGCAGATTTCCTTCCTAGGGCAGGGAGAACGTGGGCAGCCTGGAGCATCAGCCGCCTTAAGTGCATGGCATTGCAGTAGGCGCTCGCTCTTACTGGCTAAAGAAAGCTCTCAAACCGCCACTTGCAGTTCGTCCAAGATGTCCGCTCGTAAGAGCCACGCAGAAACGCACAGCAGTGCAAAATTCAAGCTGGAAATGTCCGATTGCATGCCTTGTTCAAGGTCACAATTGTCGCTGTTCAGTTGCCGACGCCGATGCCCAAGCAATAGCAAGTAGGATCAGCATTTGTTGTTTGTCATGACGATTAGGCTCTAATGACTCGTGGCACTTCTTGTGCTAGGCATTCAGGCTTGCTGCATGTTGTGCCCCTGGCCCTGGCAAAAGTGCCTGAATCAAAGGTGTTGGGACATATCATGAGAAAGCCAAAGGGCAGCGACTTTAAAAGGTGTCACCTTCGGGCGCCAGCGCAGATTCCCTTGACTTGCGTTGCCAGTACCAGTGGAAGGTCAAACCTTGCTGCTTCGATCACTCATCTTCTGTTTTTGCAGGTGTCGTGGGCCCCACTATGCTTTCCGACCTTCGCGTGGTCCGCTGATAGTGCGGCTGGGCGTTGATGAAGCCAAGCGGACTGGGATGATCATTCAAGAACGTTAGTCCGCCAGAGGATGCTGTAGCAGCTAGAGAAGAGCTCAGCACAGGATCATGTACAGTAGTACCTCCAGTAGTAACTCCAGCAGTAAATGATAAATACAGTACTGTTATCTGGTCCAAGGTGAGCCCAGCCCCGCCGATGACAATTGAATATCGATTGCGGTGGCGTCGAAGGCGAGCCAGTCAGTTAGTTGTCTATGGGATTCTTGCAGAAGGCTCTGTAGAAAGCCACATTGCGCATCCACACGCTCCTCATTTCTTCCCGGTGGGCTGTATTTGACCATTTTACTGAAGGCTGGATGCGTACAATGATGCATCCGCCATGTGCGGGCCTCAATGGGATAACAGGACGACAGTTGTGCAGTCGATTGGCAGCCTCAGCTAGTGTTAGGTGGGGCGCACTGTTTGAGGGTTCATTCCTTCGTTCAGGATTTCCGTGAAAGGGTCTCCGCCTGAGGTTCGCATCGATGAATGAGATTCGTGACCTCTACGCTGCAGACGACGACTGGAAGGGCGCCTGCAAGGTGAAGCTTTCATTTGTGGTACAGTTTCGCGTTCCACAACACGGTTGGACATTTTGATGTTCAGTCCCTGTTGTTTTCAGAAGACTAGCCCCCCCCCCCCCCCCCCCCCCCCCCACTAACCGTGCCGGTGACAGACCAGCGCCAGGAGTCTGACGAAGAAGCGCGCCGAGTGGGGATCGGTTACGTGAGGCACATGGCATCAAATGCCGGGCTTTCGTAGATTCATGCAAAGTGCTGCATTGCACGCAGATGGAACTGCCATGATTCTTGGAGGTAGTTTTCATGCCAGCGTCCAGCCAACATTCCAACGTTGCACACGCTGTCGTTTGATTGACGTTCAGGCTGATGATGCCGGATCCTGATGAGGGCTTGCAGGACTCGTACAATAATTCCGAGGTAGCGTTTCGAGCCGAGCTGTCTCACAGTTGCCACGATTCCATCGCGCAGGGGTAAATCCTGCCTCATGGGGCCCAATGCCTTCTCCTAGCACACTCGAGTGCCGTCCAGCAGCTACAAGACTATGCAATTCAAGTGAACACCCGGAGGACGTTGCTCTGCGTGGGTACTATGGTGACTGCACAAAGAGGCGCGCGATCTGGGGCGAATCATTTTGTTCGGTCGTTTTTGGTGGCGCAGAGTGCGATTAGTATGATTAGTCGTGCGTTGAGAGGCTTTCAGTCGACTCAGGCTGTTTGGCAGACCCGAGCATACGCCTTGGCAAACCGCGGCGATCGTCACTGCCAAGGCTCGCGCGGTGGGATCCAGCGGTGTGTTTGCATAGTTTGCATGAGCATGTCTCTCATATGTGTTTGCATTGCACGCCTGGCGCATGAAGCGGTTCGTGCGCCTCAGAATGTGTCGGTATGCCTTCGCTTCACAGGTGGCTGGACCGTTGGCCGTTTCCAGGCGGCGGCCTTCACAGATACATGCAACTGTCATCTGTCGTCTCTGTGTCTGAATGGCTTCCGGCTCTATCCGCGGCATCGTGAAGGTAAGACAGCTATGTGATAGGAGACGGGACGTCGTGATATTGGGTCTGCTGAGCCGGCATTGGCTTCATGTCCTCGGCTCCTTCCGTGCTGCCTTCTCCTGCAGGTGTGGCTATGCCTTGACTTTTCTTCAGCCGGGCATGGACTACGAGGTGGCCGTCGACTGGCGATGGCGGCGCTTGGGGGACCAATTCTGGATGCCCGGGTCTCGAAAAGCCGGGCTAGAATCGAAGCAAGAGAACAGCGGAATGCCCCGAAACTCAGAGAGAGAGAGAGAGAGAGAATCAGACAGAGAGAGGAGAGAGAGCGAGAGAGACAAATACTGCCCCTGGCCGTTGCCAAATCCGCAGTGGGGGGGAACCAGACGGGGCCTTAATTCAGAGCGGAGACTACAGACCACGTAAGTCCTCACCATGCACGTTTTGCCCCACCCGTAGCCCAAAGCGGCCATTTTCAGAACCCCACTACGAGTGCTGGGGGGTTTCACACCGAAGACTAGCTCTGTCGTGCGTGCTTTTTGGGGCGGCTCCCTTCGTTAGGGGGGGGGGGGGGCATACGCCTAGCAAGCAAGCAAGAGAGAGAGAGCGAGCGAGCGGGCAACGAGAGTAAAACAGAGAAAAGCGCTCTTCGACCAAGGCCGGCTTTCGAGAAGTGCTTCACCGTCCCAGCGAGACCTGCCAGCCCCGATGTCCCACGGCCACTGCGGATCCTGCCAGAGGTGCGCAAAGACTTGTGCAGAGCCGGGTTCAACTGTTTGCATCTGTTTGCTAGTTGCAAAAGCACTCTGAATTGCGACCTATTGTCTGCAGGTTTTGGATGGTCACGTGTCTTTGGCCGCAATGGCTGTTAATCCTGTTGCTCAAATCGCTGAGCAGAGCAACAACCGCTCGCTTTCATCGCTTGGTGTCGCAAGGATGGTCTTCGAGCACTTGTGGAAAGAGGCACGCGGGGAGCATAGTAACATGAGGCACATGCAGTCTTGCAGCTGGTCCCTTCCCGCTAAGGGGCCAAAGCTGTCCAGAAAGGGCATGCAAGCTTCCAACGTGTGAGTCCACATTCTCTGCAGCAAGCAAGCGTTTTACACTTTGCACACTGCAAAATGGCACTCAGCCTTCCAACATGTGTGTTCAGTTTGTCCGAGTGGACATCATGCATGGAGAAGACGAACAATGGCGATGCACTAGTCACTAGACCCCAACCCAATTGCGAGCATGAATGGATGAATGGGGGGGGGGGAGGGGCAGAGGCAAATTATGTGGTGCAATGCAACTGATGTTCGTCTCGGCCAGCTGCCTCTGTCAAGCTGCAAGCTCTGTCTATAACCGCGTCAGAGCAAAGGTGCATCCGGCTACGGCCTCTTCCAGCAACTTGGCATCCACCGGGACCGCTTGAGCCAACAAACCGGGACCATAGAGCCACATCTCCGCCGAATCACCTTTCTTGAGCACTCCAGTTCTCCTTGCCTCGTCCTCTGCGCCCTTCTCCGCACCATCCGGATCCTCGCCATCCCCTAACCAAGAACAGTCCCTCCGCGTCATGTACAAACTTGTGCAACTTGCATTCTCTTTTGCGCTCAGGTGGCCCTTTGCCCACCCTCCTTGCTCGCAACTGGCCCTGCCTCCGCCACAAGCACAGCTGACACAAGAGCTGCGAGAAGATCCAGGCGCCCTCCTGGAGCCAGGTTAAGGGTTCAACGGGCCTTTGCAGGCACCAATGTTGCTGCAGGGTTGTTGTCATGGTCGTGAGGCAAGGGGGGGGGGGTTTAAGAGCTTGCTGTTGGGCATGCTTGCACCGGTCCTACATGTGAGCTGCGGTTTTGTTTTAGGTGCTTGTGGTCAAAGTATGCCAGAGTCCTATTTTCTCATCATTCGGACAACTTATTTCGTCAAGGACGGTTGTAGTCTTAGGTGCAGCAGGGCTTTCCAGGGGTTTGAGAGTCGAACTGCTGCCGCCGATCTACGGCTGTTTCGTGGAAAGGCTCCGCGGAAGGCTGACTGTGATTCCCATTGCTTCAGTTCAACCGAATGAACACCCCAGCTCATGCGAGCTCGTGGTTGGTTGTGTCGGTGTGGTTGTGCCATCGCGGCAGGTAGCAGAAGTCCTGAACGATAAGGGATAGATGTTTCAGCGCTGTGCTGACACTGCGCCACAGATGCAGGACGCCACAGCTCCTTTGCCATTCAGTGCCGTGCTCGCCCAAGTGGTGGCTGGAAAACTTGCCAGGCAAGGTGCTTCAATCTGACCTGTTGTAGACCGTATGCTGAGTGGATTGAGAGGGTAGTCTGGGCCAGCAGGTGCACTTTCTGGAGATCGCAGGCTGCTCGCCAGCAATTGCAGCAGTTGCACGGTGCAACCCACATCTGGAGAAGTCAGATACCTGTCTCGCAGCTTCTAGTGGGCCTCCCGGCCATGTCGACAGATGGCTGCAGGCAAGCCCACGTGTTTCGTGGAGGCTGCCGAAGCGGTTGCAGAGGAGCCGATCACGGATCGCCGTAAGGCATAGCTCGGGAACCTCTTTGCGGCTTTGCGTCTTTGCAAGTTGCTGATGGTGCCTGATCTGAATTGTAGGAGCAGCCAGTGGCGGATGCCACTGACGAGCCGAAGCCCACAACCTTGCCGAAGGAACGGCAGCTTACTAATCGGACAGATCTGATTTGTTTTTTGGCACTGTGTAGGATCCGCACATGTCAAGCACAGCAATTCCATCCCAAATCCGTCCCATGCCATTCACCAAGCCGAGCGCGGCACATCGCGGGGGCGCTTTTGACAGGTTCCCCTGCTCGAAGATGACGAAGTTGAGTTCCGCATCCTGCGCCTGGGGGATTGCGAGGCGAAGCTCGCTTCATTGAGTCTTGAAACCACAATGAGGCTGATGAGGCTGAGATGTCCACGACACTTAAAGCAGCTGTTTGCCTTCTGCGGAGGCCTCTGAAGTTGTGTTCTACCCCGCGCCACCGATTGAACCTCCGACTGCCGTGCAGAGCAGGCTGCCGTGACATGCACTTGACTGGTTCAAAAACCCCTTTTCGACCGGCAAAATGACCTCACACAGCCGAGCTTCTCGATTTGCCGGTGCCGCTCGTGTCTGAGCCACTTTAATATGGAGAATGTGAGGCTCAAAATGCTTGGTCCCCACTCGGAGCTTGCACTGAGCATCAGCATCTCGGCAGCACCATACACCCAAGCCGTGACAGTCGGACAGAACCCCAAGTTGGCACGCAGGAAGCGCCGGGAAGCATTCTGAAGCATCTATCACGCATTGTGAATGCACCGTGAAATGCACCATGGGAATGCATGTCTCTTAAGGCTTTCGTGGGCTGCCAACACTGGGCGCAGCTTCCGCCGCCCGAGAGTACCAGGTGTTGGTTCAGGACATGAACTTAAAGCCATAGTTGACTCGGCTATGTCCCGTCAGCTTCCGCAGCGCATGACCCCCAGTGCAGTGGGCGGTTGTCACGGGGTGCACAGAACATGCCTCATCTTCACGACCTCTACATCGTAAAGCTGGAGCCCCGCATATCCCGCATGTGGGCCAAGAGGGTGGCTTCATGACCTTTGCAGGAGATGGAAGGATCTCGAATCGCGAAGGACGCTTGGGCCTGCAGACTGCACCGTGACTTGTTCCTGGGTCCCCAAGAATTTCATGCAAGCTCCAAACATTTTCCAAGCTCGTCATATCTTGTGTGCAGTTTTATCCTGTGCAAATTCATGTGCAAATGCGACGTCGAGCGTTGTTGCGGCCTTGCGTTTCAGGAGCGCATCCTGCCACCGTGCAGACTGCCGCTGCAGCGCATTGCGGAGGCTTCGAGTTGCTTCCCCGGAGCCGCCCCAAAGGCTTCTTAGGATTCTAAGGCTGGAAATCCTCCCTCACCCTCCGAAAAAAAATGGGGGAGGGATTGCTACTCGTGCGGGGGGCTTCTTTTCGGGTGCTGCTGCTGGGACCTGGTACGTTTTTGCTTGAGTAGGCTTTGGGAACGCTTGAGCGGAAGCAAGGGTTATAGTTCCTCCTTGAGGCAGGGATTCCATGGGGGTTCACTTCGCGCGGTGGCAGGCCTTTGACGGAGCCAGACAGCGCCCAGACTTTCTCGGTGCACGGCCGCAGACGCTCCAGGCAAACGTTTTCACGCTGATTCATAGAGAGAGAGCGAGAAGACTGGCTGTCTGTACGTGTCAGCATGACGCTGCTCGCATCGCTCCGCATGTTGCTGCGCCGGGCTACGCCGTTGTGGCCACGTGAGTTGTAGCTCAAGGCTTAAGGTAATTAAGGAAGTTACGGTATAATTAGTATAATTACAATGAATGACTACTTTTCAGAGTTGATCCTTTTTTGTTTCAGGCCGAGCGCGGCGGGGGCGAAGCCGTACAATTCCTGGAGCCCCTGGAGCGGGGGCAGCCAGCATTCAGAGAGGGACGGAAGAGAGGGAAGGGAGGGAAGGGGAAGAGAGGGAAGGAAGAGAGGGAAGGGAGGGAAGGATATGGTAGGGAGCGAGCACGAGAGTATACGGAGTCGCTAAAACGAGCTGCGTTCGCACTCGTGCCATCCTCGCAGATGCCATCCTCGTCCGACTGAGCCACTTAGTGGTACGTTCTTGCCTGCTCATCCCCATTTTTCTTGCTCTAATGCCAGATCCTGTGCTTGTGATCGCTGTATAGCCATTCATGCAGACCTGTCGAAAGCGCCTAGGTTGGTTACCTAGGGTATTGCATTTGGATGTCACAGTTGGGTTGTGTCTCACGAGGCCTTCGCTAACCTTTCTGTGCCAGAGGTTTGAGCACTTGCTGACTCTTCGGGACCTTGTCTATGGGAAGCACTACCGCATCGCTCTGCGCTGGCTATCGCAATGGAAGGTGCCGCTGCATTTGGTGCACGGGTTGAATCTGATCACAGATGAAATCTCGAGTCGCAGGATCGAAGACATCAGGTGGTTTGTTCTGGTTCCCTCAGTAGCAGAATGGTGGCTTTCTCGCAGGTTTCGGCATGGAGCGAAGCTGCCCTGAGCTCACCTGCAGATTGGTACTGCCTCTCTAGGACTTGAAAGGTTAACAGCTGTCAGGTTGTCAGGACGTGTTAGGAGTTGGCCCAAGCTGGCAAGCTGGTCATGCGTAGGAAGTTTGGTGAGCCTGCTCAAAATTCAAAATCGTCCGAGCGAAGCATGCTTCCAGTCTTTGGTCTGCTGCAAAATTGATGAACATGCAGTGCTGAGACCGACGCGACAATTCTCTTCCCAGCTCCGACATATGAGGAAGGAGCAGCAGCGGGCCAAGCGCTTGTGATGTTGGGGCTTGCAAGTCTAGGATTTTCTGGCAGCCTTTTCCAGCAGTTGTGCCATGTTGCGCCTAGGAACTCTCTATCGAGTCCTTGGAGTCTTTCGACCTCATGCCCGCCTTGGCTGGCGAGGACGGGCCCAAGTCGACTCCAAGAGTAGCTGTGACTGCTGGCGCGAGTGACAAGGAGTTCAAGCCACCTGCGCTCTGGCATCGTCGAGAGCTCAGAAAGCTCACAGAAAGCTGAGAAAGCCCCAAACCCCCACCGAGCTGTGCCCTGCATACGCACTTTCAGAGCTCGGGCTCCGCATCCTGAGATGCCTCTTACTCCATCGGTAGACTGTCGAGACCCGGAGTGGGGGGGGGGGGGGGGCAGAATGCTGGGCTTCATCGTGCTTCGCACAAAAGTACAGTCAACTGCAACAGCGGAATCTTATCAAAGATAGTCAGAACCGAGCATTCTCAGGAGCTGAAGTGGCCTGGTCTGCATTCCAGGCCTCTCTGTGGGGAGGTGGGCAGCTTGAGTTCGCTGCTCAGCGTCTCAGCTCGCCAGGGTTGAAACCTGCGTTGGGCCTTGCTTGGAAGCAACATTCTTTGGCACAGTACGATTGCGAGAAGCACGTGTGCGTGTTGTCCGCTCTGCCCAGGTATCGGCTCGAACGGAGGTGTCTGCTTCACGACAAGCGACGCAACACAGGAGGCGCCAGGGCAATGGCAAACGCCATGCAAACCACTGCCCACGAACATGTCAGAAGCCTTCCAGGAGCTGTTCTGGCGGTCATAGAAGTGGACAGTGCAGGTGTGCAATACCCTTCCGAGAGCCCTTGTGCCTCACTGTTTCTACAACCTTTTTGCCATCAGCTCGCCATGTAATGCACCAGAACTCCATGAATGCCACCGTGCGGGTTGAATGCCAAGGCATAAAGTGGGATCTGTGGCTATCGAGCATGTGTGCGGTCCCGGTTCGCGCTGCTGTAGTTGCAGTTTCTACTAGCGCCAGGTGCGTGGTTGGGGCTTGCGGTTGTGGTCGGCGTATGCTGTTTGCAGGTACCACTGTTACGTGCTACTTGTATCACTTGTATTAGTTGGTGGTGGGGGGCAAGAGACCTCAAACCTGACCGCCCTGCCATGGGATTGCGGCTCGCCGGAAGAAAGTGGTGTCATGTTGTTGAAGTGTGGGGGGGAAGGCTTGGAAAGTGGGACAGGGGACACAAGATTCTGGGCCGCCTTGTGCGAGCAGGCGAGGCGGCTCTTGTTATGATTCTATCTCTGCTGAAAGAAGTTTTGTATCGCAGTTCTTTGTGAAGTGATGCAAGATTCCTCGATGCCGTGAACACTCTTGGAAAACCATACATTTCGAAAGCCAGACTTCGTTCTTTGAGAACATTTGTCTTTCAGGTCGAACCTCAATGCTGGAAGTTGGTAACACTGAGTAACAGCCTGTGTTACACTGACTCTTTAAGTCTGAGAAGAGGAGACATCTTGCCTGCTCGTGACGAAGCAGAGCTGGACACCTCGCAGTGGGAGCTGGCTGGCACCGCCTGGCCTCCAGCTTCTTGCAGGGCGCTTTTGAGCTAACTTTGAGAATGTTGCGCAAGTCTCTCTGGTAATTCCTAGATAAGCCCAATTTAGCACATGGCTCTTCAACAGAGTGCAGTCTTCACTTTATTTTACCGAGGAAAAGGCAAGTCTCTCTTATAGCCCATCCTGGTTTGGGGTTCAGGGTTTAGGTTTCTTGGGGTACCGTAAACATATTGGGGTCAATCTCTTAAGAAGTACCTCTGTTTTTGTTCGGAGTACTCTCTGCAGTGAGACGGGGTTCTTCTGTCCTGGCGCACTGGCTGCTCAGCGTCGCACACCGTTCCTGCAGGCTTCTCTCTTAGACCATGCAAGACCCCGCAAGGCCTCATCGATGTGTGCTGCGTTTGCCTGCCAAAGGTGCTCGCGATGATTGAAGATGTCAGCGGCAAGGGGTTGATGCCTTACACACCTTTGCACGCTGTGACAATTGTCGGTGGCGTCTCTTTGTTGCCATCGGGTGTGTGTGTGTGTGTGTGTGCATGTGTGGGCACGCCTCTTTTGGGGAATGGGCGGGCGGGGTGTCTGATCGAAGATCGGCAACTGTGCAGTGCAGATCTCGGTTTGCATTAAAAAGGGCAATCTCTTGTGCATCCATTTCCCACAGGTCTATCAAGGAATTCTGGGCAGGAACGCGTGGAAGGAAGCCAGAAATGCAATTCCTGAACACCTCGGAACCCTGTGTTTGTGAGCTTCAGAGGCCTAGGGGCGTTCTTGCGTGAAACATGGGGTTGAGCGTTGCTTAGAGCTCTTTGGACCAGGGGCTCAGGGCTTTTTTCAGGCTTTTGAAGTGGCGCTCCGGCTTACAGGGACTTCGGGTTCACCAGGTTCTCAGATACGGCTTGAGGCTTGGGGAGATTCTTGAGTTTGCTCACCAACCCTTGTCGACAGCCATGTGTAGAAGGTCGAGCACGTTTACATCAACACGCAATGCCCGCAGGAGCACTGTGGCAACTTTGAGGGATGGGGAGCCCATGAACAGGAGGCGGTGTGGTGGTGAACAGAGGACGATACTGCAAGCCACGTTGCCCTTTACATCGCACAATGCTGCAATTTATGCTTGTGGGACCCGTCACATGCCTTGAAAACACTGCCACTTCCGGTGCTTGGAGCGGTCGTCCGGGCACTTCCGCAGCGCGCCAGTGTAGTCCTTCCATGCGTGAACACCAGGCAATAATTAGGACAAAACGCAAACCAAAAACGACCCCCCCCCCCCAAAAGTTAGCAGTTCCTTGGTGTTGCTGCCACAGTTGTTTCATCAGTTCTGTGACGCTGCAGCATGGTCCAAGTTCAGCGCAAGGTGAGGTATTGTGCAGATCTAGCTTCTCTGCCCAGGATCAAGCAAATCACAAATCGGCCACAGACGGAGCAAGCGGAGCAAGCTGGCAGGCCCTGACTTGGAGCCACGCTTCGGGGGCACTTGGGCAAGTTGCAATCTGCTACAACACCAAGACGTCTGATGCTTGTGGGCTCTCGTTCTCGGGGTGGTTGAAGGTCCAACGCGGAAGACGAAGCTGAGGACGTCCTACAGTCAGAGAGTGCAGTTGCGCCATAGGTCACAAGTTCTTACTGGTTCATGTAGGACAATGTAGGAGCAAAATTACAGAGTCAGATACTCGCATTTTTTTGCTATGCGCCGACCAACTGCACTCACGGTGAAGTACACACCAGGAGCTCCCACGCCGCACGCTCGCAAGAAAGGCCATATCGGTTCCGTACAGATCTGCCAAATTGGAGCATGCGCAGATATGTTCAGTACCCAAGCGTGTTGCACAGATTCAAGTCGCACCCCTATTGAGCTTTGATGCTTCTGGTCGGCTCAAGATCAAGGCATCCCTCCGCTAGCTGGTGCCAAAGGCTCTTGTGTGTCATGCCGCCTAAATTCGTCAATGACGGCGTGCATTTCAAACATGCGTTTTGCTCGCTGAATGATGGCAAGTTGGATCAGTTCTACAAGATAGATTCCAAGAAGAAGTTGGGTGAGGGATCGTACGGCTCAGTGTCAAAGGGAACCCACAAGTCGACGAATGCTGTGCGAGCAATCAAGGCCATTGATCGCACGAAGATCGCTGATGGAGAGAGGTTTCAGACCGAGGTTGATATTCAATCAGCCTTAGATCACCCCAACATCGTGAAACTGTATGAGGTCTTCCTTGACGCCAAGAAGGTGTACCTTGTCATGGAACTTTGCACGGGAGGTGAGCTTTTCGATCGTATCCTTGAGGAGGCGGAGAAGCACGAAGGCAGTGATGCCGCCCGTGCCTTCGACGAGCGAGGAGCCGCAACCTACATGCAGCAGATTCTGGGCGCCATGAGCTACCTCCACAACAACAACTTTGTCCACCGCGACATCAAGCCGGAGAACTTCCTCCTGCAGAATCGGGACGTTGACGCGCAGATCAAGGTGATCGATTTTGGCCTGGCGAAACAACACAAGGCGGCCTGCTGCCTTCCCTTTGAAGCATAGGTTCTCCTTGATAGAGTCCCCTACTAATACACCAGCCACGACTCTTTGCTACCGTCACTAGCCCTTCTGCCGCGGCACGCCCTGTACCCTTCAACACACCGTTCATGCACCTTGCTACAGAAAGTGCGCGAGAGTGTGACTGCGGAGTTCTCATCCACAGGTGGGCTCCGGAGAGAAGATGAAGACAAAGGCCGGCACCCCCTACTACGTGGCCCCCCAAGTGCTCCAGGGCTGCTACGATGAGAAGTGCGACGTCTGGAGCTGCGGCGTGATCTGCTACATCCTGCTTCTCGTCGAGATATTGTGGATGAAGATAACACAGACTAAAAAGCAGACGACCTTTTAGCAGGTGCGTCTTTGGGTGCGTCTCGCTTTCTCACGCTCTTTGCGTATTGTTTTCGCCACTCTTATCTGCTACACGTTGCCCCCCTTTGCCTCAAAGAAGAAGGAATTTTTTGGTTTTAGCCTCATGCCGTTTGCTTTGCTTTCCCCCTCTCCCTAGGCTTTGTGGCTATCCCCCCTTCTATGGGGACTCGGATCCGGACATCCTCCGCATGGTCAAGAAGGGAAACTTCACCTTTCCTCCGGAGGACGGGGATCGAACCTAAACGTGCGCAGACTAAACGTGCGCAGAACGCTCGTGCGCATGCTAGCATGCTAGCGCCGCTTAGCGCCGATGAGAAGTCATAAGGATGAAGTGTTGAATGCTGTCGAAGGCTGTTGATCTTCAGCAATAGAGAGTTGCAACATGTTGCAATGTTCTGCAGGCGTAGTGCAGGCGTGTTTCTTGAGTCGCCGTCGGGCCAGGACTGGGATGATGTGTCTGCCGAAGCCAAAGAGTGCATCTCGCTGATGCTCACCTTCAATGCCGACAAGCGGCCCACGGCTGCCAAGATGTTGGAGCACCGCTGGCTCGACAAGAACGCCGAGCTGCCCAAAGGAAAGGTGGCCAAGGACCTGTGCAAGCACCTGCGGAAGTTCAACGAGGGCTCGCGCATGAAGAAGGTGGCCCTAACCCTCATTGCGCAGCAGCTCAAGGATGAGGACTTGGAGCAGCTCCGCACCACCTTCTTGCTGCTGGATAAGAACAAGGATGGCACCTTGAGCATCGAAGAGATTCAGAAAGGTATTGCAGACAGTGCCATTGAGATTCCTGCAGACCTCATTGAGATCATGAAGAACCTAGACACGGATGGGTCAGGTAACATCGACTACACAGAGTTCATTGCAGCCACCTTGAATCAGAAGCAGTACCTGAAGCGAGATGTTCTGTGGTCGGCATTCCGAGTCTTCGACAAGGATGGGGACGGCACGATCACCAAGCAAGAGCTTGGAGCCATCCTGAAGGAGCAGGCCGATGGCGAGGTGATCTTGAACATGGTGAAGGAGGTGGACCTCGATGGGGACGGGCAAATCTCCTTTGACGAGTTCGTCAAGATGATGGAGTCGGGAAGTGATATCGTGAAACCGTGAGAAATGATTGAAATGATCTTACCGCGTATTTCTATGAGCCTTGGGAACAGGGCCCAATGCTTCTCTGCTTCTCACCACAAGTTTCACCGCCAGTTTGCCTTAGGCTTCCGACACAGAGCTGCGGGCTGACCGGTCCGTGTTTAAGGATGTTGGGCTGATGTTGGGGGTGTACTTCTACGAAAACGTATCAAAGCACGGCAATATGTCAGACCCTTAATGTGTGTGTGTGGGTGCATCTCTACAATCTTGTCTATGGAGGGGGCCATGGGGTCGTTTCACTTCACAAGGTCACTGCAGCGTGCTTTCACCACTTGGGCGCGGCCCCGCGATCGTCACAACTTTGTGGTGAAATGAAGTCGAATGAAGTCGAATGCCCTCGAACCGAGAGACATAATCCTCACATTCTTGCGGCGACTGCTACCAGCAGGGCCCACCGAGCGCTCGGCACAAGTCCAAGCTGCAAACCTTGCCGCCCAAGCTCAAGATCATAAGCAAGATCCGTCTTTGATACAAGTTATATTTCCTTACTCGCCAATTCTTCCTCCCATGATGTTCAGGCTCGTGCACTTGTGGCAGGAGCTTCCTCGTGTTGGACAAAGCAGATACAAAGACACACGATTGAGTGCGGCGCATTAGCGGCAAAGAACTGCCAAGCCATGCTGATGAGCCAGCTGTACAATGACAAGCGACGGCGCAGGAAGAACTGCCTGCGCGTTTGGATGGAAACTTGCAATGAAAAAGGCTCCTATGCAAGAGCAAATGGTAGTCCAGCTATCTAGTACAGTATAACATATATATATAGAGGAAATAGTGTAGCCTGACACCTCATATATTCAGCTTGAAACAGTCGTGTCACGCACCTCCAGCTCACCAGCCGACCGAGTGCCAAGTTGTGGGCAGGTCCTGGAGATGACCTACCTTTCACACGCTGACGCTTGTGATCCATCTTTTGCGAGGCAGTGTCATGCTGTGTCATGCTAACCGACGGCTGGTTCAAAGCGGAACGATGGACGCAGAAGAAAAGACCGCTTTTGGGCGGAGGAAAGGTCGCTGGGAAACCACCACGAAGTCTCCGGCTAGAGACTACATGCTTTCAACACACGTGCGACTCGAACAAGCGTCCGACAAGCGAAAAGGACCCAAGACGTCAGCTAACAGGTTTGCGCAATATTCCCAGCCCCAGTGTGCCAGCAAAACCAGGGATGCTTTCTGCCTATTGTCTGTGAACTCATTTCTCAACAATTGCGTCGTTTGACTGCAGGCGGCGGGTTGCAAAAGCCGTTTGCCGGGAAATCTTCGCACGTATTTCTGGCAGAGAAGAAGGCCTGGCTGACTGTACATTCAGTTGCGTTTTTCTCCACCATGTTTCAATGAACTGACATTAAGTTAAGATCCCACTGCACACGAGTCGCGTGCCATATGCCCTCAAGGGTCATCGCGGAGGCAGCCGCCAATTCGCTAACCCCCGTTTGCATTGGTGTGCCTGAGGTACAGCGCAGGATAGCGAGGACGTGGAGGAGTGACATTTATCGTGCCATTGAGCCATTTAGACTGAAAGGGCAGCATGTGGATCATAGTGATCTCAGGCAGTATGGCGGATCCTGTCGAAGTATGAGCCTGCACGTCCCGAATAGTTGAAAATATCTGGGTGACGCCACGGTGAGGTGGCCGATGAATCTCGGATGTGATGGTAGAAATGATGGCAATGACAGATTGCGCACTCTCGCACAAAGCGAAGTCAGTCCTTCCCCAGCCCTCTGCGATGCCTCTGCCTCTTGCTTGGAACTCTTGTGTTTTTTTCTTGCCTATCCAGATTCAGATATGAGTGATAAAAGCCTGGGCAACTAGGTGATGATGCCATGGACAGACAACCAAAATGAAGATGCACACGACATAGCGCGATTCGTCCGCTGAATGAGCAGTAATGAGCAGAAAGGCACATGTCGACAACTGGGAGGAAGCATGCAAAAAGTGAAAAGGTCCCTGCAAGGGGCCCCCTTGATCGTTTCCTGAGGACCCCGCACCTGTCCCAGACCCTCGCGCGTCGACTCTCCTGTTCCATGCGGAGGACCTGCTAGTTTTAGTGCTTTGCAAAGCTTTATCTACTGATGGTCCCCCAGATGCGACGCCCCTGCACATTGCCAGCTCCCGTGTAAGACACTGATTGCAAGCCTGGATCGTGTCTCGAGGAGCTGCTGCCTTCCGTGACCTACCAGCAGGGTGCTTTTTATGTGGCACATGCCAGTTGAGTTCTGATTTTCTGTGCTATTCCCTCTGCAAAGCATCCCTCCCATGTGTGATCTTTCTAAGAATTCTCGCTACAAAGTTGATGTTGGCCAAGGCCTTCTCTGCAGCAGTGGACGGCATTGTTGAGTTAGACATCGGCAAGAAATCAGTACAAGAGTTGTCTGCGACTCCACGCGAGATACCCCGAAGATATGCAAGCCAAATTCTGTTGCAGGGGCTTGCTTGCTGAGGTTTCGTCTCCTGGCACGTCTTGCGTTCCACCCAGCATCTGGGCACGAAGGCAGTCGGAAGCGAATGGGGAAGACAAGCTCAATGCCAAAACGCCCATGGCAGCACTGCATGTTGATGAGTACAAGCATCCTATCACACAACAACTTGACAGCAATCCCTTGCCACTGCACTTGGCCTGGCCTAACCAACTCGGGAAGGACGCAAATAATGTGAACCTTTGTGATGAGCCCCACCCCTGGTGCACCCAGAGTCGGCGTCACTTTGCTCTGCGCAGGTGAATGGTCGAGGCCATTGAATTCAGACTGGTACCGCCCGGAAGAAGCGGCCCGCGCCTCGATCTAGTCTGGGGGGATGTCTGGGATCTCTCTGAGCCCATCCAGGTCCCTCCTCCAGCACCACCTCGCGAAGCCGCAGAAGCCTCAGTCTTTTGTCTGGAGAGGCTCCTAACTGGTGGACCTCGTGGCTTCTGAGGTTGCACCAGATCCACCTCCTGAAGAACTCTTGCAAGATGGTTCGCTCGTTCTGGTCTTTGACCACTTGCCAGTGCGGCAAGACGAGCGTTGCGGGCTCAAATGTAAGAGCATGATTGCAGGGTTTGCCAGCAGGTTTGTCACCGATTTGTTAAAGACCCTGTTGCTGCCTGGTGCCATGATCTAACAGCCGAACATGGACATCACTGACGATCATGTACCATTTTTTCGCCAACTCAGGTCCCGCTGGCTGTTCGCCACCGCCGGCTCCCTTCCAGCTGCAGTTCCGCTCCGCGTCAGGGTCTGAATGCAACCAGCGTCTTTCATTGATCGCAGGATCCGCATACGTGAGTCCTGAATATCAGGCAGGCGGCCGACACCGCAGAGTGGTTCCCCCTGGAGGGTCTTCCTCTCCGCCCGGGCCCTTGGGCCCTGTTGCTTTCGGCAAGGGCATGGTATGGTCAACTTAGCTCGCCTGAAGTCTAATGTTTTGGTGATACATTCGACGCTCATCATTACATATCGTCATGGCTGAGTCCTAAACCTCGAGCCCGCTCAAAGGAAGGCCCACCAACTTGAACTTTGCCTCCTGCGGAGGCGGCGACGAGAAAAGGATTCTGGTCTCCGACGCTCGCTTACGGCAGCATAGGGAAGGTCTGGGCCTAATACCTTTACGTGGACTTGAGTTGAGCTTGCGTGTCGGTGTTTGCATCCATTCTGCAGATGGTGTCGTCTTTCGACTTTGGCGTGCATGGCTTCCCACCAGCCATGACTCGCATGCCGTGAAGGAGGGGGGAGGGGGGGGGGGGGGCAGTGCATTGCAGTTCTTTTCGTGAGCGCTTTCGAGTCTTTCAGTAGTCTTTCGAGCTATGCATGACCGAGTTTTTCTTTCCCCAGGACGATGCCCGAGTGCGCCATTTCAGTTGCAGTGCTCTCAGGATCGTCTAATGAATGGGCCTCGTTGGCATGCCGCGAGAACACACACCCACCCACACACCCGCACACACACTCACACACACACACACACACACACACACACACACACACACACACACACCACCACCCACCCACCCCCACCCCCCACCCACCACCCACCACGCACCCACTCACGCACGCACGCACGCACGCACACGCACGCACGCACGCACGCACGCACGCACGCACCACGCAACGCACGCACCACGCACCCACACCCACGCACCCACGCACACCACGCACCCACGCACCCACGCACCCACTCACCCACGCACCCACCACCCACCGCACCCACGCACCCACGCACCCACGCACCCACGCACCCACTCACCCACGCACCCACGCACCCACGCACCCACGCACCCACGCACCACACCACGCACGCACCCACGCACCCACGCACCCACGCACCCACGCACCCACGCACCCACGCACCCACACCCACCCACGCACCCACACCCACGCACCCCACGCACCCACGCACCCACCCACTCACCCACCACTCACCCACCACCCACTCACCCCCCACCCACGCACCCACGCACCCACGCACCCACCGCACCCACGCACCCACGCACCACGCACCCCGCACCCGCACCCACACGCACCCGCACACCACGCACCACGCACCCACGCACCCACGCACCACGCACCACACCCAGACGCACACCACACACACACACACACTACAGACACAGACAACACAGACACAGACACAGACACAGACACACACACACACACACACACACACACACACACACACCGACAACACACCACACACACACACACACACACACACACCACACACACACACACACACACACACACACACTCACACTCACACTCACACTCACACTCACACTCACACACTCACACACACACCTCACACTCACACACACACACACACACACACACACACACACACACACACACACACACACACACACACACACACACACACACACACACACACACACACACACACACACACACACGCGCGCGCGCGCGCACACACTCCGTGCTAAATTTCGCGCACGCAAGTTCGCGCACGCAAGTGCAAGCGCGCACGCGCGCCGGCCCTCCCGCCCGCGCGCGCACCTACAACTACGCAACCAGACACCCACACCCAATGCACTGTCCGCGGTTCAAGCACTGTCTTACGATTCAAGCACGCTGTGATTCCAGCACTGGCGATTCCACCACCCCAGTGTTTCAAGGACTGGCGGTTTAGGCACGAATCCTGATTCGCGCCCCTCAAGCACAGCATTCAGGCACAATTCCCGATGCAAGCGCTGGCATCTTTGGCTCCCTTACCGCTGCCGCAGCTTGCCCCCCCCACCAACCATACCTCATGTCGAATTGAAAAGGTTTCGGTTTCCATGGCTGAAGGTGTTGTGGCTCAGGTGTTTCAGGGTTTCAGGGCCTTCTTCGGGTTTACAGCTTTAGGATTCTTAGTATTAGGGATTCTTGAGATTTTTTGGGCTTTAGGGTTCAGGGCTTTGAGGGCTGAGGGTTTTCATGGTCGAGGGTGTTTAGGCTCTGGGGTTTAGGGTTCTTAGGGCTTCAAAGGTGTTTAGGGTCTAGGGCGTTTGCACACCAATCAAGGTTTGGAGCGTTTTAGGTTTCAGGGTTTCAGTTTTGACCTTTGGAACTGTTGCTTTGGGCTACGCTTTTGAAAGGGTTTCCCTCGCCGGCCCAGTGTGCCGATACGCTGCACGAATGTGCCATGTCGGTCGTGCACGAAGCCGCGAAACGGTTTCCTACCGTCCCCCCCCCCCCCCCCCCCGGCACACACGCATGCTGCACACACGCATGCTGCACACATGCACGCACATGATATGTAATCAGCAAAAGCTGGTGCAAAGCCCTTCGGCCAACCACGGCTAAACGTCCGAGTGCCTCCAGTCTTCCGGTGCACGGCGCATCCGGGCGTTTCTCCCTGAGGTTTCAAGAAAGCATCTGAGACTTCTGAGCACTGAGCGTGGCTTCTGAAGCTTTGTTCAGAACTCGAGGCCTCGCATCGATGCCCTCCAAAGCCATCGCCATCGCCAGCCCGACCTTCGACTCCGAGCCCCGAGCGACTCTGGCAGCTCACCCAGCTGGGCTCAAGGGTGGAAGACGGGGCCTACAGGGCGGCCTAGACGGCAAGCATAGGAGAGTGGCAGTCCAGAACTCAAGGCCCAAGGCCACCTGGCCCGAGATGTGCATTGCACCATGCCTCCGTGCTGCTCTCAAGCCAAGGTCTTCTGTGAATCCTCAGACTTGCAGAAAGAGGCAACGGGAATGGGAGGAATGACAGGCTCCGCAGCTATGTTAAGAATCGCTTCGAAAAAAAACCTGATCAACGCTAAACTGGAGGTTCATGATACTTATTAACCAATTTCAATTATAACTGTACCTACAACTGTACTTATAAGCCCCTGAAGTGCCCTAGCATGTATACATGTACAGTCATAAGTAGAGCCTGCTCGCAGGGAGAGAATTCAGAAGACCCGCCGCTGGCTGCGATGCTGCGATTGGAGTGGAAGGCCTGCTTCGACGCCAAGGGACATGTAAAGGGTACATGGAAGCCGTATGAAGCGGTTGTAAGGGAAGGGGAATGGCTGGGAAATGTGGCGAGGATTCTGTGGTCTCCGATCATGAGTTCAGAAGAAAAGCCAAGATGGATCCCTTCAGAAGCATGATTGGACATTTCTGTATACGGGCATTTCCCAAAATACTGTGGGTTGGCATCTTTATACACCAGATATGATCGAATCCCCCAAAAATGACCCTGCGAAGGGTACCCAAAATTCCGGAGACTCCCAATATCTGCGAGGTACACGTGCCTCAGAATCTGATGCTGGACAAGGTTCAGAACCATCAGGCACTGGCATGTGCAGGGATGTTCACTGCACGCGCTGGCAGAGCTTTCATCTTCTATATCCTGAGGGTACGAGAAGGTACGGCTGCTTGCAAAGCTCATGCAACCTTAGAACTGTCATGAATCGTGGCTCTTCTTACTCGTGTCCCGCACGGTGCGGATGTCCAGAGCAACGGCTGTGAGGTGCGCTTCCGCCGAGTACATCCTCCACCAGCAGCATGGAACTCAAGTCAGCTGAGAGTGCCGAGACCTGCTTTTGCACATCCCGGTCTCATGCGGTCTTCGGCTGACGGCGGAGAGGTTGCATACACAGGCTTTGCGCACGCAACGCAAAGAAACGGCATTGCGCCTCGTAAGTGAGGTCAGGTGGCTGAAGGTGACTTACCAGAGGGGCAAAGGAACCACTACCAGTGAATACCCGTAGGGATGATATGCTACAGGAAACCAAGACATGCCGTGTAAGGTCGATGATTGGCAAGAGCGCAACCCTCAGCAAGGCTTCTGACACTGGCTCAAGTAGCCTCATAATCCTTTGCATGGCTCAGCCATCAGCCATCTCGTTCGTGTACAGAGGCGATCAGGTTCAGCTGAATGCATCGGGAAGGGTGCTGGCAGCTACACATGCTCATGGTTGGTTGAATGGACTGACACGTGGTGAGAACATCCCAGCAAGAAGCAGCTTCACGATGTGCATGGAGATTCCCCGCCACAGTGTTCCGTGTACTGTGGTTCCAAGGATGGCGCCATTTCAACAGGTTGTTCACGCGAACAGCTCCCAGATCGTCCGCGACATTCCGTTGGCCATGCTCACAGACTCCATTCGAGTGGTTGTTTCTGTTCTCCTCAGACATTCCATGCCGCACTTGGTCTTCCTGCTGTGTTTTAGATTTGTGCAATTTCCCCTTATGGACGACCCCAACCTAAAAGCAGGCTTGCGTTTGATTGATTTATGACTGTCCTATCGCAGGGCCTTGAGCTCCAATGCAAAATTTGAAGATGCGTAGTGAAAGCCAGTTGTCATCCAAGCTGGGAGCGGAGCCGGTAGTCCCCTTTTGGAGGACTCGCTGTGTTTCCGCGACAGGGAGGCTTTGAATAATTCGGTTTCACCCTAGTGGCCCTCGTGTTAGAGCCCATAGATTCGCCCCTAAGCCATGTCGGTGGCAGGCCTGCGTTAGGTGAGTACGGCGCACCGCAGAAACCGAAAGCGTCATACATGCATTCCGGCACTGCCGTGCGAGGCCACCTAACAACATCTAAGACTACTGAGCGACAAGCATCCGATTTTGTACCATCGTGCTCCAACTTGGAGATAAAGGATTTTCCCCCGTTAGTACAGAGAATTTCTGGAATGCCCAGCCCCAGGGTATGCCCAGAGAATCCATGGAGTGCAAAATTGCAGAACACCCCCAGAGAATCCGAGAACCCCAGGAGTGCCCAGCCCCAAGAGTAGTTGCAGAGAATCCAGAATCCAACCCCCAGAGTGAGCCCGCAAGTTCCTGACCTGCACGGTGAATAATGTTGGAAGTATTCTGTTTTTTGGAGGCGGGGGGTGTGGCAAGAGGAGAGGAGGAGAGGTTACAGGGCACCAATGAAGGGGATTGCCAGAGTGGCCCAAGAGATGGCACCGAGAGAGGAGGAACAAGGTAGAAGGCTTAGAGATTGGACTTAGGAGTAGCTGTTTGTCGGGTTTAGGACATCTTTTGGCATGGTTAAGTCCGGACTTCATGGGTTGGGATTGGTTTTGAGAACAGTTTGGAGGAGAGAATACTGCCCCGAGCATCTCGAGAACACAGGTATTGTTTTGAACACCATTCCCTGCAATCACAGGCTGCGCCTCTGCGCACGTCGCTTCACCGTATGCCTGAGCCGCGCTGAGCCGTGCTGAGCAGCAGTCCGAGGTCACTCCGCACTTCCTGTTCGGGGCAGAGTACGAGGCATGACTTTTTCCTGATAGCCACTTAGAACCGCAGCATGGTGTTTTTTCAGTAAATGAACTTGCATGCCGTGCGCAGCTACATGCAACAGGTCTGCGTGCGGATTGGAACTGGATTACGTTGGGGGGAGTGGTCTGCACCAAGGGGCGTCAGCCGAAATCTCAGTTCTTAGTCTG